TTAAGTGTGGATCTTGTCGTTACAATCGGGGCTGTGGATGTTTCCGTTGACAAAAGGGCTTTCTTCGTTATCCGAGGTAGAGGAAAAAAAATCTTTTGATAAAGGTAATGAGGGAAAATATGCGTCGTTATCCTAGTCGGAGAGTAGAGGTGGTATGAAATGTTGTTTATACGCTTCAGAAAAATCAATGGTTGATAAGAATTATTCAGTAAAAGGTTGTTGTTACGTAGCTCTTAAGTAAATTATTGAGTTTCAAGGTTTAGGATCACTCTTAACGAGTCGATACTTGTGTTTCTTGTTCTGTAAGTAGTATTGATAGAGTTCTCTATTAAGCTTTTGTTGGTATTAAAGGTGCCTTTTTGGTGGAGGGTTTTGCCATAGCTAATGATATTATTCTTTGGTAGGAAAATAATTAATATCTGAGGGTTGGGTAATGATTTTTTTGTCGTTATTGTCTTGGGTCGTTGATTTAGAAGTATTCATTTGGGTATCAGAGGTAGAGACTTATGAGGAGTTTTTATAAACGGCTTTGAGGATTTGTTGTTGAATATCTTTAATAAAGTTTTTCTTTTAGAGTATCATCTTAAATTCGACAAATTTTTTTTGATCTTTTGTTGAAATCTTAAAATTTTGATTGGTGTTGTGAAACTGTTTGTGTTAGTGTGTGGTATTTCGTTGGTTTTTTGGGCAATTATTTTTAAAATATCTAGTTTTATTATAATTTTAGTATAGCGGTGTGTTAGATTTTGGATTTTTTTTGGGTTTGTTGTGCAGATACTGTTGTTGTGTGTTGTTGAGATCTATAGGTGCAGGTTTAAAAATCTGATTGGGGTGCATCTTTCTATCCTTACCACGTTTCTATTGTTCGTTGTTATTTTTTTTATTTTTCTTGCTTTTAAAGTTGTTGGAGTTGTTATTGTTCTTCTTTTTATTGTTATAGGAGGATTGGTTGGTGCGAGTTTTGAAATTAATATCGTCAATTTCGATAGTATGTTGTTGTATTTCTATGCGAGTTATATTAGGGAGGTTTTTATCTTTTTGTTCTTTTTTCTGAATGTAGACATATCGTTGGAGTTTAGTCTTAAGTTCTTCTCTTGTTCGGTAGTAAAGATTACCATCATCTTATTTAGTTAGGATTGCGAGTTTGTTGAATTTTTGAAAATAGTTTCGAGCGAAATTGGTTTGTTTGAGGGAGGTGATGCTTTGTTGTGTACGAAAGATTTTGTTGTCTTCTTCATATTACTGTTTAAGGAATTTGGTGAAGACATTGTAGTTAATTATAACTTTAACAATATATTCTTTTTGCTTTTCAATGGATTTGGAATAATGTTGTTAGTAGGTAATGTAAATTTGTAGAATAGTATCTTCGAGGTACATTCCTGCGAAGAAGATTTTGGTTTTATTATCAGAGAATCGTCCAGTTTAGAGTTGGAAATGGGTATCAAACTGCTGAAAAAAGTGATCAAGTTTTCTAGGTGTTCTGTTAAACTTAGTTAGGTTGCCAATTCGTAGTAATTTTATGTTGTTAAATCGTTTTTAGAGCTTGTTACGCTTTTTTTCTATCTTCATTCCTTCCAAATCCATGATAGAGATTTTGATGGTGGCTTTCTTGATGTCTTGGTCGTATTTCTTTTGCAAGAGTTCCAATTACATTTGCAATTCTTCGAGGGTTTTAGGAGGAGGGGGATTTTCTAATTGGGGGTTGGTGGAGTTTCCTTCCCCACTGTTGGTAGGATCGATGTTTATTTGTTTAGTAGACATGTTTAATGTTGCTAGCAGGCTGTCAATGTCTGTACTGAGTTTTCTTATGTGTCTGTTGTGCGTGTCTTCTTATAGTCTTTCTATAGGTTGTACTTGAATGCCTAATTCAACTGTTGTAATTTCGTTTTGGAATCCTAGTAGTCTATAAATTTTAATAAATTCTTCATTTTCTCTTATATTAGTTCTACTTTGTAATTCGAGATTAGGGCTTACCTGACTTGCTAGTAATTCGGTTTGTGCTGCAGCGTGTCTAATTATTCTTTAATTTACAAGTTGTGCTAAAGTTTCAAGAAAATCGTAGAAGTTTTTTTGACTTTCACTACTTATATCTATGTCTAATAGACTGTAACTTCCCGACATACACTACTTCTTTCTAAGAGTTGGATCAGTCAAAGTGTTACACTTGTCCCAAAATTCCTTGGCAAGGTTTCCTAAAACAACTTAGCACTTTGCTATATTTCTCAACTCTATATGTTCAGATCTCTCAAAGGGTAGTATAGTATTCGGGGTGAAGATATAAAATTGTATGAATAGAAAGTATAATATAGTAATTAGCTATAAGACTAAATACTATTTAAATAAATTGTAAACTAAGTTGATAAGTTGACCAATAAAGTTCCAAGATAAACTAAGAACTACCATCGCTTAAAGGTCTTTAAATATATAATGAAGTTTTTTATAAATGAGTGATTAAACATATAACAGATGTTTGGTTGATTTGTCAATATTGTCGATAGTCGACCAGTTGATATGTTTGATAAAAAGGACTTAATGTTGAATATTACATAACAGACTAGTGTCAAACATTTCCACCTGTTAGTTAAAACAAGAAATATATTGTTTTATAACACATTTATATATGAAGCAGAAAACAGGCGTATAAACTCTCAATCTGAAAAATCCGAATAATTATAATTAAAAACATTCTTGTGAGATAAAGAGAGGTAGAAACAAGAAGCATGTTTGTCGCGCCAAGACATATTTCCTAATCGGGTTAGTCAATATGGCTGGGCCGTGACAGAATATATAATATTTAATTTTAAAAGATGTAAAAGGATTCCTGAATATAATATATCCTAAGTATAGGATGCATGTTGTTGATTCTTCTGTATATCTCTGACTAGCTGTTTGTTGTTTTTTCTGAAGCGTTTACAGTAAAAACTTTGTAATTCTGTTAAGCCCCCAGCATAGTTCGGAGAGCCGCCCCTGATCGGCAACGGCGCACATGTACCGAGGGCGCACAACATCCAACCAGTCGGGCCGACACGGCCCAATCGATCATGACCCTCCCGGTCGTTATCTAGACCTATTAGTCTTGGTGGTACAGGCTAATCTATAGTATGAGTATCACGGAGTTGGAAGAGTTTTGGTTGCCTGCAGAAGTTGTCTTTGTTGATCTCGATTCTCACGCCACTACAATACAATGAATACCACCGTCCCCCCCCTTTTTTTGAATCTTGATAGATACAAAAACTTTGAATCTAATCTTTTTGTTCCTCTAGATTTAGGGGAGTCGAGATCAGACAGACAGTGTAGGTTGGAAAACACGTAGATAGGGCTTCCACCGAACGCGCATGCCAGTCGAGTCAGCGCTGCAGCATGCATCTATACTTACTTACGTAACGTTGTACCGACACACAACTGTAGGAAAGGGAGGATCCCATTAAGAATCTCTAGATAAGCTTTCAATCTCGCGATCCACGGATCCGTGAGACATGTTTTGTACATACATACATACATACATACATACATACACTATGCATACTAACTATCCCGTGGCTCTACTTACCATCTGCGGGTCTTTGTATGTATGTGGGTATGTGGGTATGTATGCACATGCAGGTTCTCAGAAACTCTTTCGCACACACAGAAAGATAACATTGGATTTCACATGTGATAGGTCTAGTATATTCGGAACTCTACTCCGTAAACGAACCCGAGGAGCGGAACCACAGATAGTTTGGTTTTTTTCTTCTTTTCTTGTCTCTCCATAAAACGTTAACGAGGAATAGGTTACCGGGTACCTAGTATATCGATATCTCGGGCGGAATGCAATATATGTACGCCTTACTTTAGCGTTATGATAATGATGATGGTGGTGGTCCATGCTGTGCCATCGTCGTGTCTTTACATGATTTGAAGGACTTACTTCATAGTCTATCGTTTCACCCGGGACGTTTTTCTTTGATTTGATTTTAATTTGATTTGATTTGATATTCGAATGATTGCTCATTTACTACTTACTATAACCCGTCCACCAGCACGATATCCTACTATAGAGCTAGCTAATTGAAGCTCGTTCCTGTTCAACCACCATATCGTACACAAGAAATCCACTAAGAACTATGACTATACTATGACTTAAGAGAGAAGGGAAAAAAATAATATCAAAACAAATAGCGGCAGAAAGAAGAAAAGGAATCGCCAGAAACACCCAATGTTGCGCAATATTTGCAAAAAAATAAGAATCAAGTACTCGATAAACAGAAACAAAAAAAACACTGAGCAGTCATTTCGACACTGTATAAAAAGAAGAAGAAGAAAAGTAAAAGAAATGTTCAACCGCCTTTCTCGCCCGTTCGGTATAGATATAATATACTCGTGATAGTAGTAAGTTTGGTTCGTCTTCGTTTTCCATGTTGAATTTCCCGCCTGTCCGTCCTATCATATAGTAGTAGTAGTAAAAAATAAAATGTGGATATATAAATTAAAAAAAGCATGTTGAAACGCCATTGAGGATGATGGTTTGGTAAAAAGATAAAAAGAAATTCGATGATAAAGAGTAAAGGTTCATGGCAGCAGGAATGATGGAGTCTATCATTTCGACTTTTGTTTTCGCCAGAGTTCCAGAATAAAAGATAGCAACCTTGTAGTAGTAGTAAAGTAGAAAGGGAGCGAGGTATAGAGATAAGAAGAAAAAAAATAGAGAAAACACCGATGCGATGCAGGTGCGATAAAACAAAGCATTCTCATGAGTAAAAAGGGAGGGGTTTATCGACGACAGCAACAGTAGGGAAATCGTAGAAAGAGAGGTAAAGAGAAAAGGAAAAACAAAAACGCTATCAATACTTGCCCGTAAAATATACGCCTTTCGTTCGAATCCATTCCGCGAGAGCCCTCCTTCAGCCACTATTTACACACCATATACTTTCCTAGCTCTCCGGTTTCTTTGCAGAAGCGAACCATCGTCCCGTTTCAGGGATATAAGCCACGAGCCCTCTTCGGATCGCATCAGCTCTCTACGCCGATGCAGCCTCAACAGGCTCGGTTTGTGGTTGTTTCTGTTGCACCCCCATGTACTCTTCGACAACATCCGCGACGTGCCTAAGCATCCCCGGATTGCTATCGTTATCGTTGTCGGGGCTCGCCACAGTCCCAAGATTTTCATGGCGGAAGATATCATCCTGAGCTTCCAAGACCCTTGGGTCAGCTACGTGAACTTTCCCAATATGTTCGGCACCTTCGTCGGAAAGACCGGCTTCAGGAATGTTGTCGCCATAAACAGTCTTCAACTTTCCTGCCGCCCGGCTCATCTTATCGTTCTCGAGTAGTTGTTCGACGATTCTTCCGCGTGTGTTGATTCTTAACGCTTCGTCAAATTGCGCGTTCTGTTCTTCGATCATGTTGCTTCTGAATGAATTGTAGGAGCCTTGGCTAAGGAATGAACCGGCAAGTGCGTCTTCGTAATGTGCATCGTCGTCATTCTCGTCGTCATAGTACTCTTCTTCGCCATCAATTGGTCCGTCTTCATCATCCTCGTCGTCATCCTCGTCGTCATTATCCTCGCCTTCGTCTTCGGAGTCGCTGAAGGAAGCATAGTCAATTGGCTGTCTCCAGTAAATGAAATCCGTACAAGACTCGTCAGTTGTTAAATTTGAAGTCGGTGGGAAGAAATGGTCGACGTCGTCCCTCATGTTGACATATGTAGACTTGTAGGTTGTCAAAGTGAGAAGGTCCAGAATGACCGATCCGTTCGAGTCGATGGTGTAAATCCTAGTCGATGGGATGTTAACCGATCGATAGGAAAGGGCATCTGTCAACCGATTTCCGAAGCCCGCGTAGAAGGGGTTCGCATTCTCGCCGAACAAGCTAAGGATGTCACGCAAACATGCCATCTTGAAGACTTCCGGTTTCCGAAGATAGACTTCGCGACGCAGGGCAGCGAGAGTTCGATCCGGAGACATGATAACTGGTCCCTTTGGAAGCTTGTATTTGTCTTGCACGATACCATTCAGGTAGTTTCGTGTGGTATCCGCTTGACCAACGGATCGGCTGGTGAGGTAGATGATATTATACCCGTTGGCCGAAATCTCAGTGAAGAGTTTGGCTACACCCAAATGAGTCCAGTCCCTTCCGAGCATATTGTAGAAATGTCCGAGAGCATCAGACTTGGTGATTGTTCCATCGATGTCGGAAATCACGATTGGGATGTTCCACTTCCACAGCCAAAGGTTGGCATTGCAGACGGCCTTGTTGACCGAGAAGCTGAGAGTATTCGCACCGGGCTTCAAGTCCAAGCTCTTAAGTTGGCAGCTGGTCAACCGTAATGTCTTTGCATAGTTTTTAGGTTCCGACTGGAGTCCTCTTGGGGGCGGTGTCTTCGGTGGGGTGACAAGCTGCTCATTTGTCATGCTCTTGCCGTCATCCGACGAATAGCCAGACTCGAGATCAGAAATATCGATCGGTCCCGCGGAAGCTTCCCTTGCCCGCCTATCGGCCTCAGCCTTAGCTTCTTCGCTGGTATAGATAATAATATTACCATGCCTGTCTGCTCCAATCAACGAGCCAAGATCATAACCCGACTCGAATTCGTCAGCCAGGATTCTCCTAGCCATAACCTCGGCTTGTAACGAGTCCTCCTCCCCAGTCTTGTAGCCGTTCATATCGAGCATCAAGTCACCATCGTCGGTAATCCTCGTGGGAATCGAGATCTTACGAGAGAGCGCTCTAGCTCTTTCGAATCTCTCTGGATCACTGAGGGGTGAAGAGGAGCGAGGCGTATTCTCAGCTGATTTCGCTTTATGACTGTCATCGAGGCTGAACTTATGGCCCTCAGATGGTAGGATATCGGCCGAGGTTGATCGGTCCAAGCCACTATATTTCCAGTCGCCACTCTGCGGTCGGACTTTGATAACATCTGGTGGAGATAACGAATACGGCGAGGCTTGGCCGGCGTCCGACTGTGCCCTTCGAGGTATAGCGACAGAATCCGAGGTAGCAGCAGATGACGTCTTTCCCGCGTTCTCTAGATCCTCCAAAGTTTCCAAATCTAGCACGGATCCACCATCTGAAACCGGGGACATCGGTCTAGGGCTGGAAGCAGGTGATACTAGGGGCGATGTTTGCAGGTCTTCTGGGATGTCGCTGGTGGTTTCGAAAACGAAAAATGCCTCTCCTCCCTCGCCTAACTTCATGGGGAAGTTGGTTCTATGCCCATTGACACGGAATTCCACCTAAAATTGGCAGCATACCGAAGTTAGTTCTAGAATCAGGGCGGATGACAGGGCGGTAAGCTAGGGTAGGGATGTGAGGCTTGCCTTCTTCTCCAGCGGCCGTAATAACGAAAACTTGCCAAAGCGAACATGGAAGGGAGAGCAGGCCAAATCTCCTAGAAAAAACAGCAAGCATCGTATTAGCATGTGATAGCTTCATCCATCCTGAACATTTCGAAAGACCACCATACCATTTTCCTGTTCAACAACAATAACGTCGATTGCACCGCTAAGAGTAGCAGGGTTTATGGAGTTGTAGGTCTTTGTGACAGAACCGGCGATACTTCTGACGTACTGCATGTTGGCGGATTCAGTAGTCCCTAGAGTGTACTACTATCGACTATCGAAGTTTGAATGTTTTCGAGGGAGAGAATGAAAGGAATGAAAGGCCTCCTTGACGGAGAAGGGGCTTCCTTGGGGTTTTCTTCGAGCACACGACTCTCACACTCTCACTCTCACTCTTGGACTCCTGTCACACTCTCATGCGCTCGAAATGGAAATGGTATGGGGAAACGTGGTGTGCAAACTGAGGTTGTGGCGTCAAGAATGAAGGAAAGGGACGCGGTATTCTTAGGTAACGTAGCGAAAGCAAAGAAAACGGGCGACAGGCGACGGGTGACGGACGACGAACGACGTAGAAAGAGAGAAGGCTGGCTAAGTAAGGCTCAGAAGCTCCAGACCAGCGTTTAAAAGAGTAATGACGACAAAGTGCAGAACCGGAGGTCGCAGGGCCTTGATTAGCCGTTCCTAATAGGTGTTTGTTGGGCAGCTGACGACCACCACCACAAGCCAGGCTGGGGAGTTTTAAGCTAATTAAGCTGGCTGTCGGCTTTACGGCGATCTCCTAAAGTGACGACGGTTGAGACTACGAACGAAGGAGAGATGCCGATTCGCTGTGTATTGTGTGAAGTAGTTCGAGTCCTAGATGTGAAGATGGATGATGATGGTGATGATGATGTTGTGAATGAAAAAGAGCAAGCAGAAGGAAGGTTTCGAGGCAGTGGCAGGCAGTGGCAGGCAGGTTATTGGAGATTTGTGTTCTGTTCCGATCTGTTCGGTTTCAAACGTTGGATGGAATTGGAAAGTGTTGAATTCAACGTTCTGATTCTTATTCAAGTTAAGTTAACGTCAACATACGAGTCCTGCTATCTGCTTCTATTTTATATAATTTGGTTCTCTTATAAGGCCTCGGGATTTCGAACTTGGAAATTTGACTCGGGTTTGCTTTAATATATTATTAATTCCAGGCGGATAGCGGATAGCGGGGGGGAAGGAGGAGGATGAGATCGAAGAGCCGGCTGAGGCAAGATGCTAAGTTAAGTAGATAACCTGTTCGGGTCGACAATTGAGCCAGTGAGATGAGACGATGACAGTCTGTGGGACGGCTGGAATGCTTCGGATTTTGCCTTCGAACAATCAAAAACAATCAAATTACTGCTCGAATGGGCTGAAACAAAACCTCAAAGGCTATGAGACGAAAATAAAAAGAAGAGTCAAAAGAATACGAAAACTACGAAAGGGTCCTTTCTACGGTAGGGGCTTGTTCCGGTCTTTATTGAAAATTACAATGGTATACCGTCCCCTCCGGATATATCTCCAGATACGTCCATGGCCAGAGACGAAGACACTCAAAGCCTAAGCAGTTATTACATACATTACATTCCCACCATTTGCAATATTTAATCCCAACCGCATCAAGTATCCCTGTCGCAGCCCGTACGTGCAGGCCAGGCGCCGACTCGACTCCAAAGGAAATCATGGCACAAATGCGAACGTTCCAACCCCAATCGAAAGATGGCAGGATGAGCCCTCAACAGCCGCAGAGCCAAGGCGTAGGGCGGGGAACCACATGCTACATCGGTTCGGTCGGAGACTTCGAGAAAAGCATTTGTCTGCTCTAGCTCTTCCCGGTTCATGCGAGGATGGGGGAACTCCATGCAGACTTTTGGCCCCAGTTTGGTTTTGGTTCTCGATGCACTCGCAAGGTTACAGTTCCGGCAGCAGGTCACTTTTCATAATTAAATACATCATCCTACCCAGTGACGAAGCTCTGACGGCAGGTACAGGAACTAGTTGATGGAAGCCTCGGTCCAGCCAGGGGTCTTGAGTTTACAGGGATCCATCATTCCTGTCTCCTGTTATCTGTCAAACTTGTGGGTATTTAAGACTGATCTTGAGCAAAGAAAAAAAACTTTTTATACGTATAGGCGTATTATCGTTCGGAAATCACAAGCTTGGAACCCGGCGGGATTTGCACTATGCCGAAAGCCCCCATTGGAGGGATAAGACAACCTCGAGTTCCAGGTTTTTTTTTTTTTTACTTTCTCTATCAATTTCGTTCAAACACACCTGCGAACGGCTGTTTACAATTGAGATCCAAGTCCAATGCAATGCATCGAAGGGTTTAAGGACTCTAGCTCAAATCGATAAGTAGCAATCATCTTCAACGGAGACATACCGAGTCCGTTGACCGATTACGATCCGCAAAGTCGAGCTCAGGTCATTCGTGTCGGCCTGAAAAGGGTTGAGCTCCAATGGTTGCAATCGTGGGGGCTTGGGATTTCGAAACGGGCGTCCGTCATCAGTCACCTGGTACATTCACTTATTAGCCCCAACAGCCGTTAGAAAGAAGGTCCTGGCGCCCATCGATGGCACTAAGCCGTCGTCGGCACTTCAAAAAGCTTCAGTTCTGCAATTCTGCCCCAACATTTGATGCATAGCTGCACAGTTGATGCACGATGCTTGATTCAATTTAATTTACCCCGGACATTGATAGAGTTAGGCTCTTTCCCTTTAAAGGTTTGCGATATCGCGCCGATTGGTGCTCAATGTTAATGCGGAAACCATTACATTCCTGAGGATGCCCTGCAACTGGGTAATCAGGCGCCCTTGAGGCCTTCCTATGGCGGTTTTACACTTTTAGTATGGGCTCCAACGGATATTAAGTCTCGGACAGAACTGGATTGGATTGGTCCTGGGCTTCTGGTTGGATTCAGGACTAGGTTGTCGACCGGGATCTGGCTAACCACACAAACAACACCAATTAAATCACGGCGACTGGCATACAACCGGACAGCTTCTCGAAGGTATCCTACGAGTATTCTATAGGAGTTTCACTGCGAAACTGAGTCAAAGAAAAATCTAAATTTATCTTTTGTTCGTATGGTACACACATAATCGATTGTATGACAACGTGACCTCGAACTTGGAGAGGGTAATAAAGTACAACAACCGCGCCTGTCGAGCTGATTGGTAGATTTTCTAGCAGCGCAGTGTCCACATGAAGGCAAATTATTGTAACGGTAACCATAATCGTCAGCGCTTGACGAACGTGACTATCATTCGTTCAGATTCGACGTAATTCGTTTTATCTCGAACTCTTTGGCGCTATCAGTCACTTTTTCGGTATCAAAGGTAGCATTCCCAAAATCGATTATTCGAATTTGCAGGGGATCAGAACCATTTTCCTTGTCGTAAGTTATGTTGCTACGCCTGATATTCCCGTGCAAGACCCCAAGTCGGTGAATTTCCAACAATGCTTTTTTGGCCTGCTCCTTTGTGGCTGGGTCTTTGAAAACGTGCTCGTTCATTTCTTTGCCACAGTCTTCTAAAACTACGATACCGTATCCGCCGTCTATGTGATCGCCACTGACGTATAGTCGTGGGATGTGAGTGCCTTGGAGAGACGATAGATGTTTGTACCTAAGTTTGAATCTTTAGTAAGGGATATCAAAAGAGGTATTGAACAGGGAAATAGATAGATAAATATATCACGAATCAAAGGGGGGTATTTATTACTTACATTGCTACCTCTTTTTGTATTTTAGAATCGTCTTTGGATTGTAAAGATCATACATCTTTACAATAACCGATGTTCCCGTGCAAGTCTCGGGATCCTGACCTGCAATGAAGGCCTTGGCTCGTATAACCTTTGAGTGGCATCTTCCAATAGCATGTTGCAACAAAAATCGCAGGTCCTTGGCGCTTTTCCCCGCACTATTTTCGCGGCCGAGTTTTAAGCCTGGAATTGGCGTATTGATTTTGCTGCGTCCTTCAAGTAGGAGAATGGTCTCTGGCAGCTCGAACGTGGATGTAGGATCTATCGGGACATAGGTGGGATCTTTCCTGAAAGCCTTAAAAACTGCAAAAAGGTATGCGGCGAGGGGAGTTGGGAACCTTTCCTTCTATGTCAATTTCTGAGGAACACTCGAGCAAGCCCTCTGGGTAGTCTGTAGTGTGGATACGCCTGAAAACTCTTGTTGATTCAACGGTAGTTAAGATACCATAGTCGACCTTATTGTAGTACATATAACCGTGGAGTTGATGAACGGCTCGTAGGTACTTATTCGCCCCGTCTTTTCGGTTCTTGTTGACTTCGGTGACAATGTCTACTCCCTTGAGAGGAAGTTCGTGTGGTGTCTTGGTATTTACGAGCAACTTGGGCATCGGCATTCCTTGGAAACCAGAGCCTTCTCCTTGTTGGAATATAAGTACTCGGCTGGGGAACCCGATGTTCAAGAACGGACTTGGTGGGCGAAAGACTGGACGCGATCGTCCACCGTATATGGTCTCTATGGCTTTCAAGCATGGGTTTTCGAACGCATCGATGGAAGAATCTTTGACTACGTCTTCGTCTTCCAAATTTGTATTTCGAAGGACTTTCAATCCTTGTTTGTCAAAGGTCGAAAAATCGAACTATCTCATATTTCGGATTTGAAAGGTCAGCGACGAGATAGATTTCCTAATACTATCGCTATAGTCATTCAAGCTTACACGAGGTTCTAGAGCCACTTTCGAGAATATATCGACTTCATCGAAGAAGGTTTTCCAGGTCCTGAATTTAACTTTCAAGGCTGTTGGATCTGGACCGGCGAGAGTGGGTTTGTTAAGTTGCCACTACAACTGTTAGAGACTTCATGAAGGAACTCTTTGACAGTTAACCTAGGATATAGGTTGGGCAATAGACGCGTCCTCACCAATGTAGAGCATCTCAAAAACCTTTTACACTCGCGAGATCGTGGAGTGCTAGATTTGATGAAGGCAAGATTTGGACGATACATTTCGTTAGGTGGTCTGTGCAATGACCGGGTATGAAATTAGAGGTTGGTGTAAAGGTTAGAGCTGAAATTTAAAAACTAGTCCTGTGAGGTTGCTAGGATTGGAACTGTCTATGATCCCAATATGTAGAGTTGGTGAAGTTGTAGCTGGATCAATGAAACGCTTAGCGCTGAGGCCGTCTACAAGACCCATACAGTTCTCAAAAGAAAAATCCAACAGCGTTGTGCGTTGCAACAAAACCTCTACTCTCTTCAAGCAGGACCCTTCTCTTCAACCGTTTCACAGTCTAGGCTGAATTAAACTACATGCATAGAGCTACACAAGCAAGGATCCTCCTGACCCAATGGACCCTGGCTGATTCTGGTCCACATTGGCGAACCTTTTCAACAAAAGACAACACTTTTTAGGCTAGATTGTGGGTCGAGGGAGCTCGATGGGGACGGTTCGAGGTTCAACGGTTGTTATTTTCTTCCGGATTAATTATAATAGGCGCAGAAGCTAAAATTGGGCAGGTGCTCATTCAGCCGTTTTCTAGGGTCCTATTAGTCCGTATTTCGGATGGGCATGCTAGATCTATAGAACTAATTTTGCATATTGAAGCTATCGGGCTTTTTTGCTTTAAGCCTTTGTACAGGAACAGTCTTCATGATCTTGAAAGAAAGAAAGAAAGAAAGAAAGAAAGAAAGAAGGTATGAAATAAGACATTTTCGTACATATTTGATTCCCTATACGCCCACAGAGTGCAGTACAGTGGAGATCGATGTTAAAACTAGATAGTTACAACTACCATATCATATGATCACCCAACTGGCGGGCCTGTGGATTTTTGGAACATTCTTTCTTTTCGTTCGAAAGAAAGCTAGTCAGCTAGCTATCTGTAGCGTATAAACTTAAACGCTTAGTAATTTTTCCTCATTGCATAGAAGGGTCCGGCTCCCGGATGTTAACGTTAACATCCACCAGCGCTGCAGCCAAGATAACCTTGATGAAAATCCAACATCAACGCAATACATATATATATCGGCCTCCTAAGTCCAAAATCATACAAGATCGATGGAAATGGTAACGTATACGTTCTACAAGCCAGAGCATCACTATCCAAGTCTTAGGGATTCTTGAAAGTTTCAACATTGCTCAATGGTTTATAACGTTTAATTTATTTTGCATGGCCCGCTAGAAGTAGTTGTCCGTTGTGCACTATTCGCGATCGGTCTGCTTACAGCTAAGCTAGGGCCCCCTTGAACGGCCGGTTAACGGTACACGGTGGGTGTTGGGTGATGTTGGCTCATGTTACACAGAATTTATGCTTCGAGTCGGCTCCGCCCGTGCCCGCGTCCATTTTCCCATTCATATAATACACATCCAATGTTAGGACTAGAGTCTGCATTAGAGAATTAACGGCTGTGTATTGCTACCACATAGGGGTGGGGGCTATCAAGTCTGTATGGAGCTATGAGGGCGACTATTAATCATTTCTGTCTAATTCTAAGCTCTAAATCGTATGCCCTCAATATTGATATTGCTTAGAAATAATTTAATTTATTGTGTTTGGTGGACGATTCAAATGTGGCACGTATCTTATTCTCTGCTCCACGATAGAAACAGGCGAATTCAGCTGATTAAATTTCGAAAATGACAACTAGCTTTGGTATCCGAGATTGTTGATATCGCTATTATTTGAATAAGCCACACGATCGATGAAAGAATGGTCCATTCTTATACTACTAAGAGGTGAAGTTATGTATACCATCAATGGCTACTGGTCCTCTTCTATCCGTTTGCAGTGGCCTTAAAGTTACCCGAGCCCGCGAGGTTATTCAAACCAACATGAAACTTAAAGTCTGTATCACACTCGAGGGCGCCGGCGGTATTATAGACGAAACGACTGGGTGGGTGGTGCATAACTGCGTCTCCTCTTGTCTAATATGGTTGTACGGGTCTGCGTGTGCAGTATGTCGCCTTCCAGTTGAAGTCGGTGGGTGGGCCCAAGTGTCAATTTGCTGTCCTCGTGGATGCGACATCTTTAAGGTTGTGTGTTTAGCCCATTTCGATACCTGATAGTTCTACCCTTATATAATTGACCGTTTCATGTTCTTAACGTGAAAAATTCCTATTCCTCCTAATAGTAGCTGGATATATCCGAGGCTCTATTCTACCTGTGGTTTTAAAAGGTTGGAGCTAGTTCCAGATCCGGAGAGCCCTCAAGGCTGCAATGCTTTAGATATAGTTAGAGCTCCGACGTTAAGATCGAGTATTTAACCGGCGGTCCTCATGGTTGAAAATGGATTTGATGTATATTGGTTAACCTCAATCGGCAAGTTTGTCTTAATTTATGCAGAAGTAGAAGGTTGAGGGGTTAACGGTTCGAGATTGGATTTTTTTTTGGTGTGCTGTTGCAATTTTTGCCCTGAAGATGCCCAACCCGGTTTTTCGAATTTCCCCCAAAGTTTCAAGGGACCGAGTGCAACGTTGATATATATCAGCATGGACACAAGACTACTGTGTAGATATCGATCATAAAAGAGGAGAGTGTATTAAGATTGAAGAGTAGGAAGAGTTTTGGATTGTTTATAGATCATCCCTTCTACCTGCCTTTCGTCCCAAGGGCTAACTATTTCGGGTTGGTCCGCCCAAGGCTGACCAGCACAGCTGAACTTTGTGGCGTTTTTTTATGCAAGCATATCCTATTAAATGCACGTGTTTTCACCAGAGATATGGACTGGCAAATGAGGTTATGAGGTGATTGATGCATAATATGTGCCACTTGCTGGATGCTACCTTGACAGGGTCTCTTTCTGAAAAAGGGAAGTGTGGGGGCACAGCACATATGAATTGGGTGTGCGAGCGATAAGGGTTTTGCTGGTCCAGCCCGTCGAAGCCATGGTATGCATGGCTGTGTATACGAGATCGGGAGGATCTGTTGACGGAATGGAAAAAGCTTTAGCCAAGTATTGAAGGAAAGTCAAGGCAAAAACCTGTAATGGAGACCTAGACCTTGTTTTTCTCCGAAATGCGTCTTAGGTACATACCGCAGTGCTTACGTTCTCTCCATCGTCTTAAACTTTTGTGTAACTACTTCTAGCTTGACATATTACACGGCGGCTATTATTTCCTAGGCCATAAAGACATCCGTTCAAGCTAAGTCAGCAGCTGGGGCCTAACCCGTTCAACAAACATCGGTAATCATCAGACGAAACTGTCTAAGTTAACCTCAGGGTCGGGTCTAATACCGGTATTACTTAATATTCACCCTTGCGACTTTTTACTTTCCGCCACAGCGAAGATGTCGACCGACGATTCTCTCCCTTTAAATTCGTCCAAAAAGGCCTACTCGAAGTCGCATGCCCGGAGTTTATCCTTGGATCTCGACCTGAAGATGAAGAATACTCTCGTTTCCGCTCCTCCTTCTCTCAAGCGATTCGTAAAGGCGGTTTATTCTTGGCCAGTCTTTATCGCTGCCCTGTCTGTCACATTCGTTTTTCTACTTGGCTATCATCTGGGCAACAGTGCTGCGGAATATAGACCTGGGATTGGTCCTGATATCTCTCTCCAGGTAAGTTTTAAGATTCTTCTCAATTTTCTCGCGACCCCTCTTTTCATTAAACATCGTCGACGTCGACTCGGTGTAACAGCTCTGGTATTTGGGACTGGATACGTGCATAAACTCGGCTATGGAACCCTCTGTAGTCATCTCTTGCTCCTGTCTGTCATTCCTAATCGGCTGTGAACATATGTTGGTGTTTATGGATTCTCACATCAGAATCTGGTGATATAAGGCTTCGAGCTCCTACAAGATGAATGACTAATCCTAGCGCTCGATGTGATCATAGACTTCACTCGCACCGATAAAGGACCGACCCTTGATCACATATGTCTACTTCGAAACGGAAAATGCTCGCAAGAACGCCCTCTTTTTCATCCGACATGGTCTCCACTTCGAGGCAGATTTCATATTCATCATTAACGGCGAAAGCGACATTGTCGACCAAATCCCAGTTTTGTCGAACATTAAGATAATACGACGGAAGAATACTTGCTTCGATTTAGGTGCCCATGCTGAGGTACTAACCGATAATAACAATGCTTTGATAAACAGCTATAGGCGATTTATTTTACTTAATGCCTCTATTCGAGGGCCCTTTATGCCAACATGGAGTCGAGAATGTTGGAGTGATGCATACTTGGCCAAAGTCACCGAGAAGAATAAGGTAGGTCATGGATTTCTAATTCTTTGTACACGTGTAAATATGTCGATATAGTTGTGACTATCGGCTCACGTTTACTCCTTGTTAAGTTTTATGCTAATACAATGTTGTGATACAGTTGGTCGGCATGACTATGAACTGCAACATCGACAAGGGAAGGATGAAGGTCTTGAACTCAATGATATACGCCACAGACCGTATCGGTCTGAACCTTATCCTCCCAGTTATCTCGCATTGCTTTAAAAACTTTGGCTCTGCTGTACAAGCCGAAAACCGAGCCGCTCGAGAAGTTCTTAATCAAGGATACGATGTTGAGGCACTTATGACCGCTGCATCCTCGCTACCCGATTACGCCAGACAATGCACCCATGGCACCGTCCTTCGACCTAACTCATACTTTGGTATCAACCTTCATCCTTACGAAACAATATTTCAGAAGGCGAATCGTGACATTGCTCCGAAAATGTTGGATTTAATGACAAAATGGCATGACCAGTCGAACTATTCCAGCTGGGAAGTTTGCTCGAAAGCGAAGAAAGGGATCTGGTAGACTGTTTATGAGGGTATCTTTGGGATATAATGAGTCGACGAATTGGGGCGAATAGAAAGGGCAAATCATGTTTTGACTTAATATAATGTACCAAGGTGTAGGAGGCGTATCGGGCGTTTATGGATATCAATGTGGCCACGAACTCGTGTATAGATACACGTGTGTACTAGTACTGCGGTTTATCCACAAAGTACCTTAGTACATATGTACTTAATGGAAAGATAATATAGTCTATAAGCAAGCATAGTATTCAAGCCAACGTGTAAATGTCGTGATAGGAAGTCGAGAAACGGCTGTTACCTGTTGCATGTTGGCTGTATGTCGTCGAAAACAGGCTAGAACGGTTATATTAAAATTGCTAAGAAAAATTGAGTGTGGCTTGGCAGCTCTAAATCATGCAACATCCAATGCAAACCCCCATCTACAAACAGTTCCTCCAAAAAACCCACTGAACAAACAACCTCGATTCCTCTCACCAAGGGCTTCAAATCCCCAGATCCGGCAGCATAAACCGTGGCTGTCCTTTGTTAGGCCGGCCATAATGGTCGTCGCTTTAGTGGCGACACTTCTCGCCCTCGCATGGTACGCTCGTGATCGTTCTCCTCGCGGCATCCTCGCCCAAAAAGCGATCAAAACGTGGAGGGTAGACTTTCAAACACACAGGAATTGTGTACTGATGATATCTTCTACAGGCTTACTCACCGAGCATCGAAACTCCTTGCGATTCCGATTCCCGTCTTAGTTAAGGGACTAGGACTAGATATACCGGCACCTCCGCGGGTTTCACTACACAACATCTCAGCAGATTCAATCGAATTGCATTGGGCACCACCTGAAAAAGCAGGATCTGTGGCAAAACACATAATACAAATCAATGGCCAGAATGGTGAGTGTTTTTGGCATATTCTGTTGTGTTAGTTGCCGAGGGAGATGACATCTGACATGGGGTGGAAACAGTTGGCGAGAACGAACGCAGGGATACGAGCGTCGTCGTCACCGGCCTTAGCCCCGACCAAATCTACAACGTCCGTGTCATAGCCGCAAATTCATCGAATTTTCAAGCACCCAGTCCCTTGATACGGTTACGTACGCTACGGTCCAACGATGAAAATCCCAGGGATGGAGTTGGTGCTGCTACAAGTGTCGGTTCCGCTGCCGGTGGAGTAGCGACAGGGTTGGGAGCGGTCGGTGGAATGAATGGCGCAATTGGCAATAATCCGGCTCTTGGTCCAGACGATATTCCTACAATCCACGCTACCGATAATTTGGCTCAGACCCCTCAATCTAGACGGACGTTCCGGCGACAGCATTCACCGAATACGACAGAGGAGAACCTTCTGGCTACAAACGGGGCGGCAGGTCATGGCACCTCCCCTAGCGATCCAGCTACAACCGACGCTACCGTCGAAGCTCTAACAGCTGAATTGGAGAAAATTCAACGGGAGGCAGAGGAGTTGGAGTCTCAGTTCCTATCTCAGGAGGACGAACATAAGGCTGCCGAGGCTCTCCTGCTTACGGAATTAGAGGGTGTCCGAGACAAGAAAAAGGAAGAGGATAACATCAGGTCTCAGTTAAGGACGGAGACCAGGACACTTGAAGATGCGAAGCGTGCAGCAGAAGCCCAGAGAACCAAGGTTGAGAAAGTCCTGAAGGCACGCCAAGACGAGATTACGAAAATGCAGGAAGACTGTATTCGGTGGGATGAAGAGAGAGAGGCAGCATTGGAGGCGCTTCACAGGCTCGAAAGTGAAGCAGAGGCAAGAAAACAGGAAGCGGAAGATATGGGGAAAAACAAAAAGAAGGAACTGGAGCCTATTCTCACAGAGTTGGGTAGCCTAGAGGAAGAAATAAGAACTCTTTCCTTAGCGATTAAAACGATCAATGATGAAGAGGAGAGGCTCAGAGAGAAAGAAACTGACGAGAAACCCAAATCCATTGACGGTGATCCAACTGCGTCTGGCATCCTGCCAGGCCTACCAGGCATCCCGCAACTCTCACGGGGCCCTAGTTTCCCCGGTGAGCCCGAGGATGCCCGAATCGAGCGGGAATGGCAGGCTCGGTTTAAGGCATTGGAGTTGAGATACATGGAAATCCTTAAACACTTCCAGGCTGCACAGGATGAGTTTTTTCGCTCGGAGCATCAACTGCGTGCTTGGCATGCTCGCAGGGCTAGCCTTCCTGCCCCTCCATCCGATTCAACAAGCCTCAAAGGCAAGTCAAAACAACGGAGGAACCGTACTCGGAAGAATCGCACTCAGACGGTCTCTTCTCCATTAAATGTCTATCCTATGGGGGACCTTCCATATATGCCAGGTTCTATCCCCTTTAATCAACCTCCAACACCGTCGTCTACAACTGCTCCGACACGAACTTCTCCGCCTTTCCCTTCTTTGCTCCCAGCAGCCCCGTTATTCGGATATGGAAATGGTATCGATCCCATGTTTACACCTGAGATGGATAAAATCACGGGCGGCGCACCTATGTCTCCGACTGCAGATTCTCTCCTTCCCTCTAACCTTTTTATGAGTATGGACGAGGTCCCACCTAGTCCAAAAGGGAGCACATATCTTCTTGATCCTCAAACTTTTCCAACGAGTGATAATATTCAACCTATGATTCCGGCTGCCCAATCGCCCGGATCCTCGAATTCAATGTCTAATTCTCAAGTCTCATCGCCCCGGACTTCTTTCCCACAATTCCCTGTATATACTACTGAGGAGTCCGAAAGGCTGAACCGATCTAACAGCATTTCATCCGTTAATAATAGCCTCCGGGGCATCCCTCCACCGATGCCGGAGGAACCTGTTCCTCCCAAGAAAATGTTTCCGAATTTGTTTAACTTCACTCGACAGAGGGGAAAGACGTTATCAAATGAAACACCTGCACTCGGAAGTCTCAAGTCATCCCAATCAAGCTCTTTCCCAAAGCAAGAGGGCGCGGGCCTTGACCCAATCGGCACCCGTCGTCGGAGTGGCTCTCATGGAACTAGTTGGATGACGACTTCTGGCCTTGGGTTTCTCTCGAATAGTACGAATATCAAGCGCACTTTGAACAATACGAATGGTTCGCGTACTTCGTTCAATCACTTTGACCCCGAGTCAGATCCTTTGGACCCTTCACGACTTCTCTCAAAGGAACCACTCTCACCACGCCCCTCATCCATATCTTCTTTTGGGGAGAGCACTCTTCCCAAGCCTACAGCCGACTTTAGCGCGTTCGGATGGCCCGCCCGTGATAACGCGGTAGTTGTGCGTGCAAGCCCTCTCGCTGCAAATTGGGCCGATATCCCGAATGTTAATAATACTTCGTCTCTCATTCCATCTCTCCCACCTTCTCCCCAGACCTCGCCCCCGCATGCCCATCCGAGCCGCCTTGCGAAGATATTCTCCTCAAACAAAGGAAATACTAGCTCACCAGCCCCAAATACTAGTGGTGCTATCGGCCCACCTTCATCCTCCAATGTCAAGCTGAACCCTACGGCGCCGACTTTCGATGCATATAACGCCGGCTCGAGCCCATCCTCCCATCTACATGCTGAAACTCGATCGCTTAATACGGAATCTTCATTTGCAAGCTCTGCCAGTCTTGATCAACTCGCTCTTACAACTTCTATCACGTCCGTTGATAAAGAGTCGGCGTCTAGCAGTGCTGGGAAGGAGTCATTGCTTAGTCGTATCGGCCTCAGCCGGAAGGGAAGCCATACGAAGTTGGTTGCTGGAGGCAATACTAGCAGTCCTAAGCTCGGATCTCCTGCGAAGTTTACAATCTCATCACCTTTTAAGAAAGAGGGTGGATTGTTTTCTCGGAAGAAAGGAGATAGCGCCGTCACTCCTACCACTGATGTGATTGATGAAGAGGTTGATGGGCTGAGTAATATTGTCATCCCGACTCTTGATGGATCAAGCCCTGCTGGGGCAGCGACTCCGGTCGAAGGAAAGGAAAAAGACAAAGAAGCAAAAGAAGGCAAGCCAGCAGGTGGAAGAAAAGGTCATAGCTCCTCTGGTTCTATTGGAAGCGCCACAGAGTTGTTCGGCTCGTGGAGACGAGAGAGCACAGATGCGCTCTCGAGCCCCTTTAAGAAAGAGGGTGGATTTTTCGGTGTGATCGGAGGTAACAAGAAGAAGAGAGGGAACATTCAAGTCGATGCTATGGCCAGCACCTCGGAAGCAGACGAGGACGAAGGGTTGGTTATGGTTGAGGGCGGGGAAATATATCCTAAAGACCACGAATACCAGCAACATCTTTCCCCGCAACAGCACCACCACGGACATCACTACGGACTTCTCCATAAGAAGGGCAAAGAAAGTAGTGAGAAGGACCGAGAATTTCCTGGTGCGGCCACCGGGAGTGCTAATTAGGACTTACACTTCCTATACGCGTTGGGAGAGGGGAAGCAGGGAAGAAAAGTTGAAGATTGGAGTTTGTGGAGTTTGGGGGATATTATGATGTCTAATGTTCAGCAGCCGATCTGATATAATGCTATTTTGACTCTCTTTTATTATGTATTTTTTTTCTTTTTATCTGTCTCGACGAGGATACCTTGTATTAACCCAGGTCCTTCACGACTTTTTGTTTATGAGCGGCGGCATATCTGATGACGGGGGTGTATGTATTTATGAAGCTGCACGATGACGATGCACGAGTGTAAAGATATGATGTAGGGTGTTCGCGGCAAGATTTAATTGATGCTTGCGAGATAATCTCAGTGAATAGGATAGACGAAGCGAAACAATTCAATCGAATTCAAATCTAAGTACTTAAACGCTTCGAACAATAAGCCGTGATCTACTAGTGGCTGCTACTGAGCTTGACCGACTGAAGTTTTCGCTGAAGACCCGGGAGAAGGTGGGCCTGATTTGAAGTTACGCAGATTGTGGTGGCGGATGGAGGCTAGCCAGTTAAAGGTCTCGTCCCGGCGGACCAGTTTGTACTCTGGTAGGCATGCTGGACCGCGGCTCGTGTGTTGCGACAACACCCAAATATTTTTGAAGCCAGCAGACTAACTCATTGAGTCTTGATCGTAAATTAACGAAGTTTCTGAGATCAAAAGGTCATATTGTGTAAAAACCTATAGTCTACTCAATCTTTTGCTCGAACGGTGTCTGCTGCTGTTGACAGGGCATGGGGTGTAACGATAAACTTGTCCCATTTTAGGAACCGTCCGTTTTGGGAAATAGACTAAGCTCACGTGATTTGAGTTTAAAAGACAACAGACTCAACGCAAAATGGATGTGTTGGTGGGATGGAGATTTCTGCGGAGGATACCGTGGGCGGTGATATCGTGGATGCTTCATAGGTTTGGGGTTTTGTAATACATTTTATATGTTAGTATTGAATGTTAAAAGGCATATTCTGATATGTTTGATTCCCTGTTGTAAAGTTTATGCGGTGGCAATGGTGGATATATACTTCAACGTGCAATGTGTATGTGTTTTTCAACGATATCGATCTCGGGTCTGGGTCTGAGACAAATCGATATCTATGAACATGAGTATAGATATCAATACTGGATCCGCAACTGCTCAATTGAATCATGACCTAGTATAACAATAAATTAGCTTTCTGAGATACCGCAAGGATACGGCCCTGGCCTTGCGCATTATGGTGTTCGAATATCTTCATACCAAGGCCCTAGGCTGAGGTCCAGCCGCCAGTGTACTGGCCGGCTGGTCGAGGAACGGTAGTCCGGTGAAAGTTATCTCGCGATCTTTGAAAATATCATTTCCGGGTAAACGAAACCGATTTCTGTCCGCGCTATGCTCGTAGATGCCTCCCTTATGTATTAGCGGCTTTAGGTTTCTTAGGCCGGTTCCGCTGTAACGCTTAGGCTAGAAATACCTCGTGAGGCCTTCTCCCGGGTATAAATTAGCTCCCCTTTCCTCCCTTCGAAGAATATCTCTCTTTTCACAAACTTGTTCAATCTTCTTCCTGCTCTTCAAACAACTCGTCATTTCTCTTCATCGATCTCCAGCTCTTTCCAGCAATATCTCAAACGACAAGCAAGATGGCAGATCCACCACCACTCTGCCATTCGACTCCCTTGAAAGATGCGAACCCCAAGACACTCGCAGGGACCGAAGACCAGAAACATAAAACTACTGCCCCGGCCTTCGGTGGGGTCGGTACTACAAAGAACTTTTCTTTCGATTTCGGCGCGTCAGAAGCCCGACATGCTGTCACGGGTACGGAATTGGATGCTATATCATTAACAAGTGAGCCTGAGGCCTCCACCATAGAACTCGGGGATACTGCCATACCTGTTGAAGTCGAGCCTGAGAAAGCCAAAGCTACACCTAAAGATATCCCGTCTGGGTTGGTTGAAGAGTTTAGGGAGTCGTTGGAGTTATCAAAGAAGCTTAACGAAAGTCTTCAGCGTTTAGCTGGTCAGTTGGGGCCTGTATCTTTTGATATCAACGCGGACAAACAAAAATTGTTATCAGAACCAAAAGCTCCACAACCACCCCCTCCCATCAACATCATCAGCAACGATATTGGCCTTTACGAAATCCCTAGCTGGCAAGACAGAACTTCAAAGTGGAACCCATCAGAGAGCATTGATCTTACTGGAGCATCTCAGTTCCCGATCGACCCTGACACGATATCAGCACCTTCGGGGACATCTGCTGGTGCCAGTTTCCACTTGACTCGGAACAAGTCTTCTTTCTTTGTGCAGTCAGAGGCTTCAACAACTCGACCACCCATCAACCTTCCATCAAACAACAACGTCATCTCAAACAAAGCTACTGAACAACCATCTCAAGATCCCAAAGCTACTCCTTTAGGAATCAACGACGCGTCTAAACTCAAGCAGACCCTCTTTCCTTCTAACGTCGTCGAAGAGAAACCCCCAATTCCTGATCCAGAGCAGCACAAGAAGTTAAAAGAAGCTAGCATCAGACAGTGGGCAAACCATCTCCCTGTCTCCAAAACAGACGAAAAACACGTCCACGCTTTCGATATCGACAAACCCATCATCGATATTCCGACCGACAGCATCCTAAAGCAGGATACCTCACTAAAGTTTTCGCCACCAGATCCAAAAAACCGTCTCCAGCGTCGCCACTCAGATTCTTTCTGTTCCAGTGGCCGCGTTACGCATAAAAACACTTCATTTGTTGGCAAGATTAAACCTTACGATTTTGGAAGAGACCCAAAGCGTCGACCACGCACACCAACACGAAGAATGAAGTACGCCAATCGATCCCCTGATAAGTCCGAGCTTCGTAGCGACGACGAGCCGGAAGTTGATGATACCGAGCATGCTGAAGAAATCACTACCCCAGTAAAGTCCGCTGCTCAAGATGAAACTGCCTCCATCCTCACCGGCAATGATACCGACTACACCCCTTACAAAACTAAGCTCCTGCTTTCTGAGGAGGAAATGCGCAAGGAGCCGTATTTCTCAAAGCTCCTCCCCTTCAAAGATGTCAAGAGGACATCTGAGAAGAATCGTAGATACAAAAGGGTGTTCTACGATGAACAGTGCCGAAGTATCTGGATCGGTGCCTATGAAACGGTCAAGGCCCGAAAGACCGGCTCCTACAACCCCCTCACGGAGAAGAGGGAGTTCGACAAGAGGAAGGGAGAGCAGGAGATATACAATCCTGCAGATGAAAGTCGCGGATCCGTCGACTATAAGACCCACCAGGTCTTCGAGTGCTACTTCGGCATGCTTGAAGTGAACGATGAGATCAAGAAGATCACAGACAAGCAAGAAGCCGCTGGGGACGAGATCCCCAAGCTGAAGGAGCAATACGACAGCGGCGAATACGGCGAGTTTGAAACCGCCGAAGTCATGGCGCCATACATCCGCAGCCGTGAACTGGAAGTCACGACAATTCTTCCAGACCAGTTGAAGAAGCTCAAAGTCCGCCAGACTTTGTTGAAACGGGCCGGGGAGAACAACTTGTGGGATATCGCTAAGATGGACCACAAGTTCCACTATAACGGCGAGATGTTGGACGGAATCCTCTTTATGAGGAATTTCTTTGCAGAGATCAGCTCGGCCTACACGCAGGCCGAGCTGAAGGAGATGGGGATAGACATTCCCCATGAAGAGTTTTAATGGCCCCTCCCCCCACCATTGGCAACCATGCCTATTGTACCCCTCTCCCCCAGCCTGTTGCACACATACAAACTACATGTAACTAGTCAATCCTACCAGGCTTAATATCGATATTTGACCCCCGTAGTAGCTTCGATAGAACGTAGTGTTGCCTTTTCCGTAGGGGTTTTCTCTCTTCTTAATGGTTCCTTCGTTAAAAAAAGTCTGGACCGGGAATAGGTTTCTGTCTCGATATCACTGGACTTGGCTGGCCGGTTACGCATTCCAAAAATAAACTCAAAAGTAAGGAGAAAAAGGGAAAATAATTATGGAAATATATTAATACAAAGTGTACGTCTGAAAATACAACAAGATATAAAAGACGATGATGTACCGTCGGAAAATACCACAGGACGTTTATAGACGACTTCGAGGCCTTATAGGAAGGACAAATAAAATCTTATTTACACATTCTATATCCTCCGAAATAGTTTTCCGGCGAAAGGGATATCGATTCTAAGTTTGGAAGAAAAAGTTTGTCTGTCCTTGATTTTTGTTTCGAATCCTTTAAACCCTTTTCGAGAAGTTGTCAAGAGATACTCCAGATATGAGTCCAGTCGGGTAAAGATGGAAGGGACAGAAGCCCGTAGTAGAAAAAAGGCGAAGTCGCTTCAGGCTTGTTTCGTCACCAGAATCCTCGCAGAGTTGAAGAGTCTGGCGACGAGACAACTTCAGGCACAATATTGTTATGAAATGACTCACGTCGGTGAAATCTATCAGCCTTGCGGCAAACGCGTTTAACGTGTCAAAAATATCAGCCTCGTTTACCCATGACTGATATGTTCATGTTTGTCCCGTATGCTACCCTGCCGAAGCATTTCCTTCAAAGTCTCCCTTAATTTGCAACGTTTGACCCCAGAACTCGTTTGCAAATAGGATCCAGAGGAGCAACCCCCCCCTGAAACTGATTTTTGCAGATTCGAGCTCCATCTAATTTCAATCAATAGAGGATCAACGATCGTGAAGACTGGCGCACAGACCTACGGGAGTCTCTCAATCCAAGTCCTGTGTATGCGGCGTTGTGCAAGAGAGTCAATCGAATACGAAACCGATAGGTCTGGAGCCAGGAAAATCCTTGCTCATAGCATTCCTCAAGTCCCGGCGGCCCCGGACTACCCGACGGCGCCAAAGAGGTCGAGATAGCCAAGGCTAGAACAAAATTTGCAAAAGGATGGCGGGAGTTCTTCCGATATGCAGATGGAATTGCAGTTTTTCTCCCCAACTAAGAGGCCTGTCCTCACCCAATCACGGATCATGTCATCACTTGCAATAAAAGATGGCCACATCGTTTTAAGAAATTAATTCCGTCTGTCTCTGGGCAGCAGAAGCCAAAGGCTTTCAGGAAGAATTGTTGCCATGGCAAAGCTAGAGGGCGATAAGTGATCAAACACGTATTGGCATGAGAGGGCTGGGGTCTTGAATGAGGTTCACACCCATAGACGCGCAGACACATATGTACGTGTATGCACCTTGCAGGTCATCACTGAGTCAAAAGATAAACCCCCCACTTCACGTCTCCTGAATCAGGATTGTATTGCTAATAGAATTGTATCCCACCCTTTATTTTTTATTTTTTTGCAAAACTAGGTACTTCGTAACCCAACCCAAGTTTCGAACGTGAATCTAGGACAATATCAGGGCGTGTTGAGACATATTTTTTACTATATTCGTATATCTAGGTGAGAATAATTAGTACGTAGGTGAAGATACTTCTAATTTAAAACTACCAAACAAAAACTACCAAATTTAACAAAGTAAATGCTTTTTTTTATTTTTTTTTAATGTAAATATCTCAGCTTGTGAGATCCAAAATCTTAGAATGAATATTATATCTACCAATCTTGCAATAAGAGTAACAAATTTATAGCCCGCATCTTTAAAGTTTTCCACATATAGAACGTATATCAAACTGGTTACGGTGAGCTCGATTTCGATTGTATAGCATCATGTTTGTAATTAGACAAAAACAAATATTTAATAAATCGATCATGATAGCTACAGAATTGAGTTGAGTACAGGAGTTTTAACAAAACATTCAGGTTATTTGATTAAAATACGTAAGCAAAGAAACATAGCAAGGAGACTTTTTGGGAGCATGCTGGCAGATATTAATGTATTATGAGGGAAGCTTAAGGACAGCACGTACTAAGTGATCTTGACTCTGATACCTTATCTGCTGCCCATACATATCAAAAACTTTTAAAGAATCGAAGAGAAATCCAAAGATTTTGAAGAACATGCAATAAAAACACTATAACGATAAGTCGTGAATTTGAAATTGACACAACGAGTTAACGTTGCATAGAATTCCGTTTCCCGTTCAACACCGCTTTGTATCGTCGATGGTACCAATCGGATTGTGAAGATAGCCATCAAATCTAATTTCGATCGACCGTCCTGTGAGGAGTCGAAGCCTAACCGGTATCCGTACTTTGGCAAAGTAGAAATTGTGTCGGGGAGCCCCGAGGAATTTAATTAGTCCTAGAGGTCTCGAGGTTAGCCTTGAACTATTTTCCCCGGCCACCAGAATCATATTGTAGTAGTTGTGATCTTACCGGCGTCGACATCGATGGCGTGACCTATTTTGAGTTGATCTCAAATTGTATTTGCTCCTCTGGGGCCGACGAAACTTCAACCGCCCTCCAAGAGCACCTATACTAATGAGGTGGAGGATAGTGCGGAGTTGCTCGTTGCTCCAACTTGTAGGTAACATCGAATCCAAGTCCCACTCTGAGATACTCGACGACCATGGCCGTGCAGTGCGCCGACGTTTGAATATGGTTCTTTCCAAATCTTCCTGTTGTTTTTTCTGCAATTTCTTTCTGCTTATCCGTAGCTCCCACCCAAACACCGAATATCCGTTCCTCGAACTGAATATGCTATTTGTTGAATATATTTTACTATTCCTAGGCCGTCGTTGTTTCGTTATCCTTTTTAGGTAGTCACCTAAGAGTTTTATTAGTTTACGTCGGGACGTATACCTCACGTCTGGAACGTTGTGAAGAGCCGTAACCAGGTTAAACTTTTCAAGTTCCGGATCCATTGAAGTTGGTCGGACCATTCTCAACGTTGTACTTCTAAATGATTCTAATGAAATATATCTCGAAATGCTTTCAGTGATTGAATTTATATGAAAGAAGAGTAGATCTATAGGATAAAGTAGAACGTATAATAATAATGAGAGGACGTACTGCTATAGGTAAAGGTACCGAGGGAGGGAGGGAGAGAGGGAGGGAGGGAGGGATATATTCACATATAGGGTGAAAGGGTTCGCGTTCATCAACGCGTTATGGAAAGATTGGAGATCGAGGGGTGTAGCTAGTATATATTGTTGCAGACTCGGCACCGAATATGAATAGGTTAAGAAACCTTCTTCGAGCTTATTATACTTCGTCAATGCACCCTTAATAAAATGAGGGACTGCAAGATTGGGGGTACCAGAAGATTAGGGAGAGAGCGATACACTTGTTGCATGTCATATGCGTATGAAACATTTGAGTGCCTGGCTTTGGTGTAATTGGGCTTGTGCCATGCCGTTGGCGATGTTTTTTGTTTTATGAACCGGGTCCGGATATCCATAGTGAATTGTTCGACGGGTTTCGCAGACGTTCTACCAGATATTTGTCGATTACCGGTGTCAACTCCGCTCTGAGATTGAGAACCACGGTGTATCGCAGACGGCTGGCTTCGGTGCATGGTTATTTCTCTTGGAGAAGGTAATCTGGTCCGCGATTGTCTAGAATGCATATGATCGATATTTTGGCCCATGAGTACATCATGTATACTAGGACTAGATCCACACGTTAGCCATCGATGCATCTATGAGGCGGTCAGCACCGGCGCTGAAGGGAAGGTGACAAAAGTGCATGATCGCTACAATATTAAATTGAGCTCGGAGAAAGCGGCCTTGGATTTGGCGTTCGATGTAAGGGGCAGAGCAGCATTTCATTAATAGGCCTATGAGTGTCGGGTTCATTGAACGTACATCTAGGTTTATCCTTGTCTACAACACCGCATCGTGATTTTTTAACGGCCGGACGTTAACATAGCGTAGTGAAGAAAAGTTGGGAAAGCTAAATTCCGCGGGAGGCGTTTCGTAATTTGCAATCTCGTTGGTCATGTTCCCAGAATCAAGCGGGTCCGGGCTTGGGTTACGTTTGTCACGGGTTCTCAAGTTAGTAGGACTTCGATAGCATATCGCCCACCCACTTGATCACACCTGGGGTATATCGATGGGTCTTAAATTAGAAAAGAAAAGCCACATTAATTCAAAATCAGCCTCCCATTATTGGGAGTTTGACCAACTGAGGACGGAGTAGTTTTGCTCCATCTGGGCAGGCCAGGGCTATGTCAGAACCGGTACCTAGTACTTCTTCGACAATTTTCTTTTTTCAGGTTTTTCGCTTGATACTCAGAGCCCAACTTTACTCAGTGATCATTATTTTGGACAATGAGTCTATTACGTACTACCCCAGATCGTATTTGCTTTCTCTTTGAGATTCTTTAATTAACCGAGTGAGATACGCTATATGTTTCGTTATCTGTTTTGTCTACTCGGCTGTAGGAGCAGTTCGAACTCAGCACGCTGGCAAGTGGGAAGCCTAACCATGAATTCTTCATCCTGCCGGTATATAGTGAAGTAGGATCCAATTGATCAAGGGTGGTATATACTGGTTTCGTTCGCGCGTTCTCAGCATATATATCAAAATAGTAAACATCTAAAAAAGGACTAATTCTAGTGAGCATCTTCGCGAAGTCCACCAAAATTGAGCTAGGAAAGATACCTACCCGTGAGTTAAAGCAACCTCTGGGTACTTGGTCCTGTCGACAGTATGGACTTGTTTTTGGTATCGACGGGTACGTCGACGTCTCACCTGGTCGCTAGATGACACTGGCATATGCTCACGAGGCTTCCAAAACAACGCATCTCTGCGGCACAGTGTGTTATTTTCCTATTCGGGTCACACACACCTTTTTTGCCTTACCTACGCCAAGAACGCAGGTCGACTCCAACTCATATTTTTCCGGTTTTTGAATTTTCCTGATTTCGATTGTGCCAGTGGGATCTCATTTCCCCTTTCTCTATCTCCTTGTAACTGTCCCCCCACTATCAACTGAAAGAATAGATTCCAACTTATAATCAAATCTAATCAACTTTTATGGGTTTTGCGTTGTAAATTATCGCCAGAGCAATGTCACAGCAGTATTCTGTTTAATATCTTATACTGTAGACAGTGATAAATATATACATCTATATATTTAAGAATGTAAGAATGTCCTCCATTAGTTAAAATTTTGACAATTAATATTAATTCAGTATAATTTATAGTCAGTATTACCGTGACGATATTGACGCATTAATATTGAAACCTAGATGTATCGATACACTCGTGACTATTATCAATTACGGTATTTTTATTTCCTTTATTTTGTTTTGAATTGCGTCCTCAATTTGCTAATTTGCAAAATGAAAGAAACAAACAAATAAATGAAAAAGGAAAGAATTTTCGGGGAATCGGGACAAGAGAATCGGGCTGAAATATGATACTATCACTTTATTATCCTGGATTGGTGCAGAAGCCGGAAGTCTTGTTTTTGGTAATTGAAACACCCGGCGGCTCGCAACGGGGACTCTTTCGACATGGCCACCCACGGCGACCCACTAATGAGTCTGCCTAGGAATCTTCGTGCAGTTGACAGGGGGGTGTTCATCAGACTTGGGGGCCGCAGCGCTGTTGCTTGAAATAGACGGCACGAAGTGAGTATGGTGTTTTCCCTGAGTAGGCGACTCTCGCGTTAGTTACAGCTGCAAACCTCACATATTCCGGAAAGAAGCTGTGCCCACCAGTTTCCTAACCAGACCTTTTTCTGGAGAGCTTCTCTAAAAAGTGTCAAGCCACTACCCCAATTTTCAAGAACATATAGCAGTTTCTAGCTCAAGCTCTATTCCTTATCCTCAAAGATATCGTGAAACGCCCAAAACGTCAAAACTATCGGTGTTACCTTGCAATTGTCTCGTACCCGTTCTCCCCTTTTTCCAACATACACAACACTCTAGTTATTCGCATGAAATCTTCGTTGAAGACTCGACTGGTTGAACACTTCTAAATCCAAATACAACTACCATGGCGGACACTGCTATGGATCAAAGCTTCGATTCATTCGTAGCATCTCCAAGCCTCAAACGGAAACGCTCACGCCGAGGTTCAGAAGCCATGATAAATCTTCGAACAGAAGCTGCCAAAGTCGTGAGGAAAAAGCTTGGGCTTCATATCGAACCAAGGAAGGTCACGATCACCTGTAAGCCTTTTCCGAAAAGGAAAACGGTATACCTATGGAATATTAGCGGCGATCTGGACGAAACAGAGCAAAATATTGTTGCACGAACAATTAACAGCGAGTCTATACAACGTCGCTACTTTCGGAGCTGGTCTGACCATGAAAGAGAGCAACTCACTTCTTTGATCAAAAGAGGGGCCATTGTACCGGAATATTACATCAACAAGGCTACTACGGGCCTCACACCGAGGCTTCGTAGAGTGGTTCATACTTTGGGGAATCCGTCGGATTCGCAATCTGCCGCATGGGAGCTTGTGTCTAGTGACACCGAAGACGACGAGGAAGATGCCGAAGGCGAATATCCAACGGATTACCGGTCCAAATTTAGTCAGGATGGCCAGCTACAAGAGTCAACAAGTGAAGAGCATCCCGCAAAACGCTCTCGAGAATCGTCTACTGGAAACGATAGCGGGCCCTCTCCCGATAAACTCGTTCAAACTACAACTGGAAGCATACCGGAGTCACAACCCATGGTAACCCCGTTAATTCTCCAGACTTCATCAACGATTCAAACAGCTACGAGATGCTCTTTACGGCCTTCGCAATCTCCTCACTCACGGGCTGTATCGCCGGAAGCGAGTACCAGCCAGGGGCATGACGTTATAGAAGTCATTCCCGCCCCTCCTCGCACAATGTCCCTAAATGCCAACGGCATATTAGAGCTCGACCCGATGCCTCCTACAACAGTTCCTTCTCCCACCGTTTCGACAGCCGCGCCTATTGCGGCCTCTCCATTTACACCAATCACCAATAATCTCGCCCTCTTTATGGATCCTAATCAAATCGAGAGGGCCCTCGAGGACGAAAAAAATAACGAAATGGCCAAAAACGCCATTACAGATATGGAAATCATGATGAAAGCCTTCATAAGTCATGCCACGATCGGATTCCTGAACCTACCGCGAGTATTGAGCGAGAAACGCGTCCTAATGCGAGAGAAGGAAGAGAAGGAAAGTCATTACGAAGAGCGACTTAGCTTTTTGAAAAGGGAACTCGAAGGACAAGTGAAGCTCGCTTGTGACAAAGAAAGCATGTTCAAAGGAATAATATCTAGCCTGGAGACTGCAAACGCTATTCGTATCAAGGAGAAGGGAGACTTAGAGAAGCAATATACGACCCTTCAAGGCGAAGTAGACGCACAAGCTATAGTGCGCAAGGGTATGCAACATCGAATTGACGTTCTTGAAAAAGACCTTGCTAGATCCAAAGTTTCGGAGAAGCATCTTCAAGACAACGAGACTATCATGAAAGATTGCTATCAACGCCTCGGGGCTAAGCATGATAAGCTCAAAGAAACCGCCGACATCGAAGCACAGGGACTAAAGCAAAGAATCGAAGTCCTCGAAAGAGTGGAATCCGAGTTCAACAATCGTTCGGATGCATTGACTGAAGCCTATAAATCTAAAGAGGCTGCCCTTCAAGAGAAGATATTGGCTCTCGAAAGGAAGCAGTCCGAATTAGAAAATCGGTTAGAAGCGTCGGCCGATACACACAAATCCAAAGAAACGGTCCTCCAAGCAAAAATATCAGGCTTGGAATCGAAACTACACGCAATGGCTGAGAAACAGACATTGCTTAAGAGTATCTTGGAGGATTCTAGCACCTTTCTCCAAACTTAAATCTTAACGGTGACCAAACCAAACTTGAAGTCCCAAGTGTCGGGAACATCGCCATTGGTCAATGAACCAAAGCTCCAAACAACACTTGGGTAACCTTTTCTTCTTTCTATATAATACCCTAAAAAGTTGGGCATCCGACCCGTTCATTTTATAAATTTAATACAGGACTACCATTCATTATCATGTACTGGTACTTGCAACTGTCAAACAGAGCTCCCGAGAGCGAGGTATGTCAACTTACCTGGGTTATGTCCTTGCATTGTTTAGTTCGGCTTTTCTTGTTAGCCATTTAGCCAGTTTCGTAACCAAACCATCTCCATTTAGCGTCACCTATAGTTAATTTAATTCACAACGTATCCGAAAACTAGTCTCAACCGTAATATTACTCTAATCTACGATACTATAAGATTCTGAAGTAAGAATTGATAAATAATCTGACAACGAAAACAACACATCCTAGGCAAGTCCGTTCGAATTCCCTTATATTTCCATGGTGGAACTGAATTTGAAATTTCTTCCAATCAAATGCCCCTATTTTATGCTATTAAACCCTTCAAAAACACTCGTTCCCTTTTTAATATATATATTTTTTCTTTTCTAACAAGACAGAATTAAAAATAGTTTTCTTTTTTTTTATTTTTTTTTTATACAAAACAAAATTTGAAATGGGTGTTAAGTGAATATTGATGTGGTTTAGAGGGCTCAGGGGCTACATTCAGAAGATCAAATTGTGGAAGGGAATATGATCCAACGTGGGTGACATTGAGCCGGGTCATGTTGACTTGCAGCTGCGCGACTCGGAGCCGCCCGGACGAGCTACGGCAAGTTAATGATCCCCACAATCCCACGTATGCACTGCGTATCCTACTTAGGAATTTGGTAACCTTCAGTTATCTACTTAGGTAGCAAATTTGCCTCAGATTCTAGGACACTGCTATGACAAAATATCCAATTTAGTCGATGCAATTCCGAGCGCGCGGTGCACGAAGCTGGCCAGGCCGGGGCGGCAAACCTGACGCCGCTTCACCCGCTAACTAATCGGGCATCTATTTCAACTCCCCGAATTCTCAAAGGCCACACACAATATGCTGCAATTCTTGGTATGCCTTTACGAGACCGGTATGACCCAAAGGACTTTAGTTTCTCGCAACTGTTCAGCTAAGCTAAGTTTGGACGGCTCTTTGGTGTGAACTAAGTAGTCTGGGAGTCGCTTCCCGGCGTTCACAGTAAACTAAGCCAAGGTAGAGCCGGGCTGCTCAACTGCCAAGGCAGAGGTGAGCGTCCCCCAGGCTATTAACTAAGAACAAAGACCTACGAGTATCGGGTCAAGGTTATGTGGATCATAACGCGTCTTCACCGTTACGCTGAGACGGCTCCCCAAGCTAGTTACGGACGTCCGCGCGGCTACCGATTCCAAACCCGGGTTAGCTAACAAATAGTAGGTCTGTGCAACAGACCCACAAATTTATGTAAACAGCTAATTATTACGCCGATCAAAATCAATCAATAAACAAAATGTTTAAATTTTTATCCTTTCCCCTCAATAATCGCTCAAGGACCAACAGACTTTGAGCACAAGAAAGAGTAGCAATGAGCGGTGTTTTGAAATTTTGTGATTATAGTTGGATATATTAAGGGTCTAGTCTCGAGCGCGTCCTAGCATCGTAATGATAGATCAAACCATCGACTCTAGGGCTCTTGGTAACTTATTCCAGCCATTGTACCCCTTAAAGTACATGATAGTAGACAACCCTCGAGCTAAATTCTCGTATGCGCGATGCCCGTGTAAGTCAAGTTGAAATAGCATTATACAAAACCAAAACGTCAGATCTGCAGAGTATTCGTGGCGTCCATAGCGCGAGTCTTAAGACGCTGGATCTATATTTTTTTCGGATCCATTCGATAAGTACAGCTCATTTATCCCATAGTCGGGATAATCATAAACTTCTCTTCATCGGTATCATTTGGAAACCCGATGCTGACCTGCTCGATAGGATGTTGTTAGCGTCACCTCAACGTATTTGAGTTGCAATGAAACCTAACAGGTCAATATAACGTACCCTATCACCTTGGACCATCCACCCCTCCTGTGAGTCAACTTTATGGATCCTATGCGAGGCATCAGAAAATGTACGTTTGGGGGATTAACAGCTGATACCGAGCAATCTTACTTGTAAACACCACCGGATGGATCAGCTTCCTCTACAGCCCATTCACATGGTCCATTATTCCCCATTCCAACAGGGGAGCCTCCACCGAATGCGCATAATGCATGATCTCGTTCCCCAGCAAGCACGTTACCCATATGTGAAGTTTTGATAATGTACCGACCGTCGCCAAGTTCCTCGAATTTCCACTGCAAAATTATGATTAGATTATGAGCAGATGGCATATTTTTTAGTAAGGCAAACAAACTGTTGGGTCAGTATCATCACTAGCATAGATCTGCTTGATAGGGTCTCCAGTATTCATCAAGTCGTCGAAGCGAAGGCCAACCATCTTCTGGTTTGCGAGGCAGCTGATACGATATGTACCTGATGGAAGACCCATTTTGATCGATTGGTACCTTATAAGCTTGGATACGAATGACTAGTATATATATCTGAAGAAAGAGTTCTATACGATCGAGATAGTAATGGTATGTTGAGGCAGTATATTCGATTCGTTGATGTATGAAATCGTAAGAAACAATTCGATCCAGTGCGAAAAGCTGCCCTTTTATGCTTTTCCATCAGTCAAAACAATCACCCACCTGGCTAACTGAAGAACTCGAGATATTCGTCCGTCCGCAATCGAACATCAGAAAGCCATGCAAATGGGAAAAATCAAGTTTTGATAGCGACGGGCTATCGATTTCCCACGATAAGTTAGAAGATGCAGCAAAGAGCTGAAGCATCACATTGTGATGCCATAATCTTCATCATAGTGTCTACTTCCTGAACGAATGCGGTGACCTCGGGCGCTGCTACCCCAATATCCAGTTTAGATTGCATATCGTGTTGTATACTAGTTCATGATATTGACAATCCTCCCACATTCATTGCACGATGTTAACTATGTGCCGGCCGATCGACTGCAATAAACTCGCCTAGAATAGCATTTCCGACCTAAATCTCCGCAGAGGCCAATTTTCGGAAAGTTGGGAACTTCCGAGCCGTGGATTAACAGTATATCAACTAGTCCAGGTCTAGCGTCAGGACCAACAATCCCAGTTTGAGCGATTGGGCGATATCATGTTGCAGAAGCCGGGCGGTTTGTGTTGCTGATCAAGGCGACTACTCTTTCGAGACCCCTTAGTTGGAAGTGATAGCTGTTGGTTGAGTCTAGTTCCCTGCTCGTTAGTTCTATGAGTAGTCGTCAAATAGCATCTTGGCAACGGATAACGGAATACTAGTGCAGTTTGGTATAGTAGTATTCCATTATTCCAACGATCTTAGTTTGAAAGCATCGACGGAGCCAACGACCAGAGCCGAAGCTTCACTAGTCAAACTCGATCTAGACTGTGCTCGAGGAATCTCGTCCTTAACTGAAAATCCCGCATTCATCCTTCTACGATCGAATCGGATCCGGATAGTAGTCCAACAATAACGGAGAATACCCCGTGTGATGTAATCTCAGTTGCTCGCCAAAGGACTTGTATGAATGCGGGTGATAGATATCGACATCGATATATCCTAGGATCCTCTAGCTAGATGGTTTGCCGACATCATATAATCCAAACGGATTGCTTCATAGCTAGCTCCTGATTAACGAGCAGGATCAGATAGTATTTTCACTGTAGCATCAATGATGCAAACAAGTATCTATAGGCCGGTCTCGGCCTCTTATATGATTGCTTTATGATAATGCTGCGCAACTTAATCGATGACAGTTTACGGAAATTTGATAAGGTTGGTACACCGTCGTCTACGTTTAAGCGAACGGGTGTGCTAACTCAGGAACATGGGACTCGACGTCGAGTCACAATGCAATAAAACCTGAACAACCTTGCACAATGCTTGCTAGAAAAATAACAGGGCAGCAGGAAGTATCGAATCGTGTCCACGTAGTCTCGGTCTCAGAGCACCAAAATTTGCACTAACATGCCAGCGGTCCTGTCATTATCACTCCTAACGTGGCTAGATCTAGAGCGAGATGTGACTACTGATGTTGTATTTTTTGTGTTGTTTAGTCGTTCCAATATCTTGTGTGACAGGAGGCTAAGTTGCTAGGAGACGTCGAGACGTACTAGACAGCTGAGTACTTATGCATATGCGGATTTGGCTAAGTATAGTGCTAGCAGCAGCGGGATACAAGTACTCGGGAGTAAGGATTCCGACAAGATAAATTTTAAGTACTGACTTAGCAACCTATATTTTACTTCGTTATGCTTCACAATATTATCGCCAAACATGATATCATATGATCATGATACTGTCGAGCTTTATATAATTTATCATGGTTTTGGTATTAATTTTCAATGAAAGATGTTTCTATGACCGCTAAAGTTATAAAAGAAGTATACGAAAAAGTAACATGAGATCTGAGTAGGTACTAAGAGGTTCAAGATAAGTCACACCTCGTCTTGCAAGTTTCACCAAGATGTTTTCTTATTTTCGATTCTGATCATGTTCCAAAAACTTTATCTTGTTAGCTGTGTACATATTCATAATGTCACTAATCCTGGAACTAGTAATGTCACGTATGAAAATAGCTTCCATGAAAAGAATAATGACATACTATGCACATGTACGTGAGATTACACGCACGTCTCTGAATCAAACTCGGGTCGGTCACACTAGAAACTCTTTCCTGTTGAAAGTATAAACTTTATTGTTCGCTTGACGTTCACCTCCTATCCAGACTGAAGCCTCACGACTTAATCGAATTCGTGATACTCAAGCCCACGATTCTCAAAGTCTGTCGTGATATTATCTTCAACGAAAACCACAGGGCCTCACTGATCTGCTGCCACCGCTCCGCATCCATTGTCTAAACTACCCGCCCACCAACTTGACCCTAAATTCCCTCGAAGCATTTAAATACTGGCATCTGGAACAGTCCCAACTTCCACACTCCCACTATTTCAACCCAACGCTCACAAACCCTTAAGGTCTACTCAACTCTTTTTCTTGAATGCCTTTCCGTTTCCGCAAAACTAAACTTTATCTCCTCTTGGGATTCTTCCTCCTACGATTTGTTCTATCACCTTGATTTTGAATCTGACTATTGTCAAAATCTTATCGATCCCGTACTCCAAGACATACTAAATGAGTGCATTATTATTCCCTAGTTCAGTTGGCCCCGGTGGCGGATATGGTGGTGGATATGGCAGTGGCGGGGGAGATGACCCCGATCGACGAGGGGGCCATGGTCACGGTGGCCATGGTGCAGATGACAACTATGAGCCAATAGATGCTGAAGGAGAGTCTGACGGATCCTCGCACAGGGGGGAAGAGGAGGAATCGAGGGAGGAACAGAAAACACCAAAGGGAGCTGGCAAAAAGAAGGAGAAGAAAAAGCCAGATTATAATAGCGCAAAGCGCAGGAAACATTATAAAGACAACAATGTGACGGCAGCGAATGCCGCTAAGACCGCGATGGTAGACTCCCTGAACAGATTCAGAATCCCCAATCGGATGGGGGGAGCACCGGGGAGTTACGTATTAGCTGACGCGGAGAGAAGTCACTTTTGTCAGTCAAAGAGACCTGAACCAGAAAGGGTCAACGACTTTGAATTTTACTGGAGACAAAATCCAAGTACAAACTTTGACGCAAAGGACCAAAACGTTTGGGACCATACTTTCGGGAAATCAGGTACAGCTTCTAGATGGGGTGCTCAAAACCTGAACCACCTCGTGTCAATGCTCGAAAGCAATAAGATAGTGCCATCACGGTCATTCAAACGCAACAACAGGCCGGCCCAAGCACCGGCCCAACCGCCACAAAACCGATCTCAGCCATCGGCATCAGTACCGGTGCCCGGAATGAACCCAAACCAGTTTCAACAATCTCAAGTCGCAATGCCTACGACACAAGCACAAGAAGCACCGGCCCAATTGGCTCGTACAAATAACCCAAATTTACAGCAGAACACTGATTCACCCTTCGGGGAATTTGTTCCCTTTGACCATCCGTCTAGACAGCAGGGTCACGCAGCTGCGGCACAAGGGCATATACCCCCCATGGCACAGTCCCACGTACCAAACCTTGCTCATCGACCCCCTCCTCAATATACACAACAAGCACAGGGGCAACAATATTATCAGCCGGGCGGTCACCAATATTATCAAGAGCAGCATGGTGGCGTGCCCAACCCACAAGGCCAAAATCAACAGGGCCAAGGACGTGGGCAAAATCCACATGGGCAAAATCCACATGGGCAAAATCCACATGGGCAAAATCCACATGGGCAAAATCAGCATCATGGGCAACAACCTCCCGGGCAAAATCGTCGGGGGCGAGGTGGACCCTCAAATGGCTCCAAATACCCCCAATAGGCTGTCTGTATCTTGTGGACGGCAATATTCTTAGCCTAGAAGATTAGAATACATATTTAGACGACAATGATGTTTACAGAAGGTTCAGATCGTGGCGCTGGAGGCCCACCCATAGAACAGGTTGGAGCTAGCCATGATCTTGCATCTGTTCTCCTTTAAATCCTCCCTCTCCCTCTCCCTCTCCCTCTCTCTATCCTTCTTTTGCTATTTCTATTTTCTTCTCTTGATTAGCATAGTTCCCTCCATAGATCCACCATATATTTTATGGTTAGCTTAATTCCAGTGGTGGAAACCTTTGCCTGTATTGTTTTCTCATGTAAATTCTCTATGAATTCTAGATAATAGAATTAATATGAAATATTACACTCGGCTTCGGCCTGAAGCAAGTGAGAAACAGCGCTTCCATTCTCAAATATTGTCTCGAGTGCTCCCGTATCTGTTTGGTCAGGTATCATTCGAGAGCTTTTTTTAGTGAATAAGCTTACACCGAAATTTATTCTATCATAAGATCTAGATGACACTAGCTAGAAACTTGAATCTATATCTGCTTCCTTTTCTACTAACATCCATGGCCATCTACCATAACTTGGTTTTGGTTATCTATTGTTATCACGCCTCCCTACTTCTATTCTTATCGATCAGTTCGACCTATTTACAAGATTGATTCCCAACTTAAGCCCACTAAAAGCCTATATGCATAAGTCACTAACCATATTTACCGTGTAACTAACCTAAGCGATTATCACATTCTAGATGCTATTCTTCTGGTAGATAGGAGACAGGGCGATAGTACAGCTGATTCCATGCGTATTCTCGCCCTTGGTGCAAATACCATATGATCATTTAGATATACAACAGAAATTCTTGGGCGTTAGTGGTCAAATGGTACTGTAAATATTGTCAGCGGGCTTGTACTTCGACTATAGATAGGGCCTAGGGCCAACCACTGATTTTCAACGGTCATATTAAGGCTCATATAATGATTGAAGGGGTGTAATGGAGATATACTAACATTGTAATGGCATGGTTGTACATACATACGCATGTCATAGATAACACCTCTGTATTTGTCATTGCTATCATATGAGATAGCTAACCTCTATTCAGTTGCATTGCATTATTGGATGAAAATTTTAACCAAACTCCGCATCGAGTTTTAGCGAACACACACTAGATACAGCTGACAAACTTCGGTTTGTATTTTTTTCGCTTTGCGGCGTGATAATACCAAAGAAAGCTAGTTGTAGCGATTAGCTCGCCTCATATTGACACCGATCAATTGAATATTTGAATAGAATAGCATAAGCATATGTACATTGATAGCATTATATTATCGGTATATGTCTTATGATCAGCTGGAAACTATATCTTACTCAAGGCAACTTTTCGCTAGTGAAAATAAGTTTATTATTGAGCATTGGAAACTCAAGGAGTTCAAGTTAGATCTCATGACGAAGATAGCATTGGTTACTTATTGAATACACTATATGCCTTCGACCTTATCAGGTCTCATGCGCCTTGGAAAGATCCGACGAGTAAGATTATAGGATGACTCGATGCAAGCGCTTCGAGGCTTGTTAATTTACATAGCTCTTAGGCTTACAAAAGATGTATAAAGACGGTCAGTGTGCGCACGTATATCCTCCAGCTTAAGTCCAAATAAGATAACCTGACTCGAATTTCGAATTCGTCGTAACTGACTCCCTATCGACAACTATTAATTTCAATTTACTCTATTTTCCCCTAAAATTTATTAACCGGCCATCCTCAATTGGCCGAATACGAATATCAAACACCTCCATATACCACTCCTGGTCTGACTTTATTAGTCGTCATACGTGGAATCCAAGAACCACATAGCACTCACTTTCGCACCCCTAAAATCACACAAAAATGAATTCTCACGGCGGGTCTCAACGAGGTGGCGGTACGCCACCACACAACTTCGGCGGGGGGAAAAGCAACTACAACAAACACTATACGGGAATGATTCCTGAGAGCGAAGAGATAGGTAGAAATAGTGATGAACATAGTAATCCTTCCGAAGGGAGTGGGGGCACGAAAGGGAAAGGAAAGGCCGCATATGACTCTGCCTACAGAAAAAAGCAACATGAGCCAAACCAGGAAGCACAGGCGGCAATCAAAGATGTAGTCCAACGGAGTTTACAAAGGCACTTGCGCCAGTACCTGGGAGATATCGTGGTTCCTGTATCATACCACACAGATCCAAACGCCAACATGGGCAGTAAATCCTCAGGTCGAAATAGGTATGTTTGGGTCTGGGATGTTCACTGCGACGTAGCTATGAACAGTGGACATTTGGTGCTATTCAACGACACAATTCTCAATAAAAATAAGATGCAAACGCCCTCTAGGTGGACTCCATCGAATACGATGAAACTCAGCGAACTAATCGATAACAATATCCTGATACCCCGTCTAGTCTCACACGTCATGGAGGGAATTACGTCCGGTCTGCTCCCTACTAATTCCCCGAAGACATCTGCGGAGCAAAATCCAGTTGAGCATGCGCCGGAGCCTTTTAACCCTCCTCAATACAATCTGGAACAGGAACTTCTGTATTTACAGAGTCAACTAGAACTTCAACCCGCACCCCCTGAGCAACAATATGGCCTCGCGGGCTATGGTTCTAGTCAAACCTTCAGCAACGTTACAAACCGTAATTACAAGAAGTAATGAGCTTTCGATACATATGAAAATCCATTCGCCTCAAAACCATGGTCCTGTATCACCTGGGCAGACGGTGTTAATTAACTAAAAACTTTGTTAAGAGACAGCAATATCCGGTCAATAGTGCACAATAAGCTGTACAGGCTAGCTGAGACTCTAAATGGAGGAGCTGAGACACTAAATGGGGGAGCTGAGACTCTAAATGGGGGAGCTGTTGGCATCTTGAACTCATAAATCTATACATGTAATGATGTTAAGTTCTCCAAATAGTCTAAAAGTTTTCGAAAGGAGAACTCTTGATCAATTGAATATCATATTATATTATATGACCGCCAATCTACAGAGTATACAAAGATAGGTCTATAGAGTGATGGGTCGACCAAAGACCATAGCTACCTTAATTAATTATCTCTGAGGAGAAAATGATTTAGTATTTAGTATTTGAAAACACTGATGAGAAATTTAGTAGAGATGCACACGAAGAGTAAACTCAAGTTATTTTTCAGAACCCATATATATCCCTAGGGAATCCTTAGCGTTTGGTAGTCCATTCTAAACGGTGTGGACTCATCTAGCTATAAATCTCGAGGCGAAACTGCTACTGTTTGAATTCTGTCCGTGTGCGTTCTTTTGTTCAAATTTAAATTCTAACGTTAACTAGTTAATGATCAATGATTGTAATAAAACTAAATCGAGAGCATTGATATGTCTCTACAGCTTCACCGAATAAGTAATTCTGTGATTTGGCCATTGCAACTTGTATTGTGGTCGTAATTTTTTCAAGTCTGCAGTATTCAATATAGCCCTTCTAGTGAACAATCAAAGTGCCGAGCCGAGAGGGCCATAGACATCCTACTCATTGTAAAGTGGTGTATTGATTTTGGTGTGAAACATTAGAGAGAAAACTGGTTAACCTGCTAGTAGTATGTGCTAATATCAAAATCAACAACCACTGCCCGCTCCTTCAAGTCTGAAGTTGAATAAACCCCCAATCCACCACAAGAGCTACTTAAACAACAGTCTACCGTCCCTTCTGATCACCGTAGCTTCCATCTACACCCGCGTCTTCACCATCCTCATCAGCGTCCATAACCCGTCCTCAAAGATAACTTCTCTTCATTCACGCCAAAGTCACGATGGAATCTTCTTCAGATCACCAGCTTTCCTCCTATTCTTCCTCCTCTTCTTCTGGCTCCCTCATCGATGACCATCAGTCATCATCTTCTGCCGCCCCACCTGCCAAAAGGCAAAAAAGGGAGTATGACTCCCAAAAACGCGTCGAGTCGTATACGGCCTCACACAAGCCAGCATTTGAGGCCGTCAGGGAGGCAGCAGTGGATTCACTGCTCCTCTACCTCACCTACCACGAGACCTCAGAGGAGGTCTGGCTCAGGGACGTCCCTCAGCCAAGTAACCAGGTCGAAGGGGGACGCCCATACTACTGGGCAATCTCGGGCACCATGACGCCCATCGAAGAAGAAGGCTGGAAAGCCACAATCGGGAGGGGCAATTCAGGTCCCTCCCAAACCGGTAGCCGTTGGGGTACCGAAAATCTTCACATCCTCGAGGGGATGATGAAGTCGGGCCGTGTTCGCCCGTTCTTCGCTGACGAGGCGAAACCCGCCGTTTGCGGGATAGTCGCCCGGGGGAGTAATGTCCTCGGGTTGGGCTGGGGTCTGATGGGTGACCATGAAGACCCATCAACATACGACAAGGAGAAGTATGCCGCTAAGGGGATTACTCTCCTCAGGGAACTCCCTGACGCTGCGGACCGGATGGTTCCCTGCTTGTCGGGGGGTTCCGGGGATGGGAACCCGAAGGGCAGAAAAAAGAACAAGAGGTAGAGGGGTAAGAATTAAATGTAATTCATCGGCAATTATCCTTTATAGAAACGATTCTAACAATGTTTGATAGGTGGGGGTGTAGGGAAGGGGAGTTTGGAGGAGGATGTTATAATTCTTTTTTAATTTTTCTATTATTTATAGTATAGCTTTCTAGACCTCATCACTAATAGCACCGTGGGTCGAATTAATAGCCGATAGAGCGTGATGCTCTATCCTACGCCTTTGAAACTAAGATTTCTCCAAATTAGTATTTATGGATCATGGGGAAGTTCTACCAATACGAAGACAAGCGTGCATTTTGGAGCTTGTGGTATTTTGTGTGTTGGCACTTCATCGCGAGCTATCCTCCATCACGTCTTCCCCCACGCTCGTTCCGCGACCATTCTCCAAGCTTCATCCCGACAGCCACTTCCCACTATCAATACCTTCCTTTCTCTCCCATCTACAAACCAAATCAAACCACCATCGAAGTGGCCGAAAACATGGCGGAGACGAACGGGAATATCAATGGCGAAAGCTCCACTCAGTCGACGCTTAAGTCTACACAGACCACAGAACCGGCAGTTGACACAGGTGCATCGCGAAGACCTCGAGACGCGAGAACGATCCATCTAATGTTGGCATCTTTGGGTGTTACTTCATACCAAGAAAGGTACTTTCTTATCTTCACTTTGAAGCCCTCAATCAAGGCTACCTTGCTAATGTTTATTTATTTTTTTATCTTGTTAGGGTCCCTCTAGCTCTAATGGACATCGCATACCGATACACCAACTCCGTTCTCCAAGATGCTTTGCTCTACTGGGATGCTGCCCACCCAGCGACTACAACCGGCCAACCACCTCCCCAGATTACAATATCCGACCTTAGAATGGCGATCTCTGCGAAGGTTAATCACCAATTCGTCGCTGCTCCGCCCAAGGAATTTTTGTTGGACGTCTCGCAGGATAGGAATAAGGTTGCGCTGCCGCCTGTTAAGAAGGACTGGGGTACAAAGCTACCACCAGAGCAGTACTGTTTAACCGGTGTCAACTGGGAACTTTTGGCTGATCCGACTGATGATGGTGTTGATGAGGAGGAAGAAGAGGAGGAGGAAAATGGAGAAGGAGATCTTACACCGAGGGAGAATACAAGGAATGAACGTGACGAGGCGGATGAAGAGATGCCTGATGCCGTGGCTGATATGTTCCGAGAGAATGGCGATGGAGATCGAGACGAGGATATGGTGATGTAGATGGGGTATTTTTTTCTTCCTTTCTATTCTCTTTTTTCCTCCTAAAAGAATTTTGCATTCTGGCGTTCTCTGGAGTCCTTTTTCACAATCATCGAGATACCATCGTGTTTTCCTTCTGCATCTTCAGAACTGGTATGTATCATACATCTTGCATTCACCTTTTAATATAAACCCTGTTAGCTTCCGTTCCATTTTCTCTTTCTGCATGTTCAAGTTGTCATTGTCCATCTTTTTGGTGGAATTCAGCCGCGGGTCCTCTCGTTCGCGAAAAACATCCATGTCCCTTCGAATCGCACTATAAACTTCCACCAAGCCTATTCCTCCCACCACCCAGCAAACCTTCCTCCAGAAAATGGCCGTCGACATCAACTGGCCAGCTCTCACCACCGGCCCCGATGGCAAAGAATACGCCGACGCCCTCTGCGGCTTCTTCCACGACAAATTCCAACAAATCCCCTTCCCAAAATTCCTACGGTCCGTGAGCGTCGTCTCGTTCGACCTGGGTACCGTCCCACCAGAGATCGAAATCCAGGATATAACAGACCCATACCCCGAATTCTACGAAGACGCATACGCTGAAGGCGATGATGAAGATGAAGAGTTCGATAATGAGATCTATAACTCACCGGAGGAGATCCTAAAACGGGCACGGGAGAGACGGAGGAGAGACCGGCGGGAGGGATTATCGGACTTCGAAGGGTCGTACCATGCAGATACCACCACATCTGCACCGGTGACATCGCTACATACACCGATATTAGCACCGATGGGATTACAACCTCCTCCATACATCGACCACCGATATCCAGGTCTCAGACCATCCTTCACACCAGCAGTCGACCAATTCTCATCATCCACATTCCGCGGCCCGACATCAAACCTTCACTACTTCCATTCCGCCTTAACATCAGGCTTCTCAGGCGGGTTAACACCTCTAGCCTCCCTCCAACAAGCCTCAGTCGAAACCTTCCCCGGTAGATCACCATTATACTCCCGCAGCCGTCGACAAAACCAACAACCCCACTCCGGCCTCTCCTCAACCTCACCATCCCAATCCCCCCCATCAACAGCAGACTCCTCCAAAATCCCCCCTCCGATCTCAACATCACACAATAACCCCCGTCTAAACCTCTCCTCAGACGACACCCACCACACAGATGGAACCCGTGAACCCCCTCCAACCCCCTTCTCCGACATCTCCATCTCCTCAGGACCCCAACAACAGCAACAACAGCAAGGCAGCGGAACCCTCCATTCACCACTAGACTCCCCAACAACCCCACCAGACCCCCACGCCCCTCGCCTCCGTCTTCGAGAACCCCGCGATTCAGATATTCAAATAATCGCAAGAGTAAGATATACAGGCGACATCCGTATGGAATTGACCGCAGAACTCCTAATCGACTATCCTGCCCCTTCGTTCGTATCCTTACCAGTACGACTAACAATAACCGGCATGACATTCGACGGAACAGCCGTAATAGCACATATTGGGAAACGTGCACACTTCTGTTTTGTAGATAATGATCATGATCATCATGATCATGGGCTAGGAAATGGGGGGGATGGGATAGCAAGTATGTTGAAGGAGATTAGGATCGATAGTGAGATTGGAGAGAAGGGGAAAGGGAAACAGGTGTTGAAGAATGTGGGGAAGGTTAAGGATTTTGTTTTAGATAGGGTTAGGAGGATTTTGGAGGATGAGTTTGTGTTTCCTAGTAGTTGGACTTTTTTGCTGTAGGATGTGATCTTATTTTTTTTCCGAAATGCCTCTGCGTAGGAAGTATCTAAAGGACAGGTAAGGGTGTGTATGTATGTATATATTCATAGGACGGCGTCACAGGTTAGCATTTTTGACAAGGGAAGGAGCATGATTCCACTCAGAATAACTACACTACGTATACGATACGATGCGGTATCAAAAACGTCAAAAGCAGTGTATACTCCAAGTTATCCACCGTAAAAAAAAAGAGTATTCAAATAAGTTGACCATATAGACACGCAAGAAACCTTGATAAATATACACACGCAAGAAAGAGAAGAAGAAAAAGGGAGAAGAGGCAGACCGGGGCCGGGGGGTGTAACCCAAAACAGAAAAACCAAAGTTGATTATACAGAAAAATATGGAAAAGAGGACAAATAGACGTTTCTTTTGTTTTTGGGAGGGACAGGTTTATTAAAGCAACCTGAGCGGAGCATATGGAAGTCATCCGCCAGATGAGTGAAAATGAGCTAGCTCCTTGTCTTCTACTCGGCCTTCTTTCTTCTCCTTATCCTTCGTCCCTTCAATCTAGATCTAGGGAAAAAATGGCTACCTAATCTTGATTGTTATATTCCACCACGTCGAATCAATTAATCCCTTAACCAGTGAGTTTGCGCGAGATCTTGGCAATGACTGTAGGTAGATACGTTAGCACAGAGAAACCCGCGATTATGAAATAGAGAAAGAAACATACTATGTAGCGCCACCACACTGAAGATGAATCCCAAACTAAGCACCAAAACGACAACAGGATCAACCTTCAATCCCGGCGACTCATCGGTGTAAAGCTCTAAAAGGCGAAGAGGTGCAAGTAATTAGCCAGAGTGTCCTCCCCCCGAATATACTAAATAGCTCCAATTAGACTGCAAAACGTACTCAACATGGTACTACTGCTTCCACCAGCTCCGGCAGCTCTGGTGCTCGAAGGACGAGCATTGGCCTGCGAGGCGGCTCTGTCGGCTGCCGAACGACGCTTGATGACGGACTTTGGACCACCGGGTGGGGCTGGCGAGGCTCTACCGGTGCTGGCGCCAGTTGGTGGCGATTGTGGCTCGGGGGATTCAGAAGACTATATTTCGCACAAGGAGGGTCATGTTAGTCTTCTTTTGTCTATCATAAAGACTTTTGAGAGATGGGAGAGGCTGTTGTGGAATATGGGCGGCGACGAGGGGGGGGCGAGGAAAGGACATGGTGTAATTTGCAATATTGGGTGGGCTGTAGAAATGACATCGAGCGAATCGATAAAATACGAAAGACTCATAATAGCTTCATGATGTTTAAAAAACTCTTTTAAGAGGGTAGAGTCATCATGTTCCATTTAGCTCTTCCGGTTTCGTCTTTGTTCCTGGCCACCATCGCCAATATCGCTTCCACGCCGAAGGGAAGACCCTCGCACGACAACCAATTCCCCAGACGTCATGAGAACATTAAACAAGGACAAATCCACCATACCATTATGACTGTAGTGTTTTAAAAAAAAGGGTATAAAAAGAAACGACGCGCAAAGTTCTAAGAGCAGAAGCAATTGACTTTTTTTTTCCTTTGGAAGGGTATCGGGAGAGTTGTGATTTTCGTAGGAAGGTTTGTTTTATAATCGTGCGACGTATGTTTTGTTAGAATTGGACGACGGTGGTTTAATACGCCTTCGAGAGTTTCGGTTTTGGTGTTTTTGTCAGGGTGAAAGGACACCATACGCCAGAAACCGAGTGCTGGTGCGCCACACAGCTGGGTTGCCCGTTGCCGAGTCTGCACCGCCACATGTACTTTATCCATATCGATATATCTACTTCCTGACTACCTAACTTGGATAAGTAGGTGCTTAGGAATATAGTCTAGATCTGATAGAATATTAATTTGATGCATATAATTATGATTCTGGAGATATCATGAAATATTGTATGATCTATACAATACACAATGGCAATATATACAATTCTAGTGATAAATTATGTACATGACTCTCTCACAAGTCCAGCTATACAATACCAGCAAGGACCACTACCACCATCCGTCGGGTCGGTATAATATATACGCCCTCATATCCAAATGCATACCATAGTATATACCCAATGCCCGACAATTGACATCCTCCACATGCCATGCCAATGTCCAATCCATGACTCGACCCGATCGAATACCCTTAAGTACTAGGTCGGTCAAAATCCTCACGCCTTGCCCGTAGCAGCAGCAGCATCCTCCTGTTCTTTCCGTCTCTTAATCTTCTCCGCCTTCTCAAGCTTCTTCCTAAACCACTCCTCCCTCGCTCGATCCTGCTCTTCCTGCGTAGCATTCAACACCATACATCCATTCATAATCCTTTGTTGTTCCCTACACTTCCATACCATACTAAACGTCCTTCCTCGGGCGCATTCCGCATATCCTATACACCATTATAACCCATATTAGTATCAGAAAAACATGCACTTCACTTCTCTCTCACACGCAAGTTGATACCAGGATCGGTTGATAAGAAACATACGTCGAATCTCCTCCGCGCATATAGCCCTAACATTCGCATAATATTGATCACGCACTTGACTTTCCTGTGCCGATGATAATGGTAATGGATTCGACGATGGGAGGTGGTAGCGTGCTTGTTCGGGATCTGGGAGGGAACCCGATGGGTTCTGAACGGGTCGTACCATTTGGGCTATGCTCCGTTTTTTTTTTTTTCGCTTTCTTTCTATGAGTATTGGAAAAGCCCCTTATCTATCGTGATTCATGACGGGGAAAAGAGAATCTTGGGTAGAGTCGGGTTTTGGGGCTTTTGTTAATCCATGGTGGGATTGGATCGCGGTGGGATGGGAGTTGTAGTTGTATGGAGTGGCTAGTGGCGCGGGTGGTACGATATTGAGGTTGAATTTGGTTTGTAAGACGTGGGTTTTGGTACTAGCCACAATTGCACAATTGCCTTTTACTGTGCATGGTACATCCCCATAAACATTGTATTCATACTTACAGGCGAGTCACTTCATAATATAATATAGAATCATGGAAAGTATAAGTATATAATACATTCAAGAAAGCTTTTCATAAGCTTCACTTCATCATAAACAGGATTACTTTTTAAATAACCCAGACCTTTGGATTTATCTTTCAAAGAGAAAAAATAACTGAAGAAGTGAAAAAGAAAAGAAGAAGGAAAAAAAAGAATAGAATAAACCTAAACGCCAGTCCCAGGAAATGCATTCGATCCACTAAGTACCACCATCCCCTTCTCCCTCGAGATATACCCCTTGATATACCCCTTATAGATCATATTCGCCAAATAGCATTCAACTTCCTCCGTCTCCAACTCCACCCCGCTCTTCCAACTAACCGCCGCCTTAAAATGGTCAACCGGAATCCTAGTCTTCGACTCCCCAGCCGCTAAATACACTTTCCGAAACAAATTTCTCAAGGTAATGTCTCTACCGCGTTCGAGGGTTAGGAAAATTCGCTTCTTAACAAACCAGTCTTCGCCTCGTGCGAGGTTCTCGTCGTACCCGCGTAGATCACCGGATTTGATACATTGTGCAAGGGGTAGAAATAAAGATTCGAGGAGTGGGTAGGGTTTTAGTAATGTGGCGGAGGGGAGTTGACGTCGGGTTAGGAGTTTTGTGGGGATTAGATATGTTAAGATAAGCCTATATATCCCAACGTTAGCATCTCGTCCCCCCTTATTACAATACGAATGATGAATTGGGAGGGGAAAAAATCACATACTCTTTATTCTTCTGTGCGGCTTTATGGCAGAGCTGATAGGCCATTTCAAGATGTTCCTCTGCCCTGACGTAGTCTTCATCTAAGAAAGCAATGACACCGCAGTAGTACTTGAAAGTAACCACATCCGAAGTCCTAAAATCCAGCAGATCCGGCATCTCTGTCGTATTCGCAACAAGTGCCTTCAAGATATTCTTCGACAACGTTATAGCATTAAGCTTGAAATACGTCTTGAAGAGTATGTTGATAATATAATACGTGCCCCATTTCCTACTCTGTGCGAGTTCGGCTCTATACATCCACATCAAATTTTTCGTTAGTCAAAAGGTCCCTTTGTTTTTTATCTACCAGTGTGAATAGAAGAAAAGAGGTCGAAAACATACCGGTCGTTCAAGCAAACGTTGAAGGCTCGGTTGATAATCCTAGCAGCATCTTCCAACGACTTCCACGTATCCTCGCCGTTCGATCGTTTCGCTTCATCCGTCCGTATCGCAACGTATCTTAAATACTTGCAGGCTGTATATAGTACTTCAAGTTGCCAGACCTCCCATAATCCGTTCTGAAACCCTCGAATGACTGCCCTATCCAATCCGCACCGTCAGTCCCATAGTCCTATATCCCATCTTCTTCTTCTTCTTCTTCTTCTTCTTCTTCTTCTTCTTCTTCTTCTTCATCCCCATAACCTCCAATGTAACCAAAAAAAGAGAGGAACCAGACATACTGCGTCATATCCTTCATCGCCACAAACACCTGCGCCCAATCGACCTCATCATGTCTCTCCAGCGCCTGTGCGACCTTCCAGTAAGCAACATAAACCTCAGCCCAAGCCTCCAGACCCGTTTTATTTGTGATCTTTGGTCTAGAAGCGTTGTTCTCGTATTCGAGCGTACGGAAGATATCCTCGGCGACGCGAGCTGGGTTGGTGCTGTAGGCGAATTCCTCCAAGTCGGTGTTGGTGAGGGAGATGGTCGAGGCTAGGAGCTTGCCGTTTTCGTCGACGTGAGCGGTACGCCAGGCACGTCTGGTAGAGAGAGGTTAGTAGGTTGATGATGGGTTTTGGTTTTGGGGAAAGTTGGAGCTTTACATTAGAGATTCCATTGTGGTTGGTCTTATATGGGTCGTATTCGAAGGTTATAAAGACATGGTTGTCGCGGTTGTGTTTAAGCAGCGTAAGTTGTCGGGCGTTGGAGCCAATGATATCACAACGCACAAGCTAGGCTGGTTCAGGCTGGTCTCCAAGCCGGCCCTCAAACGATCAATCTAGATCTCGAGCTTCCAATAATTCTCTACGACATAATTTCTTGAGTAGCCAAGCGCTTCGTTATCATGTCAAAAATGCTTAGTAGATTCATTACTACTTTTAGTTAATGTTATATCCATGTGGTAGTCAGTCAAATGCAACATCAACGTCCCATACAAAAAAGCAATCCCAGAAACACCAAGGCGCCGCAAGCAATGTTACTGTGTATTGGTACTTCTAGAAAATACTTCTTCTTCTTCTATCTCTTGATTAAAGCATCATCTGGTCCATCTATTATCGATTGCTAGAAATAATATTGGTTTTTTTGCAGTTAAACTCAACAAAAGAATCAATCAATCAATTCGCCGTGACAAATGCTATATCCAAAGTTAGCTACTGGCTATCAAACCAAATATAGGACAGGCATTGGATGAGGGGGCATACTAGCATCGATCTGCTTAATATGAGGGATAGCCAAGCGGACTTTATTCCTGTAGGTCGCCGGTCCCATGAGCTGTAATGGATTCGCTTCGAAGTAGACGGTCTCCAGTTCGGCTTTGTCCTTCAGAACATCTTCGACCTCCTTGAAGGAGCTCAACTGATTCTCTGAAGCCCAGAAATCCACAATGTGGGACAAATGTTCGATCCCCTTTATCGAGGTGAGTCGGTTGTGCGTGACATCGAGATTCTTGATGTTCGGTGTGTTCTCAAGACCAGATAGGTCTTCAATGGCGTTATGGGAGACATAGAGCTCTTCCAAGTTGTTAAGACCGTCCAAACCGCTCAGTTTTGTCAACCGGTTTGAAGGCAGGGATAAAATTTTCAAGTTGGATAGCATCGAGACGTTCTACATCAAAAGTAAGTATGAGCATGAGCATGAGCGTGAGCAAAATAGCGACAGCGGAGATATGTATAGACGACAGATACTAACCTTGATCTCAGAAATCTTATTCTTCCCGAGCCATAGCTCCTCCAACTTTGTCAAGTTCTCCAAGTTTTGGATTTCCTATGCTTCATCAGCCTCCTCCCATTCAAGCAAGTTTCCACTCTCTACACCCTCCCAAGGGGGGGAAAAAAAGTGCATACTCTGACTTTATTAGCTCCCATCTCCAGGTTCTTCAACTCGACTAAAGTCCCTAGTCCTTCGATCGTTCCGATCCTATTCGACGCCAAATACAAGTTCTTCAACTTGACCAACTTCTCCAAGTTCTTGATATGTTTGAGGTCATTGTAGCTCAGATCTAAGTTCTCGAGGTTGACCAAAACCTCCAAATCACGTGTCATATGGCCGATTGCATTATCGTACAGGTCGATGTCTTGTAATGTACCGGCGATACATTCTAATCCTTCGATACGGGAAATTTCGTTTTGACGGAGGCAGAGACGCAGGACGGCGGTTAGCTTTTGGAGACCGAGGGCGGGGATCGATGTGATACGACAGTGGACCAGGTCGACATCCTATACAAATCGGTTAATTCGTCAACTTTTCTTTCATTTTAGAGGTAAGTGACGAACTTCAGAGTCTGGAGGAAAGTCTTCGAGAAGATCTAGAGAGAATATAAAAAAAAAAACTATGTTAGAAACCTGACACTAACTTTGATATTCTGTTCATTTCTAGAAAAACTGCTTCTTTTTTTATTTACCTTCATCGGGATTCAAAGATGGTGGTCGCATAGCGTTTGCCTCATCTTCGGCAGACGGATTGGTCAAAGCTTCCGGGTTTGTGAGAATGGCACGAGGATGCGTTTGTTCGGACCTCTCTGGTCGCTGATCTTCGTTTTCGGTCGTCATCCTGAGGAACGTTCGTATGGCCTAGTAAAAACCTGTGTCTCTGGTTTTACTAGATATTTGTTTTTTTGGGAGATCGGAGGGAATATGGAGGGTATCGAAGTGGTGGTGGTGGTGTTGAAGTGGTGGTGGTGGTTGATATGATATGTTGAAGGTTCGGTTAGAATTGGCAATGGTTCGTTTGACGTTAAGTGAGTTTAACTAAGCAAGCTTGGACAGGATCCTAAAACATGTCATGCCAAACCCCGACCTGCATGCACCTTGCATGCCACCTTTCGCCCACCTTTCACCTTTCGACAGGATCCGAGACTGACTAGTCCAGTCCATCCAATACAATATAACTTTTTCTACGAATTGGATTATCAAGTCGATATTCTAGAATCTGAACTGGACAAATGACTTTTTTTTTGCTAAGATCTCGAGAGTTTTCTCTCCGTATGTTCCAGCTATTTTCCCCTTTGCTTGGAATTGGATAATATGAATTCTTGGCCTAGATCGCACCGGGTTTGATTTTATGCCTTGAAATGAAATGGGTTTATTGATCTATACAGTATCTCGAACAGGTCTAGTTTTTTTTTCGGCTTTGGGGTCAGGTTGCCTATATAACTCGGAATTATTTCTTTTCCTATGATGAAAATAGATTAAGTTGCGAGTGATATATAATCAACAATGGACTCGACTGATAGTAGTCTAAAAGCACTGAGCTTGTAGGTAAATAATCTACATTTAACACTGGTCCTTTCCATAGACCTCGCTTCTACGCCCTGTAAGTCGGTACATATACTCTGGGGCCTTTCAAGTTGACTTGCAATTGACCTTAGTCGAATATATTTTCGAAATATAACAAATTACCCTGTTATGACCCGACCCGGATAATGGCGTGTCTCGAAACAGGTAATATTCCTAAATCCATCCGCTAGCTTCGATGAGCTAATAGTTGTGCGTGTTATATAGATTTACACTATTTTGTAATGCATCGAAAGAATGTTAGCATATCTTACTAAGCACTCGAAAACAAGACCTCGAATCTATATATCTCACCTTCTTCAAAGCGCCAATTCTGATGATCTGCCGGCCACCGTCCCCAGAGCTGGATAGGGGTGCCATTTCTCTCATTTCCATTATCGCCCAATTCGACATTCAGAGGACAAGGTTGTCGCGGGACAAAAATACTTCGACAAACAGGTCATTAGAATACCGATCCCACGGTTCAACTATACAAATGTGAGTGGAGAAATGTGCGCATACCGGTATATAGATATATCTCTCTCCTCGGGTACGATATCCCACTGGACGGGGAAATCGGAAGCGGCCAGACGCGTTCCAAAATCAACCTGGATCCCCGCGATTCCTAAAAAGCTTCCTTTGTCCTTATTTCGAAAGGTCCATAGACCGTCCTGTCGTTCCGGAATCCACTATTTAATAGAAATTTAACATTAGGAATTAGCTTTAGTATATCCAGGTAATATACTAAGATCGCAGAGGAATATTGTTTACCTTCTGGTTATCTCCGCCCTTCCATTCCCATCCTGTGATAGAATGGCCCTCCGTACCCGAGAGGTCAACGACTTTTCCCGCCTTGACGTTGACTATTCTGTAGCTCCTGCCTGGTATGATTCCCATTTTATTGCTAAAATATTAAAATGGAAAGAAGTAAATGCCTTTCTTTTAGTCCGCCGCAAGACATGAGTTTAGTTCAGGCTACTTATGCCCTGCGATGGCCGCTAACTAGGTTCTTGATGGTAACATTAGCGAGAAGCGGGAGAGGATCTTGGCTTGCGCTGGGGCACGACGCTAGCGGGCCGGTTACACAATTGAAGCGGATGACAGAAACAACGACGAGACTCTTTAGTGTCTGGGTTGGCTTGATCATGATCATGATCCATTCCCGTTATTCTAGATTGAATTCAGTGCATGATTTGATTCCGATCCGTCAGAGAGCTAAGCTATAGAATTAATTAATACACAGACACCATCTTCAACAAATAAAATAGTCAATCTTCCACACAATATATAGGTAATCCCCCCTTCGACCTTCATTAATATCAACACTCATCCCATCCCATCCCGCCGGTGGGATACATTGACGTCCACCGCTCCTCCACAAAGCGACATCATAAATAGCAGGTCCCGCAAACTTATATTCATACCTCAACAAACGGAAATCCCCACCCGCACCTTTAGCCAAATCCGCTCTAGCGGGATCGCCGTGACCGAGACGTTCTACACCGATGTATTGGAGACGACGGCGGTCGTCGGCGTTTTGTTCTTGCTCCTGCATCTGTTGCTGTTGTTCGAAATGGTGTCTGCGCGGACGTGGTGGGAGGGTTTTTACTACCTTTTTGAGGTATACGAATCTGACGTGAAGAGTTTTATATTTTATCCAGCCGGTCTTTACGTATACACGATAAATCTTTTAATTTTGTTTGAATATGGAGAGGAAACTTACTCGCCCTTGTGTCCTGAATTCAAGTCTGTAAGAGCACCGTTGATCTCGGGGATACTCTCGGGCGCCCGACCCACCCCGTAGATAACCTGCAAGATATGATTTTAAGTATATTCTCGAAGTTAGTCCTTACTAGATTGACAAACTAAAGTAAGTACATACCTCTAAATGATCAATGATCTCTGCCATCGATGCATATAAAATCAACTTCTACTAGTTATATATCCTTGAAAAGTCGTATCACCACTACTACTACTTTTGAAGAATGGAAGTGTAAGTTCAAAACCACCTCCATGCATTTTAACTGCTGTTCAGGAAAACTTGCCTGAAAGTCTGTCCTAGAATCGTCGCTCGATACTCATCCAATTAGGTAACAAAAGGAACCACCGTCACAAAATACTTCCATATGTCCTGCATGTCGATATCAAACGAATCAAACTTCACAGATTCCATGTTGCAAGTTACCCCGCTTGAGGCTTCAAAGTACCCCTCTAGGCTTTTTGATAAAAGATATATCTTTTAGTTTCGATTTTTGTATACATGCATATGCGGATCCCCATTAACATTCTAGGACCTAACGGGGTTCGACACCCCCCCTTTTATGATATCTACAAATGAGAATCGACTCTAGAGGCTTCGTTCCCTACCCCGAAGTTCAAACCTTAACAAATACTAAATCCAGATCTAATACCATACAAAATCTAAAATCACTTTTCGCGAAAGTGTTCCCGGGTCTGGTCTACGAGACAAATACATACTCATGTATTCAGATTCACGACCCTGTGTATCAAAACTTTTTAATTTTTTTTTTTTGAAAATTCAAACTCCTTGGGAGCGCGACAGTTCCTCTCTTATCAACCCCACTACTTCGCCAAACGCAATTCCAACTACTTCGTACACCTGCCTGCCGCTCCGCTTCTTCCGACCCTTTGGCTTAGTCTTCACCATATACCTTTCATCCAACAACTTCAAAAGCACATTCAAAAATCAGCAATCTAGAAATAATAAATAAAAATAAAATAAAAAAGAGAAATAGATAGGGAGAGGGAGAGGGAGAAGGCCCGAGTCGACAACGTGCTTACCTCATAATCGTCCTGATTTGGAATTCCTAAGTCATGCTCATCCCCTTCTTCAATAACCCTCCCATCAATTCCAACGATAAACATATTGTAACAATGTTGTCCAGCCGCCATAAACAAGCTCCATCCGTCACTCTCTCCTAGTTGACCGAGAAAGAACTGAGAAACGTCCATCCCCTTTGAAAGGAATACAATTATAATTAGATCCTTAGAAAACCAAATATGGGCATTCAACTTGTTGCAAAGAAGTATGGTACCTCACGCTCCCCCAAGAAATATCCTAAGCTTTGAGGGTAATACCCAACAAATTCTTCCAGAGTCATGCTAGAATAAAAGTTAAACCCCCCCCATTTGCATGACTAGTCTAATAATAATCCCCAAACTCACCCATGCCGATAGTAGTTCATGTTCAAAGCCTCGAAGCCTAGTGTAAAAGCTTCGAATACACAGCTGCTTTCTGAAAAGATGAAGTATAAAGTTCTCGCCCTCCGGCCCGGTATAAGATTACAACGCTGGAAAAGGTATATTATCAGTAGATGGACCTGCGACCCCGCCTCAAACAATTTCAAATCATATTTTAATATCAAATCGACTTCAGGCATCAAATGCAAACTCGCAAACAAGGCTTTCGGAAATGCAACGTTTTTCGGAAAAAATCTATAAAAATTTCCTGTTCTAGCCATTACAATCGCATGTACATACGACTTGAGACAGGGTAGATCTATGGCGTTAATCTGCGTTTGCACGCCCTGTAAATACAGCTGTTTGTCGTATATTCTTAAAGGGCATCAGACTTGGTAGCTTTTCGTTGCAAGTCGGAAAAACTGGATCTTCTGTTATTGAAAATGAAATACCCCCCCCAAAAAAAAAAGAGAAAAAAAGATCCCGCCCATGAATATTATCTATACTTGAGCTATTGTATATGCCCATGAGTCCACTATACCGCCAGCGAGTAAAGGAAACCAAAATATACATGCGCATAAATCAAACCTGCTGCTACCAATGTCCGTACCGTGAACCCATCGCTTTAAACTTCAATAAACCAGCCCAAAGTGATCTCGTTAGTCGTACCAAACAAACCCAAACGTTGCAAACTATGAAATCTCCAACCCAACAACCCCAGTAACATGCCCAATATTCCCAGTAGAAAGACACAAAAACCTCAAAACGATAACAAACTCATCATCCACCGTTGTAATCTGCGGTGGTGGTGGCGGCGCCGCCGCCGGATTAACAGGTCCTCCTCCCGTCGCCGTCGTCGTCGTTCCAGTCGTATTCGTAGTAGGCGCAGCAGCCTGTGCAGCCGATCCACTTTTCCGCAACTCCTCAAAATCAATGGTTTCACTCCTTACCTCATTATTATCTACAAACTTCCCATTTATTCGAGCGAACAACTTGATCCCGCGCTGTACCGGCGCCGTAAGTGAGATGAAATGTAAAACGTTGGTATCATTTGAAAACCATTCATTCCCTTTATTAAGTTTCGTATGACCCAAGTCGTAAATTTGGTTCAGCCGCTCGAGTGCCGCTGCGGCCGATGTGAACCCGTCAACAACGCCTCGAGGCGGTGAACTGATAATGTCGATTGAGTAGTGAACGTTTGGAACTGCTACGTAACCGTGGAATTCGAGTGTCATCTTTTTGAGGTTGATGCTGGTTGGGAATCCTCGAGGGATACGAAGGGTGTGAATGCCGAGCATATTGAAAGAGGCTTCGTCGGCACGGATGAGGGTTGTGAGCTTGAGGGGCTCATGGAGCTGTTGGGCTCGAGAAGCCATGATTACGAGCTCTGGTTCTGGTCTGTATTTTGGTTCTGGGGGTCTCTTGCCAGCCATGCACTTTTAAGAAAGACGGGTAGGCCGTTTCTTCTAGAATTCTAGAAATCCTGGATATTAATTAAGAGACGAAGTTTTTTTTTCAGGAAAGAGTGAAGAGAGTTGCCCCGAATTATTCAGAGTTCATGATATACTTGAAGGATCATGAAATCAGCGAGCCTTGGATCTAGATAATCCACCGGTTTCGTAGTATATGATAGGGCAGTGTGGGATTTGGTCTGCAGGGCGGCCAATGCAAGACAAACATGCATGAGCTGAATGCCGCCGCGATTATGTGTAATACTATATACCTACAGTACTTCTAAACACAATCATGGAGGTTATTCCGGGGGAGAAGCTGTCGTTTCTGGATGTACATACATGTACCATGTTTCATTTTGAGATCCCTAAGCCTTCAATCTAGGATATCTGCACCAGCTCTCTCGAAAACCTACAACATATCGGCATCAAATACTTTCCGAATACACCACTGACGTCACCCACCGGTACCATTTATTATGCATGGCTCTCATTAGAGTATGTATAGTGATACATACGATCTGGCGCTTCAAAATTACAATGATCAAAACTACTACTTACTTTCGTAAGGAAAAAATACCATACTTTCATAACTTAACTCAACTCGTCTTGCATTAACATTCGGAACTTCTTGATATACATTTGATCAGTATCATTTTATTAGTTTTACTTTTAAAAGAATCGACAATATGACCATATCAATTTAACAGGATGTTCCGCGGTATCAGATTCTCTAACTTTTGACAATAACGGTTAAGGATCCAATGCATATACTGTAAGGACTGTACAGCAGTGTAATGCTATAGTTTCAAGATGAAGATTACTAATTTTATGCTATCGATATATTACTGCTTACCTTTAGGTAACCACCCGCCGCTTCGGACACCCATGTTACCCCGCGAAGTTTAAGTTCTTCATACTGATGCACTTCATATCATAGCACCGTCCCGGCTCTGGCGTTGACACTCAAAAACTAGGAAACATATAAACCCAATTTCAAAGCACTCTACAAAACCTAATTAATACAGGGACAAGAATGATTAAAACTGCCACAGTTACTATAAATGATTATGATATACTGCGAAACCAACCCCCATTATTGCAGTTGCCTAAACTGCGTACAATGCTAGAGTCTATAGAAGCTCTGGCACGCGTACCGGCGTACTCCGTCCATCAAAAAGCTGTTATATTCTGCTTTTCCAAAGTAGACCTTTCATTTGACGTAAACATAAAAAGAAACGTTAAAGATTACTCCCCCCAACGATATAATTCCCAACATTCTGACTCTGGAGGAAAGTGATCTAGATATCTATCGTCCTTCCCATGATAGTATCCCGTGTTATTTGTGTTGGATTCTCTCTCCTTCCAGAGTTTAAGAGCTAGTCCTTGAAGGGGCTCTGCGCTATCCTCCGTGTCCTAGACTACCGTGGGGGACTTTGAGATACCTCGGTGATTGTAGATCTATGGCCGCGGCATACGAGATTCATTTCATGACACCCTTGTCTCGTACGATCGTACATACCTAGTCCCGGTCCCGCACACTTTGTGTCACTCGATTTAATCGATTTCCAGTCGATATCGCCTACGCCTTCCCGCATTAAGCGATTAATTACCATTATATATACTGAATCATTACCATTTGCTTTCAAGAAATGTTTGGATGTAGGCTCCTTCCTTAAATGGTCGCTTATATTCGATCTAAGCGACCATTTAGGGAAGTTAAGGCAAGTTTATCGGTATAGGATTCTTCACAGTATCGGCCAATAATTAACCGTTCTTACCGGCTGTGATATCGATAGCTTAGACCCCCTGGTGCATGATGATCTAGATCTGGACTTGTGTCACATCAACGGCCGCCGCCGCCCTTACAGCACATATTCGAATATTCAACTTAACTTAAGGAATTTTGTTATGCATGAATTATGAACTGTAGCAATCAGATCGGATATATATACCACAGCTCTGGGCCTCTTTCTTGGAACTTTTCTAAAAGCAGGATTCTAGGAATCAATAATCCAATATCTCTGAAAATTCAAAATTTCCGGAAAATAAAGGTCAAAGATGAAGGTCTCCCACTCTACCGCAATCCTGCTTTGTGCAGCTATAGCAAGTGCCCATCCGGCGAGCTTTACTTCTGAAAAATTCCAATCCCTGATCTCTCAGAAAAGGTGCGTCACAATTCTCAACATTCAACAAGGAGTTTAATTAACTAAAATTTTTTTTTTTCATCATTCAGCTTGCTATCCGATCTCAAAGCTTTCGATCAAATCGCTTCGAACAACAACGGAAACCGTGCCTTTGGTGAACCCGGCTACGTCGCATCAGTCAACCATGTCAAGTCCCGCCTCGACAAATCAAGCAGATTCAAGTCCTGGACCCAAAAATTTGAAACTCCTTCGTCCAACATAGAGCACTTGCGTCTCACCGTCAACGGCAAAAGCTATAACCTTAAGATGCCACTAGGTTGGGCGGGGGGAGAAGCGCGGGACTTAGATATTACCGCTCCACTAGCCGTACTTGATTGGGGCTCCCCCGGGACTTGCGAACACCCATATTACAACAATAATACCGACACAACCGGTAAAATTGTTCTGAATCGATGGGTGAACTGTCATAACCCGGGCAAGCACAGTCCCCACGTGGACATGAGCTCTAGCTCGCTCGGGTACATTTTCTACGAAGACAACTATGAGCCGTTGGGGGTTTCCAAGAGATCAGTACCCAATATGGTGAAGAGGGAAGAACATCCATTTAGCTTCATATATATGAGCCGGGCCGACGGAATCGAGCTAACCAGACGTCTCCACGCCGGTGAGGAGCTCATCGCACGATTTCAATATAAAACATCTCCGGTCAAGATTGAAAGCCAAAATGTGATCGCCGAAACAAAAGCTGGCGACCCGAACAAAGTTATTTTACTCGGCGCTCACCTCGACAGCGGCGTCAATAGTCCCGGAATCAATGACAACGCCAGTGGCGCTGCTCTTTTACTCGCTCTGTTCGATGCTATCAATCAAGGCAAATTCAAGCCAAAGAATAAGATCCGTTTCGCATGGTGGGCCGGCGGACAGGAATACCTAAATTTCGGTTCAAGCCATTACGTTCTAAATTTGTCCAAAAAAGAGGCCGACAATATCCTCCTTTACTTGAACTTCGATATGGTCAGCAGAGGTCACTTTGGTGTATACGATGGAGACGGCAGCAGATACGGTTATTACGGTTACCCGGGCTCCGAAATTATCGAAAAACTCTTCGAGGACTACTTCACCGCCATGGGACTTCCCGTTAGACCTGTTCATTGGCACGGCGACAGCGACTACTACTCATTCATGTCGCCGGATCTTTTGATAAAGCCCGTTGGTGGATTGCACGGTGGGGACGGTCTTCTTGACGATGCCTGCTGGCAACAAACCTGTGACAACCTTGCAAACGCCAATGTAACGCACTTGGAGATTAACACCAAGGCTGCAGCTCACGCCCTTTACGTTCTCTCTCAAACGTATAAGGAGGTCATTCCGCTGGTCCCATATAACCATACGGCGGCCCAAATGGCGGGTTATTAGATCTATAGAAAAAAAAACTCAGCCTCGTAACTAGAAAGTTTACGACGGTTGAACGGATGGGATTGGAGTTTGTGTTGTACGTGTGGTATAATTATAAGCCATCAACTAGCAGCTAAACCTCTTATTTCATCATGTAAATATTCGATTCACCAGTAGATAGGACTGCCGCTGTTGTATATAACGTACTTGCAAGGGGAATGAGATGAGACGGGGCGGGAAGTGAAATATAACAATATCATATTCTTCTAGACGATAACTACGCATTTACTCTTTAGTGTATTATACTATAGTCAATACCGTCGCGTGGCTAACTTTCGATTTCTGGTCACTGCTATTATATTATCGGAATTGAAACTAGAATTTCTGAAAGCAGAAAATGGAAAGGACAAAGAACAGAAAATAGTAAAGAGAACTATGAATACTCAGATACTGCTTAAAATGGAATTCCGAATCCTTATAACTGTTCTGGATATTGCATTGAGGCAACCTCGATAGTAACACAATAGTTTTATATCGTTAGTGTACGTAAGTCTAATAATTATGAAGTATCGAATTCTATATATGAAATTCATGATCACTAACTTTTCTTCTTCTTTTTTTCTTTACGCATGTATTTATAATCTCTATTTCAACTTGATCAGCTTAAGCTTTATTATCTCTATATATTATTTTTATACTCCATAGAGCCATCGAGCTCGAGTTCAATCCAACAAGCCACCCCAGTAGAGTTACGAGACTAAAACCACCCATTCTCTTTCGTACAATGCGACTTTCGTGTTGCCAGTGTGGTAATCCGTCCCATCTATTCTAGTCACGTGAACCAAAGAAAAACGCCAAGCTTCTCGAAATTTTGGTTCCTTTTCAGCGACCGACACAAACCCAGCCGACAACTTTCACCTCTGCGCCAACCACAAAACATCTCATCATCAATCATCATCAAGGCCACTGTCCTCAAACAGTCACCCCAAATCACCATGTGTAAGCCTCCTCACTCCACCCCCCAATCTAAATCTACTCATCTAACCTTAAAAAACTATAGCGTCAATGCGCAATGCAATCCAACGTCGCAACCACAAAGAACGTTCCCAAATCTCCTCCCGTCAAAGATACGGCCACCTCGAAAAGCACAAAGACTACGCCCTTCGCGCGCAAGACTACAATTCCAAAAAGGCCCGTTTAAAGATCTTAAAATCAAAGGCTTCGGAGAGGAATCCAGATGAATTCTACTTCGGAATGGTTAACGCCCGCACGAGGGATGGTGGTGTTCTCGTCAAGGAGAGAGGCGCCGGTGGGAATGATAGTAGAGTTATGGGGATGGATAGGGTTAGAGGGCTGAAGATGCAGGATAAGGCTTATATAAGAGTTATGGGAGATGTGGAGAGGAGGAAACGGGAGAAATTGGAGGAGGAGTTGGTGTTTGTGGGTGTTGATGGGGTGAGTGGTGGAATCGACGGAGGAAAGAAAAAACTATTCGATGAGGAGGGTAATGTGATCAAGCCGGCTAAGGGGAAGAAGAAGAAGGTAGTGGATGAGGATGAAATGGATTGGGAGGATGAAGACGACGATGAAGACGAAGGGCCCAAACCAACCAAGGCGGAGCAAAAGGCCGCGAAGGCGCGGATGGTAAAATACAAAGAACTCGAGGCGAGGATGAAGCGTGAGGCGGAACTTCGGGGCATGGAGAGGGAATTGGATGCGCAAAGAGAGTTCATGGGCAAGAGTGCACCTAGGATGGGTCTCACAAAGGAAGGGAAGCGGTGGTTCAATAATGCTCGGAAGAAGTGAAAGTTGATCAAATTGCCGCCTTCTCACGTGTACTATATTGCATGGGTTCTGGTGTTTCGGGAATTCTTAAAAGTCGCTTTTTTTTTTTGAGATCTTAGCGTTTTTCTTAATAGAATTTGATTATCTATAACGACGGCTACCTGTTAGTGTACACTATCGAAACCTATCAGCGTCGCCTAAGTTCAAATTAGGGGTTCGATTTTGAAAGGAAATAGTTCCGCTTGACCCCAATACCATTTAGAGCAGAGTTATTAAAAAAACAAAAAGGAAAGAATAGGAAAGAGAAAACCGATAACGCCTCGACACACACTGTCACATATTGATACCCATTCCTCCAAAAGCCTACGCCAAAAACCCATAAACCCAACACTTTCGCCGGTAACTACAGATATATCTCTCGAGCTTCTTTCGGTAAGCTGTCAGCAGGGCAATAAGGACATTTATACCGGCTACCAGTGCCCCTAGCAAGCTTTTGCACGGTATCCTTAGCCAGCACATGGCCACACGGAATCATCATCGGAGGGTTCGAGTCAGTAGTTTGTTCTTTGGAGACCGGACAGACGAATATCGAATGGTATTTGAACTTGTCTGGTAGGGGTACTTCGACGGGTAGTTCGTTTTGACTCGTCCATTCGGTCTTCTTAGCTTTCATGATTGTTGCCATCTTGTTGAACGTCGGAAGTGCGATGGCGCCAGCCGTTGTTGCCACATAAAGTGGCGACTCTGCTGAAAGTCGAAGAAGAGCACAGAATTCAGTCGTAAATGATTCAATGATGCTCTGCCATGAGGATTCATCTTGGATGAGAGCAGCATAAGGTGACATTGACAGCTTCTCACGCCATACCACGCAACCAGCAAGCTGTGAGATTTCTATAAAGCACCTCGTTAGGTTTTTGTTTTCGACCTAGGCACATATGAAATGGGGGGCACAAACCTGTAAGGTACTTTTTCTGGAAAGGCCCGAATTGAGCCTTAGCATAAGCTAATGCATTCGGTATATCATCCGGCGTCCCCTGAAACAACAAGATCATGTACTGCAAACGATGCAATTCAAACTCCAAATTGGTAGCTCTAGACTCCAATAAATCTCGACGTTTCTCAGCCCATTCTATCGCGGGCTTTAGCTCCTTCCGCCGGAGAGATTCTTGAATCGAAAACAGCTCTCGAAACTCAATATCCAGTACCGAGGGAACACCTTCAACAATACCCGCTTCTTTGGCAAACGTTTCGGCAATCTCGAAGTTACCCTCGCGGAGGAGGTGCATTTGTATTGCGCGATTAATGAGGGGTTGTCGGTTGGCTAGGGCACCGAATGTATTTTCATTGGTACTGTGTTTGAATTTCTATATACCATGTTAGCTTTCCATATAAACCACCATCTAATAGCATCATATACCTTGTCCAGAGCCTTGCCATATTTCGCGATACCTCCGTGGGGGCCTTTCAGACTGTCAGTCGCAAGCTGGAATCCTGTCTTAAGCTGCGATTCGAGGGCTTGTAGCGTAGGAACTGTCGCAGTAGGATCTTAAAACAATATAGTTAGTCTAAACTCCACCCTGGTGTCCCCAGTACACGAAATAAGAGCAGCCTGCAGTACCATTTTCGATGGTCGTCCGAGCATCCATCAACATTTCCAAGCATTTGTCGATGTCTTTAATGGACTTGGACAGGTTCGCCCCTCCATTTGTGAGCTTGTCCAACTCCTTCTCAATCGCATCCATCTTGAAGCCTTATCTGGTAGTTGTAGTATTATGGTTCCGGGAAGGTAATAGTCGTGACGGTTTGCACCATATGTTGGGAAGGGGGGAAGGGTCCACGGGAAGATGTATATCGTCAGCGATACATCGTTGGAGAATGGTGGCGTGTGTGTCGTCGTAGCGTGGAGGAGGCTAAAGTGGGCTAATTAGCAGCCGGTTGGACCGCGGTGTCGGGGTGTGGCGTCGGTATCCCAGGCACCTTGGCATGCAGCCCAACACGTCTGGCACGTGACTATCAAATGCAGTCTTCAGTGTCTTATAAGATCTGACTGTGTATACATCCTATCGATTCTCGAAATACCTTCACTACTAACCATACAGTCTAACCATCGACTATTATTCGCAAGACACGTCCGGTCTATACCACCACACACATGCACTTGTTACAAATACTTAGTGAAATACAAGATGCAGCTGTTAAGACAACACAAGTTACAAAGTCCAACGGCTCCAACTCGTCCGCTAATGCAATACAATGCACAATTTTGAATAAGGTGATAAGTCGGCATCTGCAAGTCTACGATCCTAAATGAGCTCGATATCGATCTGGCAGGTTGCACCAAAAGAGCAAACTGTTGTGCTTTCCGTCCCAACAATAGCTTAGACGCTAGTGACTCCGTGTGCAAAATAAATTGCTCAGTTTATGAGCGTCCCCCAGACTAGGTATCGGTTTATCAACCATGCATTATTCATGCAGAATTCCGCATATGTACGACATAGACTATAGACGGTGATCATGGATTCTTTTAGCACTATCTTCCTATGACCCTTCATGGAACAAACGGAGTTAACAGTCTTCAATAGGCAATCTGGTTAATACTTTGGGGTTACATTGCATTGCGAAACGCGAATTTTTGAATTACGCGAATGAGTTGGCCTCGCCAGATCAGAAAGGACTCAAAATCTCTGTATCAGTGTTGGCTCCATGGGAATAAGAACGTATTCGCTGAAGGTTAACAATGCGGTGACATTCCATGCAGTTTCTAACTTCATTCGTGGGTGTGTGTCCTCTTGGAATAGCTTTGGGCATTAGCGGTTTATATATAAATTTACTACATCGGATAATCCTAAAGACCGACCTATCCAAGCAATTCTGAAACACACATTATAACCCGCAAACTTAAAAAATATTTAATTACTACAGCGGATACTAAGTATACGAGTATCTAGTCTGCATACTTCAGTCACCCCCTCTATACCGAACCATCCCACAAAAGATGACCCACAAAGCCGACGAAGACCCCACAATAGTGGAAACCCTCCGCAAGCTCCAATCCCGCGTGCAAGTCTGGGTCAAACCCACAGACCGCATCCTTACCGACGCAGATGCCTACGAATACGACCTCTACCGAGCCGAAAAGGTATCAGGCAAGGTATCATTCCAATGGGGTCTCTCTCTCACCATCTTCGGTATCCTCGCGGGGTCTATAACATATTATACCTGCTGGCAATTAGTTACTGGAAATCTTGCAAAAGTGGAGCATGGGTGGGGGTTGTTTCCGAATGATGTGGCTGGGTTGGTTTCGGTTATGTTGTTCCATTTACTCAGTTTTCCGGGGGTTGTGATAGTAAGGGGGAATCGGAAGGTTAGGAGGGTATGTGGGGAGATTGTGGGGCATTGTGTATTGTCGTTGGTTCTGGCGGCGTTATGGTCTACCATGTTATTTGGGTCGAAAGTGTCGGGGAAGATTGTTCTTTTTGAGCTTAGGCCATTCAAAGTTCATACGGCAGCACGCTCGTAGTGGTCCAGCGCAAAATCCGAAAAAGAGGGACTTCAAAGGAGTCAGCGGGTCAAGTTCCCTCAAAATACTATGGTATTTTTTTTTACAAAGAGACTTCTAGGCCCTTAGTTGGTTCACGATAGACATGCATGGGAGACGAGCAATATAATGAAGTCAAGACAATCTATATATATAGGTATATATAGAGAATTCGAATTGATTCTTATTACAAGATGCCAACTAATTATATATAATATAAGGGTATAAGTATATACACAAAAGATTTCCGCTCCATGCATGCAAGGGTATATTTAATAAAAACAACTTCTCCACACCAAACTCTTATAAAGTAAGAGCTTTACAAAATCCAAACTTCTTTTCGAAAAGAATATGCTTCTTATCTTTATTAAGAGCCGCGCTCGTGTCAGCCCAACTTTGTGGCTTAACTAAGTCGAATAAAAAGTTGGCAAGCTTGCTTTCGGACTCAATCTTAGCTACTGTGGTATAGCTATAATCGAATCTAAAGCTGCTCTCGAATTTAGCGCCGATTTGGGGCTTACCCTCGCAAAGACCTGCTGAATCATAGCCTAGATCCATAGTCGAGATCATCTGAGGGTTTAATCCGGCCCAGACACCTAGTTTGCCGCTGATGGTGCTGTTCTTGAAGAATGTTGCGCCGACGCCAACTCCAAGGCGGAAGTACGGGTTGACTTCGGAATGTGATTTCACCTGAGAAGCACGGACGATAGGGTCAACTTTGAGAGTTCCCCAGTCCTTCTGTAGAACTTGGACTTTATCGCCGCTGGTAGCCTTCAACATCAATAAAGGCGCACCGGTATCCAACTCGAATCCAACGGTGAAATTTCCTGAAGCGCCAGCCTTCATGATGACACCTGGTCCGCTCAAGAATTGAGGTTCTAGGCAGACGATATTCTTGACAACATATGCCTTCAACCCCTTCGAGATAAAGTCCGCAACATAGTTGAGCTCCTTGGATACGGTAGCTGTTCCGGTGAGTTCAAGTAGAAGCCTTGCTTGGATCTTTGGTCTAAAGCCAACTATCAATTCGGTCTTTCCGGTCTTTGAATCACGTCCACCGGTTGCGGTGTACTCAAAGGTTCCTCTGACATAGCAACCAATACAAGTTCCTTTAACCTCGTAGTTGGAAACGACACCGTCGAGATCTGGGATTGTGCCAGATGATTCCACAAATACGACTTTATCGTTAATGTCGTCATTGCCCCATTCAATGGTAGCAGAAGCCATCGCTTCGAAATTCGGGATGAGTTTCCATGCTCCTTCAAGAGCGGCCTTGGCGGCACCGGTTAACAGTTCGAAGTCTCCAAAGCCAAAATCGCCGTTTGGTTTACATCCGGACATTTTGATTCCATGCTGATTAGCCTTGCTGCAGATGAAATCCGCAATGATGATTGAAATGGGAGAAGGATAGTATCCGACTTCGATAGGATCCCGTCTTTTGGTGAGTTTGATGATTGGGTGTTGGATTGTTTCGAAGTTGAATGTGAAGTCTCCGAGTGCTTCGTCCCATGAGGCATCTTCGGTGGTAAGCACTATAGTCGATTTTCGTGCGTCAGACTTGACGGAAACGACTTTGTGAGGTTTTCTTTCGTCTTCGGGGTTGCAGCCGTTGTGGTGATGTTGGGAGACGAGGAAGAAGTGGTCCTGGTCCTTATGATTGACCCAGTCCCATTGCTTGGTGGCGTAGGTCATTGCATCCTTGTCTTGGAATTCAAGGACGATATCTTCGCCCCTGCAGCTGATCTGCTTTGTGAAGCTATCGAATTTCTCTAAGGAAATTAAAGGATGTTGCGGGTCTGGCTTTGCATTGATTGTGGCAAGATGGATATCATATCCGGCTAGTGTTCATCAATATTGTTAGCAACTGACTCTGAAAAAATGTATTGATATATACATAGTATATATATATAGAAAAGAATAAACTTACTGGCCGGTTTCCCGAAGTATAAAGTAGCGGTCTCTTCGAGATGTAAACTCGATAGATCATCGCTTCGCTTCTGCAAATGTGGGAATAAATACTCCTCACGGATTGGAAGTAAATCATGGGAGTCTGAAGCCTGCTTGACTACCGGAGCAGAAGCAGTTTTAGAGCGAGTGTACGCGGAATAACCGCGATCTCCATCATAATTGAAAACACCAGCTGAAGCTTGTGTTCCAAATAAACCGGCCGATAACGCGACTGACAGGAGTTTCGAAGGTACCATTGTTTGTTTTACCCGTTAAAGATGTATGCTGAAATAAAGAGTACCTCTCGAGACTACTCCTGACGGATATACTTTATAATATACTATCTTCGAGATTAGACTTCAACAGTACCTCTTATAAGAAACCCGTAGAAAAAGAAAAAGGCAAAATTAGGTAAGAGGATTTAAAGAGAAGGTAGGTATAGATGTGATATGAAGATAGCCTCGGCCCCAGTTCTGGTGTGATAATCTTAATTCTTCACTATCACGAATTGGAAGAACCACGATGTCGTGTCGGATCAGGATGTTGGATACAAAGAGCAACTCCTATGCGTATTATCCATTGCTTATATACTCAGAGATTCTGACAATCACGACTACGAAATTTTGAAAGATCGAATCGACACTAATGTAACATTGACATCGATCTCGGCGCACTCGAGAACTCGGAGAGCTCTATAGAGCCTCAGGGCCAAAAAAAATTTTGAAGAAAAAAAATTGGTTCTAGATGTCCCAACAAGACTACAAGTGTTCCAACAAGACCATCGATGTTCCAACAAGACTTCTAGTACGCTCATGCTCTTACGTACTAGAAGAGAATAATTGCATTCGACATCGCGAGCTCCATTTGGGTAACAACCAATACAGGGCATGTGCATACGCCATGAAAAGGCCAAGAGAACTAATAATGTATTGTTCAAGTTAAATGGCTACTAGGTAAGAGTCCCTTGTTGCATTTTGGCAGGTTTCTAACGCCCTTTCAGTAAACGACGGAGCATTAGCAAATCTTAACCCCTTCCCTAGCCCCTACCAAGAGGAAGGCACTTGCCGCAGCGATATTAGTAGATATAAAAATTTCCGCTACGAGGCGAAATTAGCCTCTCGCTAATCTATGTTGGATCTAGAGTCTGTATAGTAGGTCGCTGGTGTGGCGAGGTCGTGTTTTAAAAGAGCAGCTGGCTAGTCGAAATGGGGGAATTCGGAACCCTCGAATCCCCCGCCCCGAAAGAGGAAGACAACCATACGATTAGAATTGATTCGAATCCCACCACCTAGACATGATTCAGATCCCCGCAAATGCTTCCTCAGGAAATACTCGAGATGATCTGGAACATATCAACTTACCTGATTGGGAATTAAACTCTATCGCATAATATACGAATATGCGATAGACCCCAGGCTGCAAGGACCTGGTTTCTGGGTGGAATTCTTTGGCGAAAACTCGTGACAATTGCAATACACGAGGTTTCACCTGTCGAAAAGCCTTCGAGCCAGGAACTTGAGACTCATCCATGGGAGGGGTACATTTACATAATCCTATGAACTTACATATGTATATAAATCGATATTTCGATCGTACAAGGATTATCCTCTCGAGATCTCCTGAAATCATCATAGGAATCCATTCCAACTGGAGTCCCCCCGGTCATTACTACCATACTACATACTATATTTACACTGGTTAATAATCTCGTGCCTAGGCGCCTTAACTGGTTATTACCTTCTCTCCGGATCTCTTTTCTTCACTGGTTGAACATTGCGATATCACCCCGGCCTATAGCTATACAGGCCTGCTATCTATCCCCGCCGAATCCTACCCCCAGCACACCCTTAATAAATCGAAAAGTCAATCGATTCAGATCTTTCGGAAATAAACAATATACTACAATCATGAAGATCTCCGCCTACATCATCGTGCCTTTTCTGATCCCTGTTGTTTTGTCGGCACCTCTTGCCAGCAACGATTTTGGTATCTACAAGCGCTTTCCGCAACTGGCCTATCGATCCAAGATCCTCCAAAGAGCGCCGAACTCGGACGTCGCAGATGTTCCAGAATCCGGGGTGATGAAGAAACTATTCCTCGAAGCACCTGTGATCGAAAGGCTTGATCCCCAAATTCGCAAAGCTATAGAAGACATGCCGGATCCTGTGTTCGATAAGCTGAGTACCCTCGCAGGCGACCAATTCCTGGCTTACTTGGACGAGCTTCTGGCTGGAAAGGTCCCCAGCTAAAGGTGCCGTCTGCGAACTTGTTTCTTCATCTTATTTTCATTTTTCTTGGAACGAAAGTTACGAAGTTAATGTTTTTCGTCTGTAAACATTTTAATGTTGTCGCGTGTCGTGGTCGGGTTCTGGAGATTTACAGTAAACGAGCGTCCTTACACTTTTATCAACACTTTTTTCCTTACACTTTTTGGATCTTCTTGGCTTGTGGCTGGTACCAAGCAGGACAATATGCTGAGGTTGTGGCGTTCATGTTTTAAATTTTTTAAGGGCTAATTGGGTGGAACTTGTTTTTTCGAGTATTTTGTATAATAAATTAAATTTCAATCCTTCTTCAAGTTTGTAGATTATGCAATTCTATGGAGATAAGAAACTTTTTATCGTTCAAAGCTGTCCCCTGTTAGGGCTATCAAGTGTAGTTATAGGGGAGAACGTATCTGGTGTAAATGAACACCTTACACAGGAGGCCGCCCATCAATACTGTACCAAGATCGTTGTGTGAGGAAACACAATATCATGTCAGAGTAAACCAGTCGTACCCAAGAAGCTACTAGGTAAGACTGAGATATACACCGCCCTTCTCTTCTCTACGCAGCAGCAATTAATTCTGGTTTACGAGATAACCGTATATACATGCGCAACCTCAGCTGCGCAAAGCTCAGCGGGTTACAAACTCGGAACCTCGCAAGACAGAAAAATGTGTTGCGGCAACCTCGACAATGTTACACGAAATCAAACCCCGAAAAATGTGTTGGACTCTTTTGCTCCAAAATTTTCTCTTGGCATCGCGCTTTCTGTTCGAAAATTTCTGTTCGCTGGATTCGATACCCATTGATAATTGCATCCTTACCATTTCAAAAATCTATAGTTATCTGCGCGCGACCAATTGCCCACCGCCACCACCACCGTCACTCTTATCGGTCGCCGTAATATATACTACTAGTCGCCAGTCATGGCCAAATCGAAAGCTACCAAGAAGTTCGAAAAGAACAAACTGACAAAGGTCATCGAGCAGCGGAATGCCGTCAAGAAGATAAAGCAACGGGTTAAGACTTCGAAGAAGCGAAAGACTGAAGATCGAGAATACTATAACGACGAACAAGCCTCAGGTGACGATGAAGAAGCCAAGAAGAAGAAGAAGCCCAAGGGTGCTTCGGCGACCGATGGCGAACTATTCGAAAATATGAGTGTAGAGCAATTCTTCCAAGGAGGGTTCGAGGTGCCGTCGCAGCCAGCAAAGGAAAGCAAGAAGAAAGAGAAGAGTGGGAAGCGAAAGAGGGACGAGACGGAAGGAGAAGCAATCGCTGAAGGAGGTTCGGAACCAGAAGGCGAGGGAAGCGACACAATCGAGGGCCACAAAGACCAGTTGGCAGCACTCGCAGAGAAGGACCCCGAGTTCTTCAAATACTTGCAGGAGAACGACTCGGAGCTGTTGGATTTCAAGATGGCGGAGCAGGACGACCTTAGTGCGATCAGCGATCTTGAAGATGATGATGAAGAAGAAGAAGCACCTTCGAAGAAGGGCAAGAAGGGCAAAGCAGAGGGTGACGACAAGTCGAAAATCGTCAAGAAAGCACAAATCGAACAATGGGAAAAGTCGTTAAAAGAGCAAAATAGCTTGAGGGCGACAAGAGAGGTTGTTCTAGCATTTAGAGCTGCTGCGCACGTAGGAGAAGCAGAGGAAAAGAACTTCAAGTATTCGATTGCGAGCCCTGATGGTATGGTTTTGTCACCGGTCCTCTTCTCTTTTTACGAAATAATAAGCTAACCCATAATCTAGTTTACCACGATTTGCTTGTTCTTGCGCTGAAGCGGATACCAGAGGTTCTCAACCATCATCTTCCTGTAAAGGAACTACCAAGCGGCAAAATGTAAGCTCCCTCACCTCACCGTACTGTAGCCGCCACGGTCCCGTGCTGATATGATTTTATAGACGTATTTCCACCGACTCTGCCAAGTTCAAGACCCTCACAACCCTCCTCAAGTCCCATTCATCTTCTCTCCTACACTTCCTCTCCAACCTAACAGACTCGTCCACCATAAAACTCGTCCTAAACTCTACCCTCGGCCTCATCCCATACCTTCTCTCATTCCGTCGATTTCTCCGAGATTTTGTGAAGCAGGTCGTTGAAATTTGGTCATCACCCTCAACCGAGGACTCCGCTCGGGTAACCGCTTACCTGGTCCTCCGAAAGCTCGTTGTCATTGGAGACTCGACCCTCCAGGAAGCCTGTCTCAAGGCCGCATATAATGGTCTCCTCAAGGGCTGCAGAGGAACAACCACACATACCCTCCCAAGTATCAATCTCATGAAAAACGGCGGTATCGATCTCTTCGGTGTCGATGAGGACCTTTCTTATATGCTCGGATTCAGCTACATCCGCCAACTAGCCGTCCATCTACGAAACAGCATTACAAATAACTCAAAGGAAAGCTACAAGCAAGTTTACAACTGGCAGTATGTGCACTCATTAGACTTCTGGTCTAGAGTACTCGCTACACATTGCGATGGACTAAAGCAGGCAGAGAAGGGCAAACAAAGCCCGCTTCACCCGTTGATATACCCACTCGTACAAGTCACGCTAGGCGCCGCACGGTTAATACCTACTGCGCAATATTTCCCACTACGGCTACATCTAGTCAGGTCGTTGATCCGTCTGTCGAGACATACTGGGACTTATATCCCCCTCGCATCGATAATCCTAGAAATCCTGACCTCGAATGAGATGAAGAAGGCACCAAAGGCGTCTACTCTAAAACCCCTGGACTTCGCTACAATCATCAGAGTACCGAAAAGTTATCTACGAACCAGAGTTTTGCAAGATGGTGTTGGAGACCAGGTTGTTGAGGTCCTTAGCGAGTTCTTTGTGCTATGGGCTACGAGCGTGGCTTTCCCGGAATTGATCGTTCCGCCGGTGATGATTGTGCGAAAGTACTTGAAGAAGGCTAGTACGCCTGGTACGGGGAATAAAAATGTTAGGTTTAATAATGCGTTGGCTGGGTTGGTGACGAGGTTGGAGAGTAATGCTAAGTGGATTGAAGAGAAGAGACGGGATGTTAACTTCGGACCTGGAAGAATGGATGAGGTTATGGGATTCTCGAAGAGTTTGGAGTGGGAGAAGAGTCCCTTAGGTGTTTATGTTATCACGCAGAGAAACGTGCGAGACGAGAGGAGGAAGAATTTGGAAGAGGCGAAGAAGGAAGAAGAGATGCGGGAGAAGAAACAAAAGGAAAGTGGAAAGACCAAGGCGAATAAGAACAAGAAGTCAAAACAGACCGCAGAAGAAGAGGAAAGCGATGAGGACATTAGCGACGATGACGATGAAGAGAGCCTACAGTTCGAGAGCGACGAGGATGACGAATGATCTATTGTATAAAAGATAATTGCAGGTTTGGTCTATGCGGATCTAGGGCACAAGTTTATTAAATATTACGGTGTACGATAGGAGTTTCCTGTACAAAAATATATACATTCAAGTCCCTAAATCTTTTTATTTTCGCTTCAAACACCAAAGTATGCTACTTTTATATGGGAGAGCACCGTGACTACAACTTGATCGTGATATTTTTTAGATCAAGTCCAACAGCTAAACTGCTCAAACCAACGGCGTATGCAAACAAAACACTCATAGAAACCGGTGTTTTAGTTTCTATCGTATTCATGGTCATGTTAACCAGCCCGGTAGCAATATTCGCCTATAGACCCGATATAACTTTTATTAGCATGCTATACCAGTAAAGAACAGTAAAACAAAGGATCTACTCACCACCAAAAAAATAATCAATCCATTCCTATTAAACGCCCTCAACAACCTCGGACTCCTCTCCTCATACGACGCCACTGAACTATTCTTCCCACCAGCAGATTCCGAATCACCCCAACATACCGCCTCGATCAAATAAAACGCCAAAAGCTGCCAGCAGTTAAACGCCGCGACCCAGCATATATAAGGCATATTCGCTATTCTTCTCGAGATCTGTGTATTAATCATGCCGTACTTGTAGTTATCGGTTAACTGGTATAACATCGTCCATACGATTGCTTGAAGCAATAATGGTTTGATAAGTGGTCTTTTGGCTGCACTTTGAGTGGATGGTTTCTTCTTGCTGGATGTTTGTGATTGTTTGCTTTGGGATTGTGATTGTTTGGCTTGTGGTTGTGATTGCTGTTGAAGGGGTAGTATTCTCATGCCTGTTGCTTGACCTGCTAGGAAGATAGCAAGGTATCCGAAAAACGAAGCAATGCCTTCTTTATTCGCATTGATGATATTAGTACGTTCGGCAAGAAGAACCCAATTCTGAAGTCCATAGTTGAATAAAACCAACTGATATCCAGCACCAGTACAAATAGCCAATAGCTCAGGAAACGCCATCTTCGTAAAAACTCCCTGGAATAATGCCACAAAGGGAGGTAGACATCCAAGTGTCATGAAGAAGTTCCAGTGTAATCCGTATTCGGTGATATGTTCATGATAATCGGCGGTTTTGGTAAGGAGAAGTCTGACGAGACCGAGAGCTAGTAGGGCTAGAGAACTTCGCAAGCTTCGTTTTAGACGGACGAGTAAAGGTGCGGTTTTGCTGATGTGGGCATCTCGTAGGATACCGCGGGCGGTGGCGACACCGTTCGCAAAGACGAAGGAACCGACGCCGAGATCCATCTATTTAACAATTAATAAAGTATTCCCGAAGTGACTTTGTATACAGTTCGAGTCCATACCAAGCTCTGACCCCAGGTCTCGACTTTAGCGAACCGTCTTGGGAATACAGGAAAATCTACCGCGAGGATAGCAAGACAAGTGACCATCATCATGCTACCCCTCCAAGCGGTAATGAACGCCTTTTTCGGAAGATAAACATCCAGTTTCTCTTTCTCAGATAATTCCTTCGCCGCATCATCCTTCGGTGGTGGTTTCCGTTGTTTCGATTGAGTCAATGGAGACTGTGCGAAATAGATAACACACCCGTTAAGGGCGAGGAAGAGACTGAAGTATAACGCATACTGGGAGTATACGGTAATCGAAAGCAAAAGAGCTGCGGCGTTTAATCCGAAGTCTATCAGGAATAACGGTAGAGAATATTCATCTGATTGAAAGAAGCCTTTTCGGGTTTGAAGTGCGGCATAGATAAAATACGCAATCTATAAGACACACCGTTGCAAATATTAATGGTAAGAACCTGTCCACACCGCCAAGTACCTGGATAGACAGACATGTCAAAGTGGGGGGAAGGGTACATACCGGCGCTACGGCAGTGACAAAATTAATCTCTGCTATCGACCCACCCTTAAGATTCGAGTAGAAAGCTTCTTTGTTGTCCTTAAGTGACTGGAATATTTTGGCCGCAGCGGCCTGCTCCGGCGTTACTTCCATCGTTGCGTCGACTTGAGAAATGAATGAATGAAATGAACTGAATGTGTTTTTTTTCGAGATCAACGTCGTGAAATTTAACGTTCTCAACGGCCGTTATATACTTCAATAACCGGTATAAGATAGACTTGGGGGGCCTTTATTCAGGAGCTCGTGGTGGAGAACATCGTGGCATATTCACTGGCGCAGAGGCTTCGAGAAAGACATGACGTTCGAGGTTAGGCTGGCTTTGAGTACAAAATGGCCACAGTACTGCAGCCAGGCATCCAGGGCTCATGCGCCGAGAAATTGGTGCCTGGCGGGGAGGCTCTGGGCAGGGGAATTCCCGGTCTGTGAGCGTGGCTGTTTTGGGAAATACCACACGTGAGCAACGCGGCTTCTCTGTCTCTCTTATAGACGGGTGTATATCGATTCAGAAAGACTCGAGGACGAGAATTAATAGATAAAAAGGAAGTCTTATTAATTTGTTAATGAAGTCATTATCTCAGTTTTGGGTCTGGAGTAGATTATGATCGGGTACCAGCTCAAAATTTCTGACTATATCGACGACTCTTTGGTCGTTCCCCATACTAAATGGATATCTATAGAGCTCTTCATGTTCCTGCACATTATATCCTCAAGATATGTAACGTGGCAAGCAGATACAGCGTATTATGGTAGTGTTCTGAGCGTTTGCTTCAATAAATGTTGTACCCGAATATCGGTTCACTGCTTAGTTCGATCTCCAGTAATACCCTGTGCACTGTATCACACGACCATATATATAACCTCTATCGATTTCCATTAATGTGCGTGACAACGGATGCAAAGTGGGGCTCAGCATAAAATGAATATATAAAACGGAGTTAATTAATCTTTTCTTGGATTCTTATTCAAATAGTTCATCCGACTTTCGCGGAAATATATATCCTGGCCACAAATGCACATATACGGCGGCGTTATCCGCACCTTATCTAGTCTTCGGAACCGTGCTTCTAAACGAACCGACAAACTTTGAGTTCCATGGATCCAACATGGTATATTTCGAGATAGTGTCCCCATCAGTCCTTAAAATGTGCGTATAAGATATATATCTTTCTGCAGGGGCAGGTGTATCCATGTCACATCCTAGGGGTCATCTAGATGCTGGATAATGGCATACAGAGGTCGTCATTACTAGTGGGTCTCGTTTTCAAACTTATAAATGCATAGGGCACACTGAATCCATGTATATATAAATCAACGGACCGAGCTACTATGTCTTATCAGCCCATAGCTATATACAAAGATAGTTATCAAGATACCCCTTTGGTTGAAAACCCTCAAAATTGTTAATTTATAAACCACGAATGTCTTCGGCTTAAGCTGCCCTTAAGTTATATCATTCACATTCAAATTCTATCTATCCCCTAAACCAATTGAACCATGGCAAGCCATCCCAACCCCACCGGTCCCAAAGACCCACTCTCCAGAGCAGCATGGAGACTTCGAAAAACTGCTGCAAAGTCCCTACGCACCAACCTCGGACTCCACATCGATCCACGCAGAATAACCTACACCGAAAAGGCATCTTCCATCCACGGCTACAAATGGGTCCTCAACACCAAAAACCTTACCCCAGGGTCCGTGGAATTCAAAAGAATGAAACGGATGGCTGTTAGTTGGGATGTGTATCCGAATAATTGGAATAGGATGGATAGGTTGAGAATCGCTCAGATGATTGAGATGGGTTGGTTGAAGCCTGTGTCTTTGGGGAAGAATAGGAGGATGACGACGCAGAAGGTGATTGATGTGGTTGACCAGGATGAATGGGAGGAAGAGGATGATGGGCTTGAAGATGATGGGGTTGCGGGGAGTTTGAGTAACTGCGACGATAATGCGGATCTTGGAATAGAGCAATGCTGTGAACGGGAACAGCTTGAAAATATCGATCATGACCCGAAAGTCGAGTCTGCTTCCCCCCCTGTTGCAATAGGGTCGTCAAGAGCTTCCCATCGCATCGTTAAAGTGGGTGAGAAGCTGTTGATTTCAGGAAATACATCTCAATATGAACCTGTAAGTTATGGTCTGGCATAGTAAATTCACTTTATATATACGATGTAGATGCTAATACGTCCTTTCTAGAACAGCGATAATTCCGAGGAGAACCCTCTCATCAAAGCCTCTCGTTCTCTAGACATAAATTCGAAGGTTAGGTCCTACCTCGCACTCACAGCCGAGTTAGTACGGGACATGGACGCCCTTCGCAACCAACCCGTCAGTGCTAATGAGAGTGAGCTGCCTACACGGGGAGAAAAGGAAATCGCAACGGAATTCGTTCGAGACGAATTAAAGGCTTTTCGGACTAGTCGACTAGAACTTGATCAGAAAATAAATTCTTTGGAGAAAAAACTCGAACACCTTACACGAGAGGTGAAGGAGGTGTCACCTAGAATTCAAGCTCAGAATGCGGCGTTTCGGTCAAATTCACGGGGGCTCTCTCGTGGGAATAATAGTATGCGGGGAAGACCTGCTTCAACTGTGGGACGGCAATTTCCATCTGAAGATTCTAAGTCGATCTTGTAATTTAATAGTTATGTAGTTGGCTCTAGAATAGTATATAGCTAGAGGACTAAATATGGTTAAAAACTCAATTGTTTTCTGAAATTTAAAGAGGCCCAGACCTACACGTATATATCCAAACCCAATTAGACCCAACTTGGAGGCTGTTATGTTAAGTTTGTATTTCCTAGGACAACTTTAAGCGTCAACTAATTGACAATCAATTGCAACCTAGATATAGCGGGCTAAGCTAGTATCGTTAGTCAATTGACAACGTGACAGACTAGAAATACCGAAACGATTGTCACGTTTTAGGAATGCCGTACCGAGCAATTGGCCGAAAATATGACCCGCCAGTATATACTGCGAATTCCCTAGCTAGCTGAAATTTGTTCTGTCGCATGTTACCTCTGACTTCGATTTGGTATTACAATTCATAATCATGACAGGTACATGTGCTTGCCAATTTGGATATGATGTTGAGCCAGTACACGTATAACTTCCGAGTGCGAAGACCTCCTTCGAATTACATGTATCCTAGCTCTCTTAGAGCTAAAGAGGCCCCAGAAACTAATATAAATACGAATAGATATCATGCAATATCATGCATATGCCATCGACTGTGCATGTATCCAAAACCAAATTTTCTAGCTGCAGTGGAGCTGTGCAGCACAGCTAGTGCAGCATTCACAACCTGCGTTCAGCCGCACTTAGCTATAGAGCCGCCACCGATATTTCTTTACGAAGACTGGCGCCACCTGATTGGCTTCGCACTTCGGAATAAGCGGGCCAAGACCGTGTTCCAAGGGTACCCAATGCAAGAATCGTATGTCGTGACGGCGTGTAATGTTATGTTTGGTTGCTACTAGGCTCGACGAGCGCCACAAAATGTTGCAATGTTGGGATATCGTGACATCGATAGCTATAGGTAGCAACTAGTGCAGTATACAATGGTATCCTCACGTCGAGCAAGCTAGTTTAGTTGTGCTGGCTTTATGGAGCACCCGCGATTAAGTTTCCGATACGTATTGATATTCATATTTAAATAGACCCGTTTCCTTTACCTAGAATCAAGGAAGAAAATTAAGGTTACAACATTGTCGTTCTCAATTGAAGTTCCGGTTTTGCTAGACAATTTCTAGGCATAGATTTCACATTTCCTTTATCCTACTTCAAAACCGCATTTTGATATCCCAAAATGCTGCATACTTTCTCGGGCTTTTTCCTCTCCACCCTTCTTCTAGGATCCACCGTCAATGGTGTCGTTATTCCAAACCAAGATGGCCATCAATTAGAAAAAAGAACTGGAAGCAGCGGTTGCAACGCCGACAACTTGCTCCGTCTCATTCGCGGCCAGGACAATCTACCACAGGGACTCGAATTCTGTAGTACCTGGCTCGGAAAGGTCCATACGACCATTACCCTTGTCGGGGAGACCATCACACCCACCATGTAAGCTCGTTCTCAACAGATACCTTCTAATAACATCCAATAGAATACATACTAACTCTCCTGCAATAGCACCAATACCGAAGTATCATCCACCACATCCACCGATCTCAGCACTGAGATATCAACAATTACAAATACAGCCTACACCACTGTCACAAACACCCAGACATTTACCGAAACCCAAGAAACCTTCACATTTACCAAATTCAAACACAGACGTATACGTGCTGCAACGGCTCGACCATTATCAGACCAAATCCTATCGAATACCTATCCAGCATCTAGGATCTCTAGTGCTTGCAATTGTCTTACTTTGCAACCTCCTACTACTGCCACTGTCTATTCGACCGAAACGGCTGCGCCGGTCACTTCGGTTGTTGTTGTTCCTGCTTTGACGGAAACTTCTATAACTATTACGGATTTTGTGTCGGTGACGACCACTATCACATCAGAGGCGACTAAGACAGTAACCAAGACGGTTTGGGATGACTAGTGCTTGACAAAGCGTAGTAACAAGAGGGTGTGATATCTAGTCGAAGCAACAACTATTGGACATATTTTGTATAGTAATTTGTTTATTGTTTAATGCATTAATGCCGATGATACTGGAATAAGTTAGAATTGATATTTGAATGAATTTAATCGTATTTAGTATCAATAGTCTGAAGTTTTGAAGTATGATCTGTCGTATATATCTAATCTGCGGGGATCCAAGCCGTCGACAAGAATTAAAATTTGCCGTTTTAATTGTCGTCCGGGGTAGATTGTTGTAATTTTCGCGTTGTCGACCGACCAGAGGCGCGTCCAAACCGTCTTGGTGCTGTTCAAAGAGCTTCATCCGATGCCACTAAACTCGAGATAAGCAAGCCACAGGACATCGCCATCGCCATCTACCATCCACTATCCACCATCCATATCATGGAACCATCGACCCCACCTCCACGACCATCTGTCCCTGCGACGTCCCCCTATGGAAGTCCAGATCCTCTCAGCGATCCACCGGGTCCATCGAGCCCGGAATCTCCACTTCCAACACTTCCTGCACATCTACCACCTTCATCTCAGTTTACCACCGATAATACCCCATGTAAACCTCGCGCTAGAGTTATCCATGACGAAGAAGAAAATGTACCTATTGTTCAGCAGTCTAGTTGCCCTGCTGCCCTACCAGACTCGTCGATGGAATCGAAGTTCGCTATATTCTTACCGTCGGAGTCGAGTCCGCCTCCGGAGTTCCAAACCAGTCCGATGAAGCAACCAACTTTGCAAACCGTTCAAGAACAGGAAGATTTCAAAGTTAGCATCGAGATGGTTGATGTTGAGGAAATTGATATTCAGAACCCCAGTTTCAACAATGAATACACCGAGATTCCAGTTTCGGAAACGGTTCATGAAAAAGATGGACTCGACGCTAGCATCTCCATTGGCGGTATCGAGGAATCAGACATCCAAGAACCAACTCCGGGTAACGAATACATCGACCTTCCAGCCCTCCCAACGATTGCCGAATCCCCACCTGCAGAATCTTTCCAACCAGAATCGTTTACTCTCACATCGTCGCCTCCACGAATGCCTAGTCCGACTCCTAGTACGACAACTACGCCTAGTGTCCCAGCCGCGAAACGTCGCCGTCTAAACTCCTCAATGACAGCCACGAACAAATTGATGAGACCCTTCAAATCGCCTTTGAAATCCAATAATACACCCCACAATACCTCTACACCCAGTCGTGAATCTCCACGCAAATACCCGCCATCTACTCCACCCCAAAAGACTGCAATTCCGTATACCCCACTCCCTCGCCTTCAGAAGCCTAGCGAAGAGATCGAAACAGCAGTAGAGGATACAAAGCCAATTGTTACACCAGCAGTTCGCCCACAACGATCTATCAAATCTACTATTAAATCGAGTAACCCACCTTTCCGTTCGTCCTTTGCAAAGACTTCAAAACTCAGCCTCTCCAGTCCAGCTTCACTCTCCACCAAAGATCCATACATCCTATCATTAGAACAAAAGCTCTCACAGCTCCAAAACTCGGTTCGCAGTGCCAAGCAAGCCCTCGAAGAATCATCGCAAGCCCTCAAGATCGAACAATCCGGGGAAGATGATAAACTCGAGGAGCTTATTCTTAAATGGCGACAAGCAGCGCAAAATGCTGCTGACCATATGTTTTCGGGTGCTGAGCAGCGTTTTCAAAGAATGGGTGGGATGGCGGGATATCGCGAGAGACAAAACCGTAGCAGAAGTGGCGGTGGGTGGGGCTTTGCTGACGAAGATCCCGAAGAAGGGTTGACGGAAGACCAGAAGGAAGCAAGGCGACTTGCGATGTATGAAGCTGGCTTTGATGAAATGTCTGAGTTGGAAAAACAACAAAATGAAACTAAAAATCCCATTAAAGACGACGGTGACGTGAGTGCTTCCTCCTCCTTACCGATACTTTATTTCTGTTCAAACATTCGTGAAAGACACCCTTACTGGATACTTTCATGTTTTAACATACACCTCCTTTATTTTCATTTTCTCAGCATTGAGGAAGGACAAGTTTCTAACTTGATCATTCAATGCGTCTGATTTTATGTTCGTGTTACAGCATTTTACCATGGATATGATGCTCGCGTCACTCAACATCGACATCGACATCATCAGGTATGACAAGCAGTTACAGCGGTGGGGTAAATGAATTTATGATGCCCTGCTAGATTGTGCTTTACCGTTTTACTACCACCTAGGCTTTGAAGACCTACATTCGGAACACAACAGATACCAATTGACTACCAGCTAAACTGCTTTGGCTATAGATTGGATTCTATGGTAAGTAAATGGTCAAAAACGCCGAATATGTATGATTATTAAGAGCTAATTCTTCTAGACTTTATTATAGATACTATATATAATATACCGTTTGGGTTGCTATTCCCCTTTTACGCAGTGTTGTCGACCCTTGCTGCCCTTGTAAATTGACAAAAGCAATGAACAAGGGGGGCCCGGTTGCTCTAGCTTTTGCCTGCATAGCTGCACTTTTTGCATTCCTTCAGCCAGTTTGGGCATCAATATAATTAGTACAAACCACCATCATTATACCAATCAAGAACTCGGCCTCCAGGCTTTTACCAGTCCATCCTCTCCACCAGTAAACACCACTGCATTCTAAACCACGCACCACGATTAGCCCTGATTCATTAGACGGAAGTAATGATATTGCTCCACTTACCACATCATCCAAGTACAGACATCTGACAACCTCCCCTCTATGCCCACCCACCAACCTAACCACGTCCTCCCCTCCCAACGCCCAAGTCCCCGTCCTATCCACATTCAAAGAATGCAAATCAATCCATCCTTCACTATGAGAACCCACGGCCAAAATACCAGTTCCAGCACTCTCCCTACCCCGTAATAACACCTCAACAGCATAATCACAGCCCAATTTCTGTCTTACATCACCGAATACCACCGGTCTGGGTTCTTCAACGTCATCATTCGGGTCTGCGAGTTTGTAAACGGATAGGCTTTCGTCGTGGGATAGACCGTATATTGTGGAGTCGTTTAGGAAACCGGCGTGGTGGATTGAGGAACCGTGGTTTATTACTTGGTGGAGGGCGTCGTCTTCTTCGGGGATTGTCATGTTGTAGATGTTTATTAGACCGTCTGTTGAACCGGAGAGGAGGAGGGAGGAGATTGAAGGGTGGAAGGCGAGCTGTGGAATATTATATATTTTTTAGTCTTCTTCTTTGGACTTGGATTTGAACTTGGTGGAGGTTGGAGGATAAAGTACCTGAGTGACATCGTCGTTATGCGATTCTACATAAGACATTTTCTCTCGACCTTCAAGATCCCTATATACACCACCATAGACATCTTCGTCAGCTTCAATTACAATCCATCTCATAAGAAATCAATGAAAAAAAAATGGGTTTAAGTAAATACCTACCAAACAACAACCTCAGCCGCCGTCCCCGTCAACTCAGTCCCAACAGCTAAAAGCCCCCTGTTCTTACAAACCGCCAAAGACAATATAGGATCTCCATTCTTTCTAAACACGGCCACAGCTCTCCCCATCCCCTGTCTCAAATCCCATAATTTCGCGGTCCCATCTCTCCCAGCTGTAAATAATAGGTTTGGGTCGTTTTCGTCAAGACATGATAGACAGGTTACACCTTCCGGGTGGGAAGGGGAAGTTGTGGAGGTTATTACTGAAAGGGTTGTGGGATCTAATACGCGGATTTGGTCGTCGGAACTTATGGTTGAGAGGTAGGGGCCTAGACGGGAGAAGGAGTAGTGGTATGTTCCTTGTGGAGAGGAGATTGTGCTGGAGAGGGAGGGGGTGAAGGGGATCATTTTGTGGATCGGTAAGTATATAGGTTAGAAGTGTTGTTTTCGGGGAGTTGTGAAATGGGGATTTTTTGTTATAGAAAAAAAAAGGAGAGGAGGTTTTAGAGTGAAAGAGAGGGAGCTTTTTGAAGCTTTTGAACTTTTTTTTTGAGGTTTTGGAGAAGGTGCAGAATTGGGCTTTCGAGTCGAGAAAATTCTTGCAGGGATTAAGATTGGTAGGTTTTTGCGCAAGGGATTTGATTGGTTGGGTTTGTGGGGTTTGTGGGTTCGTACACGTCGAGGGTAACTCTTTTTATTTATAGACTTCAAGTTTATGAATTCAATTCACGGAGATGCTCATATCATACTTGATTCACAATCGATTCAGCTACTTAAGTAGGTAAGTAGGTACTTAAGTAGTTAGTAAAGGTAGCAAAGGTAAAAGGTAATTTAAAAGTACAAAGTGCCAATTGCAAATTCCCCAAAAAAAAGTTACAAATTATCGTACTCCTCACTCCTCAAGACATGTACATATGCATGTGCGCATATGCAAGGTCACGGTATTCATGATCATGATGATATAACAGACTGTCCACCAGAAGAACTAAGCCCAGACCTAATCTTACTCAATCCCAACCTCTCCTGTGCTGGATCCGGTTTCTTAAATGCATACTTCTCATCATCTTCTTCGCCCTCATCCCATTGACCGGCTCTCCACCCATCAGAGTGCCATTCCCAGATCCCACCGCCTTGTAATGTTCTCTCCTCTCCCTCCCATACAACCACTCCACTGGTCCCCTTTGGTGTTTTAACTTCAAGTTTACCACCTTTCTTCCATTTCACGCTGAATTTTCCAACGGCGGTGGCGTATCCTCCTTCCGCCCAGTCGAGGTCGACGAAGTGAGGTTCGATCTTCCAGGTATACCCCATTGGGGTTATGAATTTGATACCGAGGATTTCGGTGGAGATGACGTATGTTGGACCGCTAGACCAGCCGTGGGCGTGGGAGTTTCGTTCCGAAGAGCCGTAGGCAGGGTATTCTTTTTTTATTTATATTAGCTTCTATATATTTTCTCTTTCTCGTAGCATGGATTTGGGAGCTAGGGCTTACTGATGTTCCCATCAATCGTAAATCCTTCAAGGAATGTACTATTCGTCATTCCCTTTCCGTCAAGCATGTATCCCCACATTCGACGCATCAGATCTACTGCGGACTGGTGTTCCTCAGCATAGCAGTGAGCGATAAGTTCGAATCCTGTTGCGAAGGGTGAGATCGTGTTTGGCATCTATAACATAGGCAGGTATCCAGTCAGAATAAATGAGTCGACGCCAGATATATTATCTAAGGGGAAGAGAAAAAAGGGAAGGGTGTAGGACTTTACCTCAACTGCAGGAGCACCATACTTATTCCACCTCTTCCTCAAGTTCTTGCTAATAACCTTCGCTCTCTCAAGAGAAATCAACCCTTCAGAAAAGATGGCCCAGCTATTACCATCCTGTGGATAAATATCCCTTCTAGTATCGATATTATCCCTATAAAACCCTTTTTCCTCATCCCACAGGATTTCATAATTAAGCTCCATCGCACTTAAGATATCATTCAACATTCTTGCTTCATCCATGCTAAGATACCCAGGTCCCATAATTTCCACCAACGCCAGGGTTTTCTTCACCGTCAGGTAGAATATCCCATTAGCTTCGGAGTTATAACCACCTTGTCCCGGTCTGAGCCAATCAGCAGTAGACCAACACCAGAAGAGACCTTTATATCTATTCCACCTCCTTAACGAAACTCGGAGCGCACGTTTATACGCCGGCCAGTATTGTGCCATCCACGAAACATCACCGGAGTAATGGACGTAATTCCAAACACCGAGTAAAGCATGTAGATGATATGTATCGCTAAATTCACCGTGATAACCCATCGGAGGTCCGGCGTATGGCATCCCACCGTCCCAATATTGATGAGCAAATAGAGTTTCCAATGCATTCTTAATACTCTCAAGATCATAGGTTGAAACGGCAATACCGGGGACAGCGATTGTCATATCACCGGCGTAGACCATACGATCACGTTTAGCACCATCGGTGGTGACAGAGGTCCCATTGCTTATTGTGAAGTTACTGGCCCATGCACCCGGTGGGAGGTGGTTATGATCCACACGTTTGTTGAAATCGACTAGTGAGCCTCCTTCCTCTGGGTTTACGGTGGTGAGTTGGAGGGTATACGCTCCGGCATACCAAATGCGGTTTAGGAGGTTATCAGAAGAATGGAAGTATCCGGTGTAGGCCTTTGGGTTTTCGAAGTGTGGCATGGCAGCGTAAGGGACGAAGATGTCTGAGATTGTGAATGATGGGGTTTCGCCGCCGGTGTAAGATGAGTTTTCATTGATCCAGATGGTCATGTATTTGAATGCTCCACGGATGTATATCTTATCAAAGCTGTTGTTACCGGCTTTGAGAGGCTGGTCCAGTGGAAGATCTTGGTGTCTCGCATCGGTGGTAGCATCGGAGTTTCTGCCGATGAAGTCTGGGGATTCTGTGAAGCCGAAGGAGAGCTGGAAGGATTCGGTGACATGGTTATTGGACAAATGTGGACTGTCGTCTACGGTCCAGAATACTCTATTATACTTGTATTAGAAGATATACTTTTTTTTCCTATAAAGAATAGATTTTGATTCTTACCGTCCAGCAATGTTCTCTGCGAATTCATATGTAATCAAAGACCCAGGCGTCAAAGTGGCTTTTCCATTTTCCGTCAGTCCTTCAGGAGTAATAACATCTCCTTCGGTGCCATACACCTTCAGCGGTCGAACTATTCTCCCATCAGGTGCTTTATTGTAAGACTCCCAAGGACCCTTGAATAAAGTCTCGATACCGTGCCCCTCAAAAGCACGACCTTCGACCAAACTGCGCACAGCGCAAATATAAAGCAGAAGGGCAGACCGTAACATCGTTTTCTAAACCAAACCAAACAAACAAACAAAACCCTAAACCACTCAATAACTCTTATCAAGAACCACAAAAAACAGTGGTGATAAGGAGTCAAAGAGAAGATAGGATTTAGGGGAGGGGAGGAAGATAAAAGGGCGGAGAAGTAGAAGCAACAACCCCTGTAAGGTTATCTGGGTAGCTAACCGCTACTTACTCGCCCAGCTGCCAGGGCTTGGAGACAGGCAGGAGGCTGGGGATTACCGAAGCTAGGATGGTGGAGTCTGGGGGCCCCACTATTTCATCCCGAGTTTGGTTTGGTTTGAAGTTGGAGATACTTGTTCAGGGAGTGAAACAGACGAGGTTGTAGCCGTAGTAGTAGTAAGAGTGTATGTAGGTATGTACTTAAGAAAGTAGATATAGTCGGCGTTATGAGCGCAATGCCGCGATCGATCTTTAGGCCTCGTGGGTGCCCCGTGGAGCAGCTAGAGTTTAGAACACTCCGTATAGAGTCTTTAAAACTTCAGCCCCACCCCGGATGCAAACGAACTAACTCCAACAGAGTTCTTATTCGAAAGCACATGATCACGATGTTAGAAAACGAACATCAAAACTTCTGGTCGAGATACATTAGTGAAGAAGCTAGAAGAAGGGTCTTTTTGCAGGGAAGAACACAACGCGGGTTGGAAATGGATCATCGCGTGACCGAATTAGCTGAAGGTCACGGCTGCATGGACAGGGAACAGCTCGTCCACAACAGGTCTCGATGAGCATGCCGTGCCAGGTATCGATACATCCTCGTAACGAGTGGCTACAATGCATAGCACATGTATACACAGGAATGCAAATGTTCCTTTAATTCCGACAGACAGGTACCGTATAACCGACCGGTTACCTTCGAATTCGACTGGTCTGATTTGACGTTAGTGTTGCAGGCATTGCCTTCGCTGACTAAGAAACATGTCGTGATTGTATTATATAACAACGTTACCTACTGCGGGACATCCGACGGCTTTTAGCTCTTTTTCTTCTTTCTTTCGGAAGTCAGTGGTTTCCAGTGAAAAACTAATTTCTTCCAAAGGAGATTTATCGGAGACTGCTTGGGAATTAACCAATAACATTTGATTGAAACCGAGTGAAGATAATAGATTTTAAAGAATCATTGCATTGGGCTAGACGTCTACTCGACTCCAAAGTACCCCGCCAATTGTCGCAATTGCAATTACGTCTTACAAATATTAACCTGACCAGCGGTTGACCGACCATCGGCTTGGCCCGAGGTTAAAATTAAAAGTTCGAAGTTATTAATATTCGACAGTAACTTGCATTAATTGCTGCAATTGACTTCATCTTGATATATACCAAGGTACTTCAATACTATACTGGTTCAGAATGACATCTTTCACTTCAATCCCAATCCTTGATCTATCTCTGGCGAGGTCAGAAGATACTAAGCCGGGTTTCCTCAATGAACTTCGTCATGCACTAATCGAGGTTGGTTCTTTTCTTCCTTTCCTTTACTTCCTTCCTTCTTTGTACATCTACTTGCGTATACATGCATGCAATTGGACAGTATAGCTCTTTAAGATACATGGTAAAACCAAGCTAACCAAACTCGGTACGTTCTTTCACGATGGTATAACTCCAAAAGGTCGGCTTCTTGTATATCAAGAACACCGGAATTTCCAGCGAATTGATCGATAGGGTCAAGAAACTCGGGGTCGAGTTCTTTGATATCCCTGAAGATGAAAAACTTCGTCTTGAGATGAAGAATTGTATGTCCCTTCCGTCCATCCGTGATCAATCAATGGCTTCACATAGTATGGATCCATGGATAGCTAACAGCTATATAATATCCCATAGCCCCCCATTTCTTGGGATACTCAAGACTTGGGAATGAAATGTTTGAAAACCTCTCTTCGAATACTCACTTCTTGATGTACACAAAGTACTTACTTACATATAAACTATGTAGTACCCGCTTCGCCGTCGACTGGCGTGAACAAATCGACATTGGCACAGAGCTACCCGCACCAAAACCAGAAGACCCAAGATATCGATATCTAGTGGGACCGAACATCTGGGTCAAAGATGAGCTTCTGCCCGGTTTTAGAGCTACTTACGAACAATATATGAAAGAGATGGCGGATATGAGTCTATTCTTTACCGGTCTTATCGCAGAAGCTATTGGATTGCCACGGGATGCATTCGATAAGTAGGTTATCTTTTTCATACCAAAAGTCGGATTCTACAGATGTTAGCTGACCACTTTTTAGGTATTTTGAAGGTGAGAAGGGTGATAGACAGCAGCATAAATTGAAGATTGTGAAGTATCCGGATTTGGGACAGCTCAAGGGGGGTACCGGGCAAGGTATATACACTCTCACAAATACAAACATACAACGAGGCTGGAATTCTAATCCAAAGTATTTGTATTTATAAAGGCGTCGGACCTCACAAGGACTCGATGTTATCGTCCTACTTACTCCAGGTAACACCCCATAAAGGTCTTCAAGTCCAAAACTCAGATGGTCTGTGGATCGATTGCCCACCCATCGATGGAACATTCGGTAAGTCAAGTCAACCTAACAATACCTCCATGATTACCAACCCCACGACTAGTCTGACAACGAGATATCAAAATAGTCGTCGCGATCGGCCAGGGCATGGAAGCAATAACCCAAGGCGTCTGCACCTCCACAACCCACCGCGTGCTCTCTCCAGCACCAGGTTCTGGCGCCAGATTCTCCATCCCATTCTTCCAAGGCGTCTCATATGATGCTTCGTTCGAAGATATGAACGTTCCCGAAGCAGTACTTGCCTTGAAGCGGCAGATCCTCGGAGGAAGTAAGGATTCGATTGAATTTACGTTTAAGAAGGATAGGTTTAAACACCTTGGGGAGGCGACGCTTTTGAATAGGATTAAAAGTCATCCGGATGTTGGGGAGAAGTATTATCCGGATTTGTTGGAGATGATTAGAGAGCGGGAGGCTAGGGACGCTGAGGAGTTGGAGAGGCAGAGGCAGGCGAGGGAGGAGTTGAAGGGGAGTGCGGGACAGGAGATCGGGGTTCATTGATTTGCTTCCCTGTCTTCTCCTGAATTTCTTCTAGCTTTCCTTACTCAAATTAATTCTAAAGACAGTTATGAGATGTTCCTACAGCCAGAAGAAGATTTTGTTTACTCGAGATGGATCATCACTAATCATCCACAGGCTTTGCCATCTCATAGCTGGGTATACATCTATATACCCGTTTGAAAGAGGATATAAAATTTAAAAAAAAAGTGTGCTGGCTGTTACGTTCTAGTAACAATATCTCGGAGCTGGGTGAGTAAGATCCAATATTTTCTCTAAATTTACAAACAGGATTGGAAGTATTCCAATCAAATGGGGTATATGCATATGGACCCGGACGCGATGTTCCCAATTCGTATCATGCATATGCACGCCAGAATTTCTTGCAGCCCAAACAGTGCGCCTTGCTAGTCTCGGAGCCTATATAATTATCCACTGCCAGACGTCCAGGCTGAAATCTACGCCATATGCACCGCATATATACAGAGGTATATAAGTATATCGTGAGGTTCAGCCTACTCCGACCTTATAATTTTTGATTGTCCCGAATAATATAATCCCAAAATTCAAACTGTAGTAATATACTACAGCCACACTGCACTAGACCGAAGTTGCAAAATACCAATATCGAAGTTCGCAAAATGCCGCCAACTGTCACCCTCTCGACAGTTCCCCCGGAACTAATCCATGGAATATGTGATTACCTTTCAGATCAAGACTTTTTAAAACTTCAACTAGTCTCTGCAGCCCTGTATTCCAAACTCCCACATTCCCGGCTCGATAAAATCCATTCTCGGCGAATGGTCAGATTCACTGACACCGAAACTCGCAAGCTCAAACGACTAGCATCGAACCGTCCAGAGAAACTATCACGTATCAATCACCTAGTTTTCAACCTCACTAGCCCCCATGTAAGATTCATACCTGAGCACCTGTTCAGCCATTGGGCCCACAGTTCTAGCTTGTCTATTGGGGTGAAAATGTTTAATTTCTACCATAACTATCGAGAAAGAAACCCCAGCGAACGTAAGAGCGAGGTTGTAGAGGCCTCGCAGCTCGAACCCGGATCCGAACAGCTCCCTCCAGGACAAGATCCTGGTTCCGGGTATCTCCTGGCGTTCTTCTCGATCTTACAATCTATTATCCAACCACCCCCCAAGTTCGACCAAAAGGCTCTATTCGAAGCCTTGATAGGAGTCCTTAAACTTCTACCAAATCTCCAAACCATCGAATTCATGGAAGATTATCCACATCCTCGAGATAGACACCTTATTGGATTACTCTTCGAAGAGTACAACCCTTCCTTGAAAGCCTTTGTTCAAAAAAACCCGGATTTAGAAGAGCTACCATGGGTAGAATGGTTGCGGGGAACAGATAACCAAATTAGATTCGATACGGCGTATTCAACTGCCTTGTTCTGTGCTGCAGTAGCTGGATGTCGTCGTATAACTGAGATCAAAGTAAACAGAATGCGGTTTATAACATATTATGATACCGCAGTCTCGTTATCCCGGTTCAGTACTTACGACACCAATTCAGTCTCCATCCCGCCATCTCTTCTAACAAAACAGCGCTACGAAGCAGCCTACCTCGAACACTACCAACGGGCCTTTGAAAACCTCAAACGTCTAGAAATTTGGTGTTCCGGGGTAGAATTGGATAAACCCGAACAGGTCTCACCACTGTTCCTAACCACCATAGAAAACGTCCAGGAACTCAGCTTCAGGCGACCCTTGGACTACAGGAATATATACTTCATCAAGCTCCCAAATACTACTTTACCAAACATACGAAGACTTGAAATAATATCTGCTCGTGTCGACTTAAACTCCCTACAAGACTTCGCCCGAACTAACAAGAATTCCTTAAGAGAATTGATGCTCCAAGGTCCTTGCAACGATGACATGCGTAAACCCGAAATAATCGAGTTTTTGGAAACGATGAGACGTATTATAGACCTCGAAATCTGTCAGATCGACTTTGTAACTCGCCGCAAAGAGATGGTTGGCGCTTGTTTCCTCCTTGTTGACGTCAATGGCAGCTGGCGAGAAGAGGGTGTGGCTTGTAGATATCGCGTTGGTTCGAGGTGTGCAAACCGGGATGAACACTTTGAACCTTGGGATGGGGCGGATTGGGTGGAACAGCAGACATGGGAAGAGTTTATATTAGGGATCAAGGAAGTGGGTGCTTCTGGCCTCGTTCCCAGGTTTCAGAGATCGATGAGTGATGAATTCATAGATTGTCAGGATCATTGGAGACGGGATAGGACGTGGTAGCAGTTGGTTTAGGAAATATAATACAATGTATGCGCTTTGATAGCACCTAGCACAGTGCCTCTCTCATATATATTCGAAAGTACTTAGGTAAGTAAGTAAGTATATAATGTATGTACAATGCAATGTGGCTAAACTAAGTAAGATATGCTAAATTGATAGAAAGAGTTTCGAATGGTAAAGTAAAGAATCATGTTCCAGATATCATTGTGCTGTCTTCTTAGTCTTGTTCCTTGTCTTCTATATAATGCGCATTAATGCATGTACTTAGCTTACATACGATGTTTATGCCATGTTTGGCCATCGACAGGGGAGCTTAAGCTGGGGTGCAAATGTGTTGGGTGTGTTGCCGAAGCCCTGAAGATGTTTGTCCCGGAAATCTTTCCTGATCCAAGAAAAGCAGTCACCTCCCAAGTTTTGGTGTCTCGCTTGCCCGCCCTAGCAAATTTGGGTATCTTGAATTTTCGACAGAGTGCTTTCAACACCAGCAACCATCATCAACGACTACCATCAACAACTTCAGTTACTAACCCGCTACAGGTTCTTATATCAAAGTAAGCTCTTTATAGACGGGAATTATCGCTGGCCGAAATATTCAATACTAACAATTTATTCTAGGATGGGTACGTTACTATTACTCCTGGTGCCAATCGTTTCCGAGAATTTTGGGGAGAGTGGATAGGTGGGAAGAGGAAAAAAAAAATAATACTTCGAATATCGACATCACGACAATACTTGCAATCCGACTGTTTTTCCGATAAGAGAGCATTGCTTGCTGGAGGATGTTTGAGCTGGACAGAGATACGACATTTTCGAACAAATTGCTGATGGATGGGGCTTTATGTAATTGCAGGTCGTCTTCAGGAATACCAGGTCATCGGCCGCAAGCTCCCATCGGAGACCGATGAGACTCCAAGATTATACCGCATGCGAATTTTCGCTCCCAACGATGTCGTCGCCAAGTCGAGATTCTGGTACTTCCTCAAGAAGCTCAGAAAGGTCAAGAAGAGCGCCGGAGAGATTATTTCCTTGAACGTCGTATGTACCACGCAACCACAGAACAGACCCACCTAGATATGCTTGGGAGATTACAGATGGGTTAACGAGAGATTTGTTCGGAAAACGATTTAGATCCATGAGAAGCGTCCATTGAAGGTCAAGAACTTCGGTATCTGGGTCAGATACGACTCCCGAAGCGGTACCCACAACATGTACAAGGAGTACAGAGAGCTATCGAGAACCGATGCTGTCCACTCCCTCTACCAGGATTTGGCTGCCAGGCATCGTGCCAGATTCAGGTCCATCCACGTATGTCAAATCCACAAAAAACAAATGGGGTTCCTTACGAAAAGATCGTTCACTAACCGATTATTCAAATACAGATCCTCAAGGTTGCTGAGATCGAGAAGTCCGCTGATGTCAAGCGACCATACATCAAGCAGCTCCTCACCCCCAACCTCAAGTTCCCTCTCCCTCACCGTGCCCCAGTTGGCGTTGGCAAGAAGATCTTCCTTGCCAAGAGACCGAATACCTTCAGCTAGATCTTTTGCGCATCCTGTTGTTATCCGTCTTTTCCGCTTGTATATTTTTTCCTCACCCTCCTATTACGCCTCTACATTATTATACCGGCATTGACACGTTCCCGTCCGCCTTCTTCCCATACTTCCTTTTTCTGTCATACGGTGTTTACTACTACCAAGGGAATTATATGATCATTTTCCCGCTCTCGTCCTCTTCTTCTTCTTTTTTTTTACTCTCATAGGTTTGTTAAAAGGGGGTGGGCTATGGATCCGGTGTACTTCTTAAATGCATTGATGATAGTCTCGGAAACCAAAGAATATAATGATATTTACGGAGAGCAATTATCCTTCCAGGTTGAGGTCTCGTATTGAGCCGGAAATTCGGATATCAATAACTACTTCGTGATTTTATATACAATCCGAAAGTCCTAGTTCAGATGTATGTAGAATATTATGATGATGATACGTAAAAAAAAACATCATGAACCGTATATTAAATAGTACAGACACTTGCTCAAATAGACACAGGTGGAGCTAGTCTGCATGCATAAATCCTAATATCGATGCCGGCCTATCAGAGCCGTAGCATTCCAATGTGACGTCTCTTCTCCATTAGCAGGTTCCGGCTAAGCTAAGGCCTTCGGCGACAACAAAAATTTTAGCCACAGCGACATCGGGTTACTTGACTGCGACGATTTGACTCAACTTGAACCCACCTCAACAATTGCAACCAGGTAGTCATCTCCCCTTTAAAAAGGGACCTTCTAAACGCCCTCGGACCGTATCTTTCCATCTACAGCTCTTACCTTCCCAAACGGACTTCAATTGGCTAGTCTCCATCGAGATTTTCTGGTCAATTTCAATTGCAGTTCACTCCTTCCAATTCAAAAATGGCGGCCGCCCCACTAATCCCCGCCTACGACTTTGTCACCCCACCAGCCACTGGTCTATCGATAGAATCGATTTCCCACCTTAGCTGGGTATTCCTCAGCGTCACGTCGGAAAACTACACTCAATCCCTTGAGTTCATTCCCCAGAACTTCAATCGATTTCAATTCCTCGTCGATGTTTCAACCCTAAAATCCGACGACTTTACGCAGATTAAGCAACTGTTAAACGTCGGAGCCTCGAAAGTCATAACCAGTCTCAAACAACTCGAATCGCTTCGTGATCCGAAGTTACAAATTGACGAGGATCGGTTGATACTCGCTATCCCTCGTGGTGATAATTACACCCGTGATGAATTTGAGAGTGCGATTCGACATACGTCGCTCGGAGTCTTTGTACCCGATGTTCCCGATGTTAATGTCGGGTCGGTGATCGAGTGGTTGGAGGCGTATGGGACTGAGAACCGACCGCCGGTTTATATTTCGTTTAAGAGCGAGCCGGTGCTCGAGGAAGTGCTGAAGTTGGTCAAGCTGAATGCTACGACTATTATCAATTCGCAACAATTGACAGTGGATTCTAAGAAGGAGAGTGGATTGCTGAGTGTCGCTCCCATTTTTGCGACGGCTCTTAAGAGCGATAGACCCGATAAACTGTTTACAACGTTAGTAGTAGATGAGCAGGGTGTCGCATTAGGGTTGGTTTACAGCAGTCCGGAGAGTATCTCAGAAAGCTTAAGGACCAGGTCTGGAGTTTACCAAAGCAGGCAGAGAGGATTATGGTACAAAGGAGCTACGAGCGGCGCTGTCCAGGAACTTGTCAGGATTGATATGGATTGCGATGCGGATTGCTTAAGATTCACGGTCAAACAGAAGGGCAAGGGGTTCTGCCACTTGGATACAAGAACTTGCTTTGGATCTTCTACGGGTTTGGGAGCTTTAGAGGCTACATTACAGTCACGGTTTAAATCAGCACCAGAGGGCTCGTACACAGCGAGGTTATTCAATGACCCGGCACTATTAAAAGCTAAGATTATGGAGGAAGCGGAGGAACTGTGTGATGCGAAGACGAAGGAGGATGTTGCCTGGGAGGCAGCAGATTTAATTTACTTTGCTCTTACGAAATGTGTCAGCGCGGGTGTTTCCATTGCTGATATTGAGAAGAACCTCGATGCGAAGAGTCTTAAGGTGGTTAGGAGAAAGGGGGATGCGAAGGAGAAATGGACGAAAGGAACAAACGGGGCCAATGCAACGAAACCACAGGAACCAGCTGCTGCACTTGCAAAGGCTGTTGAAGTTCCGGCTCAGAAGGACGCCAGCGGTGACCGAATCGAAATGAGAAGATACTTCTCCTCTGAAATCACAGCGGAAGAACTTGAAGCTATCCTAAAGAGACCATCACAAAAGTCTTCAGAAACAATCATGGGGATTGTTAATCCTATCATCAAAGCCGTTCGTGAAGACGGAGACAAAGCTCTCCTCGGTTATACCCAGAAATTCGACCGGTGCCCAGACTTGAAGTCCACGGTTCTCAGAGCGCCGTACCCGGAGAGCCTCATGACTCTCACAACCGAAGTCAAGGCGGCCATTGACCTCTCTTACGAGAACATCTTGAAATTCCACTCAGCCCAGAAGGAATCCAAACCGCTAGTGGTTGAGACCATGCCAGGTGTTCAATGTTCTCGCTTTGCAAGGCCAATTGAGAGGGTCGGATTGTATATCCCTGGAGGCACAGCTGTTTTGCCATCCACGGCACTTATGCTCGGCGTTCCAGCTCTAGTTGCCGGCTGCAAGACGATCGTATTTGCATCGCCACCTCGTCCCGATGGCTCGATTACACCAGAAATCGTTTATATTGCTCATAAGGTTGGAGCCGAAGCCATTGTGCTTGCAGGAGGCGCTCAAGCTGTCGCCGCCCTTGCATACGGAACTGAATCTATTCCAAAGGTAGATAAGATTCTCGGACCAGGAAACCAGTTCGTGACAGCTGCCAAGATGGTAGTCTCAAATGACACGGGGGCCACCGTCAGTATTGACATGCCAGCTGGCCCGTCAGAAGTTTTAGTGATCGCAGACAAATCGGCAAATCCGGCATTCGTTGCATCGGATCTACTCTCACAGGCGGAACACGGTGTCGATTCACAAGTTGTCTTACTTGCAGTTGACTTGTCCAGCGAAGAGCTACAAGCCATTGACGACGAGCTGCACAAACAAGCAATGGACCTACCCCGTGTGGACATTGTTCGCGGTGCTATCGCCCACAGTGTAACTGTTGTCGTCGATACAATTGATAAGGCATTCGAAGTGAGCAACCTGTATGCGCCGGAACATTTAATATTGCAGATCGCAAATGCAAACGCATGTGTCGAGAAAGTGCAGAATGCAGGCAGCGTCTTCATTGGGCAATGGACTCCAGAGTCCGTGGGAGACTATAGTGCTGGAGTTAATCATAGTTTACGTAAGTGCACTTTGTCAAGAGAAATCTAACTTCCTCCTCTCCCCCCTATTTGCCCGCATCTCCCGGACGTAAGGGATCCTTGAAGGGGGAGGCTTGAAAATATGATATCGGCTAACACTGTTTATCTTTGGTAGCGACGTATGGCTATGCAAAGCAATATTCTGGGGTTAATTTGGCGACCTACGTCAAGCATATCACTAGCTCTGAACTGACTGCGGATGGCTTGCAAAACCTTGGCACTGCTGTCATGGACCTTGCAGCGGTGGAGGGCCTAGATGCCCATAGAATGGCGGTAAAGATCAGGCTGGATCACATGGCAAAGGGTGCCTCGATCTGGGTGGGATGAAATGGGCGGGCTAGAACGTACATGTATTCTGGAGGACAATTGCTAACAACAATTTTTACATGTCACATTGCCCGCGGTTTGCATGGCATTAAACTATAGTTTCCAGACCAAGACGGTACTGCACAGCATAATATCATATTTTCGAACAAAGTAGAGAAAACAGCGAGCTCCTTGCATTCTCGGTCATATGCACGTACAAGTTGTAGACTTTCGGGCTTAAGCTAATTAAAGAGCTGTTGACATGTTTGTTAATTATAATTACTTCATCTTCCAAGACTTTTGCGTTGCCGCCGTCGTCATGATCCATTGCTTAGCCCAAAGCTCGGGCCAACTCTAAAATCGACTTGTCCCGATACATATACCTCCTGAACATCACTAGCCGTTGAGCTCACGACCTTTGAAGGCCCCGGAACCGCTGGCCGTACCGTCTGGACCGGCCAGGAAGGCGGACCAAGTTCCAGAATCATGAACAACCCCCAATATCACCCCGCGTACGCGCCTTCTCCGTCTTTCGTCCCCACTCCCAGCCTCTCTTCCACAATATCATTGGATGAGGAGGTCAAGCTCTATACGACCACGGCCCAGAGGTCACTGCACGAGTCCCTGGCCGATCTTTTCTCGATTATAGTCGCTCTAGACTTCCTGGAAAAGGCCTTTGTGCGGGATAGTATCAAGGAGCATGAGTACACACCAACGTGTTTCCGCTTGCTTGGTCAGTATAAGACGATTCTCAGCAACGATGAGGTTAGCAAGGCATTTGTGGATCTAGAAACATTCAAGAGAGAATATGACGTAGGTGCTACCCGGTCCAGAATCTTTAGTTTTTCTACCATATTAGTATTACCTCTATGTTGTTATTATTTTCTTTTCTTTTTTAATCTATTCATACCTTCTGGAACAGTATTACAAGATACACCAGCCCTATCAAGATACAACATCGGGTATCCGATATGTGTCCTGTCAGGATATGTGTAAATATGTGTCGGCTTCTTGCATCCCAACAAGGGATGGAATTTACACAAAGATGGCGGTTGATGAGTTCCCTTTTGGCTGAATGTGATACAGATCGAATACCCCGCGGCAACCTCACGCCTCAAAATTGGAGTACCCGCTACCTCCGAACACCCATCACGAGGGGGCGGTGCTGATCATTCACAGGGCAACATCCCCAAGAATGGCATCACGGCAATCCTCGGGCAACCGCAGCCGTCAGCCGGGCCATCTGCAAAGGCGGTTGCTGAGTGTACCCAGAACTTCATCACCTTTATGGACGCCTTATCTTTGGATTTCAAAGCGAAGGACCAGTTACACCCTCTGCTGTCGGAGCTCATGAGCAGTCTTAATAACGTTTCCAACGGTGATTTTGAGGGTAGAGGGAACTTAGTTCACTGGTTGATCAAACTGAACGGCATGAAAGCGACGGAGGAAATGGAGCAGGAAGATGCACGTCAATTATCCTTTGACGTGGACCACGCGTATCAAGCTTTCTTTAGGACACTTGAATGAACAAGGCCAATGGCGGAACTTTCCGGTCAAGGTCAGTTTCTTTTTTTTATTCACGACTCGATTTCGCAGTTCGAAACCGCAAGCTACCTAGTATTATCGCACAATAGGCTCGTGAAAATGCATCAAAAATTTCGTGATCAAGGGTAGCTAGGCAAAGGATTGTAAGGGGCTCTGACTCTTTCCTTCGATATCTGCAGATTGGCAAAATGATACCTTGCTTTTTTCATATTTCTTCCCCTCTCCTCATCCAAGGATTGGCTGTATTACTCGATCTTGCATGAGCGAAGGCGTCGGATTCCTGCAGGACGAGCCCGTTTCAGAAGGCCGCAGACAGCATGCGTCCAGCTTCAAGTCAAGTGATTTACAACTTCATCTTGCATTCGTATTTTTCTTTTCCCCCTTCAAGGATTATAAAAGTCAGGAAATGATGACCGCATTCGGGTGTTTGCACCGGCAGGAAAATAGCCGCGCTGTCATAGATATCGCTGTCTTCTTCTCCTTCTTCCTTTTTTTTTTTTTTCAGCACATCAGTCGTTTGAAGCTCTGTTAATGAAACCACCCCCAAGCAATATCGAAGAGATTACGGACACCGAGAGGCTCCATCCTTTGGACACGGACTATACCCGTGTTCATATTCTGCTATCGGGCGAAAGCCATTGGAAGGGAGGGATTGCTAACTCCCCGATTCGCTGGAAAAATCCGTTCCAGCTTCTCCCATGCTTCCTTTTCTCCAGGTCGAAAAAAAAGAAAGAAAGAAAGATCGAATAGTTCAACGGCCAGGTTCGATACGCAAGGAGTTACTTGTGATTTCTGGAGTTAACGGCCGAGCAAAGCTACCCCCAAAATCCGGATGAAGGTTCTCCTTCCGCCGAGGAGACACAATTTATCCCGATTGGAATGCATACTACTTCGATCTGCTGCTTATTCCCACCGAACTGTGCCGCGCATTTACATGGGAAAGGCCTGCAACAGAGAACCAAGCTCCGTGAGCTTTTAACTTTGCAAGGACGAGCTCGCAAAAAAAGGGCACTAAAGCAAACTCCACGCTGCCGATTGAGCATGGGAGGCCCAAAATGCTCAGGCGCGGTGGCGCCCAAGAGCTTCCCTTCTAAACGAGTAGTAAGACAACGTTGAACTGGAATCCCGAGCCTAAGCTCGAAGAAGATCCACGGAAAAGGGAAGAAAAGAAAAGGAAAAAGAAAGATTCTTTTTTTTTGTTTTGTTTTTAACTCCTTGACAGGCGGATCAAACGGAACGGGTTGGGATTTCGAATGATCGAGCTTGCGTGTTTTCCCTTCCGCCAGCCCATCCCTTTTGCTCACACACACCCGACCAACCCTTGCAAGCGGTCGAAAGGTTTGTGCGTTAAAACCCTCTTTGGAGATGGGTGGAAACGCCGGATGGTGCAGAGAGACCAAAAAAAAAAAAAAAAAAAAAAAAAAAAAAAAAAAAAGAATGACAAAATGCAATGCAAATGCAAATGCAAAATGCAATGGAAAAAAGAAGGTCCGACGATAACCTAACGAGCGAGCGCGCAGGCGGGACCATGCAAGCCTGCAGCTTGTTGCATGGTACTTGTACTTACATCCGAAGCAGGAGGAACATTGGGAGGGGGAGTGCACGGGTAGCTAGACCCGAACATGCAAATGTACTTACTATACATCGAGATAAGCGGAAATGTTCAGTTTCGTTGAGGTCTTATTCTCAATCAGATGGTTGCAATGTATCCATTTCAGCTCGTTTGAGCTCACCCGGTGTTCGAGATATTTCTTCCATATTCCATTCTCTACAGATCATCCTCTTTTTTTCCTTCTTGCTTTTTCTTTCTTAGTTTTAATTGTCCTTGTCCGGATTTTATACGCAAATATTGAACTACCTCGCTTCGGCCCACTCCCTCATGGCCGCCCTCGCCGCTTTCTCACTCTCGTTACCCCATTCCCTGCTGTTGTTGAGGTCTCGATCAAGCTTCAGGATACGAGAACGGACTGAATCCGTTCTGATTTCATACATTTTGGGAGCGATCTGGGTTATAATCAACTAAACGGTGTCTTCTTCTTCTTCTTCTTTTTGTTTTTTTTTTGCACTTTCTCACTGCATTTACCCTTAACGTTAGGAAGGTGGTGTTACGTTTCACGAAAACAGCCTTGCCGCGACATGGTCACTCGAATCTCGTGATAATCCATGATAAACCTTCTCTTCCACTCTTATCCTATCCTTTCCTTTTCGTATACATTCATTGATTCATGAAACAAAATATAAAGAATTTAGCCTTTTGCCCAACGTTGATGTGGTTATAGAAACATAAGCCTCGATCGTGCAGTGTCATTCCTTTCTTTGCCTTTCCTTTCCTTTCCTTTCCGTCGAGAAAAAAATGGACGGGGGTGTATATATATAATATATAAGTTGATATATACTATATATACCCTAGCTTTGTGTAATCGATCGATGATATCAATGTAGTAAGCCGGCTAGCTAACTAGCTAGCCGGAGGTCGAAACGGTTTGACATATAGTAGTAATCCCGCCTCGGCGCCGGCCGTTAGAACTGTTCGAGAATTGTCGTACCAACATGGGTCAAGGTATACTCATTCATTTTCTTTCTTGTGAAAGTATATTGCAAAATAGAGACCTGGACCTGGACGAAAAAGAAGTTTTTTTTTTAGCATATTGCTTGTATTGTGTATGCAGAGGTATGTAGGTAGGTGTGTATGTACGGTACCTAGCTGGGAAGTGAGAATGAGACTCCGTCCGGGGTTCTCTTTCGTTTTTCTGACTTTTCGTTCTCCTTTTCGTTCTCGAATCGAATTGCAATTGAGAAAGAAGAAGAAGAAAAAAGAAAAGAAAAGAATAATGAAGTAGTTAGAAATGGAGATTTTTCAACGGTTTTTCTCATTTCTGTCCTTTTTTTTCCCCTTGGTGGAGCCTGTTGAAGATAAACTTTGGGATGTTCTTTTGGGAATGAGTGAGTGTTCGTTCAACAGTGGTGGTGGGCCATCGTGAAAGCTTGCAAGCTTGTTTTGACACCTTGCTTTGCAAGGAACGGATAAATCCATGGAAATTTTTCAGATTAATCGAATGAAAGAAAAGAAAAAGAAGAAAAAAAAATTCTGGCTAACCGATGAATTCAATTTGAATAAACTGACAACTTCATCACTTTCTTTTCTTTCTCTCTCTCTGGTCGCCCTTGCTTCCCGAGCTCTTCCACAAAAAGGGCCAATATCAAATATTGAAAATTCCGAAGTATAGTAAAAAAAAGATTGGGGGGTCTTCTTCTATGTAATGGTGGGGTGAACTTCATATGCAAGGCAGAATTCAATGATGTGTGAGTGTGGTGGAACTTTCAATTAATTCGTGACTTTGAAATTCTTCATTTCTTTCTCTCTCTCTCTTTTCCTTTCTCTCTCTGTCCTTCTACGCGGTAACAAAAAGTAAGCGTCATCATTGACATTAGGAAATCATATTTCAAATTCAAAAAAAAAGCATCCATAAGCATAGCGCAGCACAGCATTTGCAAACCAAAAGAAAAAAACAAAAGTAAAAACATCCGTAGACTTTTTTTTGAGGATTTTCGTCCACAATCCGTGTAAAAAGAAGAAGAAAGAGTATGGTGGAAAAGTATCATCAGTTAGGATGAGAAACAAAAAAAAATATTATTCGTGAGCAAAATTTACGCCAACGGAAAAGAAAAGAAAAATCAATTTTTAGTTCCCTTTTTGATAGAAAAGACGACAGATAGAGAGACGCAACCCCAGAAAGGAAGCCAGGACATGACATGTCGTGATATTAGAATCAATATTGAGAATAGACGGCGCAAGGGAAAGAAGTGTAAAAAAAAGTAACTCCATTGGAACACCTGCTTTCTTGAGAACAGAGGCCGCCCACACATGATAAAGGAAATATACCCAAATTAACCGGTGTGAGATGAAAGTAAAATCCCGATACAAAGGAAAGCGAACCAGAAAATCAAGAAAAGGCCGAGCGATTGGAGGGAGGCTAATGGCAGTTAAAGGAGGGGTTTATGCACCAAAGATATGCAGGACGAACAGGCCCTCTTTTTTTTCTCTGTTCGAGAGTGATGTTGACGTTGCGGGACAGGTGGGGTCGGCGCGGACTAGGTAGCTGTCATGTCGGCATCCCATATTTTCTGCTGATGGTGGTGGCGGAAAATCCATCGGTTTCAACCATGAGCTCCAGATCAGCTGCATTAAATTGACCTTTCTCGGAGCATATGTATAAGGTGAGGTTAATTAAGATGTGGATTTTTGACAGTTCGCTCGCTCGCTCGGATCGGAAAAATGGTAATTAAAGGATAAAGAATTAAGAATCCTGTCAGGCCCCAGATAAGGGAAAAACGAAAAACTCATAACATTCGGAAATGAAACCCCTCCCGTTCAAGAAAAAATCAGGCGGAGTAAGCTGAGGGTTCTGTCCGTTGGCCATGATGTCAGGTGAATGGGCTGCAACCGATTCGAGTCTGTCAAGGCGTCTAATTTGATGCTGATATTCGTAAAACGGGCCATGGCGTGATAAGGTATGTATGGTATGTATGGATTATCCGGCGGGTGCCATGTGCAAGCCTCAAATGCCCATGTGGAGAAGTTTAAGATTATTCTCCTTCACGATGCCTGCTTGATTGCTTGCAAGGTTGGAATTTTCAGGCCTCCGGATATAGTGCTGAGATCCTTTGAGCTGTATAGTTGGTGCGACGACACCACCACGGCGAGCCTGTATTATGGAATTTTCCTGCTTATTCAGGACGGTAGAGCGGGACGCAGAAATGACTTCGAACGGACAACGGCTAGATATCCCATACGAAGAGAAGGAAGGGCTTGTCAGCACTCGTATAATTATTGAAGTGATTAAGCAGCTCGCCCGCCAATTGGCAGCTCGACGGTTCGGCATAACACATGGGAAAGCGCGGAACTTACCCAAGACGAAAGGTGGGAAATAGGAGCAGGAGGACATCATTTTCTGCAAATATAGTCGGAATTTCTGTTGGCC